ATCGCGCTCTTATCTGTCCCCCATTGTCCTTGCGGCTCGTAATAAATTAAGGGATGATAAATCGCGGATATTTCGAATCGGGCGTCAGGGGCGGGGGTCGATGACAGGGGACCGATACGAGATTTTTCCGTTCCGTGTGCGTGTATTTTTTTCTTCTTTTTTTATCTATACCAGCGGAATCGACAGCGTCACCCTGTATATCGAGTTCATCTCCCCACAACCACCACCACCGCACCCATCCCACTCAATCGCGACTATTTTCTTCCGAGAGCCGTTTCACGAATTCGATCGACGCCGTTCGAAAGATACGCGTCGCCAACGGATAACGCTCCCCACGTATTTCGTCCCGGGCTCTGACCTCCTTCGCGGGATCTCCAGCATCGACTGGAAGGGATGGGAAGCAATTAACAGGTACTTAACCCAGGAGAGTAACCACCGATCGCCTTGGATTTAAACGTCCGAGAACGTCCGAGTAACCTCTTCGGTGTCTATAACGGATTAATCCTCCCTGGAGCCTGCAGTTGGGTCTACGGTACCTCGCTGATATTTACAAGACAACAGGCGTATAGATTCGTTGCAAAGAAAGCTGACAATCATCCTTATATGTAGTATGTGCTAGATGTTAATCCTCGAGTGCCTGTGGATTATTGCAGACCTAATCGAGACCCAGTCTAGACCGAATTCAGACCTAATTTAAACTTTAAAAATACGACAGTTATTAATTTCGTTATGCAGGAGGCTAAAATTAATTAGGAAGTTGAAGATAAGTAGATCTAGACGTCGGACGTTCAACGGTACGTACCTTGAACACCGGACGGAAACACAGCACAATATCGGTCGGAATTATCAGTCTGCGGTGTCATTTATGGGGTAATGTCGGTACCAGCAAGCAACCCTTTCACCCCCACCGGCCGGTTTATCGTCCCGTGCGTGGCGCGTGTATCACCCGGGCCATGAATCTGTCCGATAACGGCCTTTAACGTGTAATATCCAGCGGCGAGATAGGGCATCTTTCGAGGATAATTTTGATAACGGCCCGCGGGGGACAGGCCCCCGACAAGGATCTCTGGATCGACGGACAAGAGCAGAGGGGAAGGACGATTTCGAAGATAAGGGGATAGACGATCGTCAGGACATCAGGAACACAAAATTGATTCGCTTACCGACTGAAAGGATATCGAAAAGCAAACCAACCCACCACCACGATCAACATCACCAACCGAGGAAACGATCAGGTGAATCATACCTCGATCGGTCGAAACGAGTGGAATGATAATCGAACCGTCTATTGGCTCGAGAATCTTCCAAACGGAACTGGAATGGTACACAGACGGTAACCCAAGGAGCTGGAAGAGACTTTGGGAACAGCGAACGAGACCGATCCAATGGATTCCATTACCCTCTCTAGCCCCTTCCGTTTCCCCCTAAATCGTAGAGGGAGGGGGAGGGGGCAAACGTCTGCGTCGAGTTATCCCATCGATTCCACGCGCGCAACCCCTTAACGATCGCGAGAACGACATCCGGTCGTTATCAATTTTTGCAACAAGTGGTACCACAGCCAATTGCCCCCTACCTCAAGAAAGTACTTCGTCGATCTTCCAGAGGACACGCGCGCGCTCGAGTCAAGAGAAACATCTACTGTAAGGATAAAGACGCACCTAACCCCCGGGATCTTTACGATTATTTCCGTCGTAGCGACGTTACCCCCCTCCGCTAGCTTCCGAAGTTTCGTCGTTCCCCTCGAAACGGAGACCGGTTCATCCCCCTTACGCGACAAGTGGAAGGAGGGGGTTGAAGAGGGCCAGGCGGGCCGGGAAATGAGAAGAATTCTCGAGTTGAGGTATATCCACGGAGATCAGCGATCCTCTATTACCCCCGTCTTCCATTCCCCTCTGGGGAGCGTTTTCCGTTGATCTCAGCCGGGTTCGATTAAAATCAGAAGAGAGGGTAAGATGTACAGGACGGGCCGCGCGGGGTTTAGCGAGCGAACTGGGTCAGTTCGGGTATGGACTCGGCTGGTTTAGAGAGGTATTCAGTGAAATCGAATGGTTGCAGTTTTATACGAAGACCTAATGCAAACAGTTATCGAGACCTAACCCAGGCCTGGACACGAAATGGAGACTTAATCGTTTATCAAGACCTGATCGAGGCCTGATCAAATGCCTAACCAGGTACGATTCGACTGGTTTAGGGAGATAGTCATCGAAATAACTACCATCATACCAAAGAGGTAGGTCCGCGAACTAGGAGTAGACGAATCATCGATCTGCATTTCAGCCACGGTACACTGAAATTCGACTCGACAGATACGGACGATAAAGTACACCTCGACTTCTACGGGCAGCAACAGTTTGGTCAGTTAGATCTGGGTCACCCTATACACATTCGGATAAGAAAACCCTGTAACCCAGGCTACAATATTTCCAGTTATCTCGAGTTAGTTTCCGGTGTCGTGGCTGAACACCGGAAGTCAACTCGTTTCGCGGTGCAGAGTACCGCGAACTGAAGAGAGCCGAACCGCCGTCTGGGCTCTATTTCGATAATCTCCTCGCGGACGAGGGTTGAAAGCCGCGGGGATTATCCGATCCCCGTAATTAAGCCGACAGAGCCCGAGCTAATAAGAAATTAGAGTCCAATCATCAGCTGGATTTTTCTTTTTTCTTTCCCCGATCCCCCGCTTGGGCAACTGCAATCCACTTGCATCCGTGAGGGACACGTCCAAAAAGGATCTTTCAGGGTGTCAGTCGACCACTGTCCAACGAAGGGTTCCAGCTAGTAATGATGGTCGAGACTGGAAGGTCGTGTATTCTCTGGAGGGACGGTAATACGTTTCACGTGTTGGAATCCAACCAGGGGCACGTGGTCGGTCAGTCGTGCGCATCGATTAATCGTCGAGAATTTCCGAAACGGTGCTGTCAGCCACGCAGGATGATCGATAAATTGGCTAGGACGAGGGAAATTCTTCGGGAATCAAGTTAAACGTGGGCAAGTGAAGTTTCTGGAGATTACTCTCTGCAGCGAGCAGGTCCCCTAAACCTCGTGAGTCTTCGAACGACTTCTCTGTCTTCGGACGAGAGTTCTGCGTCCCCTTCTGAATGGAATCTATACGCAGTTTCGTAGCATTGGGGGGATCCTCGAATCGCGTGAAAACCTTCTGAAGATTCGGAACGTTAGGACCGGTTTCGCCTCGAGAAATTATGCACTCGTCTCGAGTACTCGCCGATCCGGCACACTTGACCCTCTTTCGGCGACCGCCCGGACAAGTCAGAGAAAATGCTGATATAGACGACCGATAGCGAATATTTGGTCGTCCAAGATCGAAGACGTAACCTAATCGCGATCTAACCACGAATTTGAATATTTATCGAGACCTAATAAAAGGCCTAATCAATATGTGTAACCAATGCGCCTAAAAAAAAATGCTTAGTCAAATACCTAACCAAATGCATAATCAAGACTAGAGATCAACCCTTTAAAAGCTACTCAAAAGGTGATAACCTTGTTTTGTCCCATTTTGTGAACAGACTACCTATACCTATCGCCATCATTAATATTGATCGTTACGATAAATACGGTTTCGTGCAGTAAACAGATAAATTTGATTATCTGCAGTGAAATGTACAGAGTAGAGACCCATTACGAGTGTCGTTTGGTCCTAAACAATCACTTCGCGGGAAGCTAGTATACATATAGCGGTAAGTAGTAGCCAGAGGGTTAATCGGCGACTCGAGGTTCCTCAGGGGACGCGTTTCCGTCTCGATCCACGGAAAAATGGAATCTGATCGTATTACCATGGAATATATCTCCAGTATACCTAGAATATCTCTCTACTTATCCACAAATTCCCGTATACAATCGCGGTTTTCCCAGGCAATCCGTTTGACGTATGCTTATCCGCGTTACTCCGTGGCGAATATCGTTGCCACGGATCTACCGTGAGAATCCATCGATCGACTCCCTTAGAAATTAGAGTCCCTCGTATCCGACAGACGGAATTAGAACCCTTTCTATCATCCCACATTACATTGGATCATTCAGAGTCATACACACGGTTCACCCGAATGTCGCACAGTGGTCTAAAATAAAAATTTAGCAGCTCTCTTTCACGAAGATCTTGCGAACACTGTCAGTGAATGATCACATTATCATAAAGGGTCCTTAAAATTCCCAAAATTGGTTCATTTATTCGTTTTTATTTGAATAAAATTCGCAAGTCTCAGAACTTTCTATTAACCTCACTAAGTAAGCGTACGATCTGGTAAATTTTGATTGTGGACCACTGTGCGTTGACCCGATATTCCTGAAACGATCAGAAATCGATCCACGAATTCAGATCCATAGAGACCAAGGCATAGAACAACGCTCGCATCGGGGAAAAATCCGCATAATTCCTGGCGGAACAGCGTCTCTCCTCCCGGCTGGCCTAAGGGTAGGAGAGAGGTCGCGGCGGCGTGTTCCCCCCAATTTCGTTAGCGCCTGCACACACACACACATATATATATATATATACATACACACACACACACACACGCGGTAGAAAGCTAGCGGTAGGGCAACGCGTCGAAAGAGGGTACCCGTGCGCAGGCGGCATGGAGCGAGACGGAGAGTTTTGCAGCGATCATCGACTTGGAGAACGGCGCAGTCGCCCAGGAACCGACTCGAAATCGTCTCCCCTCTTCGGCCCCTCTCCCTCACTCGCTCAACCGTTCCCTGGTGCCCCTCTCACTCTCTCTCTCTCTCTCTCTCCTCGTCGCAGCTGCTCTGCTCCCGGCCGCTCCTCCGCCCTCCTCTTCCTGATCACCGTCACCCACCACCACCACCATGAACCATACACGTAGCGTCAGTGGTAGCAGCAGCAACGACGGCGGCGGCAGCAGCAGCAAACGCAGCGGCGCCTCCTGTTTCCCCGGTTGGTGTGTGCCGCAGTAACGGGCTGGTTCCACTGGCCTCCCCCTGGTGTTATAGATTTTCAATTAGTGCAAGAACAACTGGGTGGTTAATAATGTGCCTGGGCGAGGACACCTGCTGACCACCTTTCGAAGGTCGTCCTTTAGACGTACTGGAGTACGTCTTCGCGTGCCGAGAGACGCACAGAAGAAGAGAAGCGAGGGGAGGGTGTGCGAAAGACAGAGAAACGAGAGATCGATTTTCCCTCCAGGAGAACGTGTGCGTGAACAGTGCTAACTGCTGCCGGGCCGACGAGAAGACGACACATACTATGGCCGTAGAGTGACCGATTCGGCGAGACTCACCGTCAACGAGATTCCGGGGGATCGTCGATGCTCGACGGTGGGAGGCGCAACGAGGATGACGCAGCTACGGATGATACAACGGACCCTGCTGTCCAGGCTGGTCGCGCTGTACGCGTTCATGCTTCATTCAGGTAGGCGGTGGATTTGTATACAACTGAAGATTCAATTAGAATTCTTGGATTGCTAGTGTGAAACACCTCCGATGGGATAGGGATATAGTAGTTGTTGCTGGAATGTTAATGTGAGCAGTTATTCCTGGATCCCCTGAACTTCTCATAGATGGTGCTCGCGGTGTCTAGACACTTAGGTCCTATAGCCAACTGTGCGATGATTCGGGTCTCTCTGGTGATAGATGTATGTTGATTCCATGTTTTGTGTCAGGACTGCATCAGATGTGGCTTGTAGAGTCTTCTAGTGTCTAGTCCACTTCTAGACCTAGGTTCTCCAGTTCTCTTTGCCCTGATTCGGGTTTCTCTGTTGGTAGACGCATGTTGAGTCCAAGCTTTGGGTCAAGGCCACATCAGACACGGTTTCCAAAGCATTCTACTGTCTAGTCCAGGTCATGACGTAGTTTAGTAAGCGTAGTTTATCTTCTAGAGCAACGGTTCTGGTACTTGGACCAGGAATCCTCCCAGCAGCCTCCAATACTGTATCCCGTAGACTACCCTAGAGATGGTCTAGTGCCAATCCCCGCATTCTCCATCGACTGTAACATCAGGAATGCTAGTATCGAATGGAAACCTAGATTCCTGGCCCCGAACAGTATCGAAGATCCTCTGTCCCGTGGGTCCAAGTCGATTAAGCTGGAAGCGGTAAATAAACATTTAACGGGCATTAATCTCGACAAGGCTGAGGGGTCCTGGTGGCCGGTGGCCAGGAGATATTGCGACGTCGATACAGGAGGTGACACAAGGACGATCGTGCACGCGGTCTGCTCGCATTGTTCGGATGTTTGCTCGATCCAGATCTACGCGCGTTCGCCAGGTGAGGACAATAGGGTCTCCCATGGCATTTCACCGTCATCGATCTCTGTCCCCCTATCGCCCCTTTGGTATCGTGTAATTTGCTTAATCTCCGCGTGGGGCCACCGCGAACCATCGTCGATCTTCCCCATCGTGAAATGAGTACGAAGACGGACCATCCAGCGATCACCACTGGACAGCCGGTCATTTGCTCCTCTTATCTGATCCACGGCCTCTGCCTCTCGTCTATCGTTCCAGGCCGATCGAACCGGCGTGATATGTCTCTCTCTCTCTCTCTCTCTCTCTCTCTCTCTCTCTCTCTCTCGATTGTCCCTCTGTTTTGTCTCACCCTTCTTTGGTTACACTCTCGTTCGTAACGACCGACGACAGTTCGCATCAAGCGATACGAGACCACAGAATCACAATTGCTATTCGCGATTTCACGAACGAAATTAAAACCTCTATCGATACTTTCGTGTCGGGAGGAAGAAAGAGAAGAATCATGGTTGAATTCCCATTCTAGGCGGCGGAACAACCGCGGGGAAACGTCCGGTAATACGGTAACCAACAGACATTTAGATAGGATCCGCTTTGTCGTTGGAGAAGGGGGAGAGCAGAAATAGGATTCCCGGAGAGCGGAAGTTCTCGAGGATTGCTGTAAAAGTGGATCAATTCCGGGGATGAAACTTTCCTTCCCGGAAATCGTCCCCTTGATTCGCTCAATTTTTTTTCCAACGTTATATCACACAAAATCATGGTGAATACTTCGTGTCGAGTGATCGGATCGAAAACACGGGGAAACAGACTATCCTGAAAGTATCTTCTAGAACTGGTGGAATGGCTCTTTGATGATTTCTCCATGCCATTTGTTCATAAACACAAATACAATTAATTAAACGTCCAGAATAACTGGCCTGTTTTCCAGCAAGTAGAAAAGTCGAGTATTGATCAGACAAGCCAACCAAATCTCAGATCCGTTGAAGTCAGTTTTCCCTCCGAATCTCAGCCCGTATTTTAAAGCGTTCTATTCTCGATTACCAATTCAGGTGGTCGTGAACCGGCGAATAGCCGTGGCGTTATTTTCGTTGTCGATGAATCGTGAGCTTTTATTGGAAATTGAGCCAATTAAGGCGGTTGAGTTAACGACCTATCGTAATACGGTTTCGCAGGGGACACCAACATCGGTCGTTCCCGTTTTTAAACGATCGTGACATCACGGTTCGTTCCCATTGATTAGGAATGCTCCTTTTGGATCGTTTAAACGGCCAGCTCGACGACGAAGAAGAAGAACCGTCCTCGACTCCATCATCGTCGAGACACGATCGCGCCTTTGTGGGACATGTATTCGCGTCAACGCGTTCTTCTCTGATTTTCCACGAGTCGTAGACACATCAGCATGTATACGTGTGTACAGCCTGGTGGAACATTCGATAATTCTTGTTCGGCGAAAAATGCTGCTCGGACATGCGAGCCGGGGATTAACGTTTAATTCACGACGTAGCTGTATGTATACAGTCGACGAGAAAACTCGAAATACAACGTGAAAAGAGAAATGTATGCGAGAAAATCAGTAAAAAAATTGCCTTGCAATTGCTTCTGCGAGAGGCTTCGTTCTCAAGGAAATCAAAGTTTAAGACACTTCTTGGGTTGTCTGACCATTCTTAGATGTTTCTACTTGGAATATATATCGATGCAGTGTGGTATTCTTCCAATCCAAATTTAATGTATGAAATAAAGTTGATATATTTACATTATTTTGTTTGTTTGTATCTAATCTTAAGAAGTCTAGAATTATGAAAATGCACGTCAACAATTATAAAAGGAATCGCGATTTTAATTTTTATCGAAAACGTGTAAGTTCGAAATACAGTAGAGAACTGGTTGCAATCCAATAAAAGTTTTGCCTTTCATTCTATATCATACAGGCTATGAAATTGCAGAAATTCCGCCAGTCTGCTTACTACTTATTGGTACACGTAATGTTTGACATACCCCATCCAAACGTCACGAGTTTTGCCCGTGGCTGTACACACGGCGGGCTGCTGATTAACCTCCCATCTCGACAGGTACAATCCCAGCCCCTCCGTCCGATTCCCTTTAATTAAATCGACCGTGTCGGTGTCCGTCACGAGCACGTGCGAGCGAGAGTCGCGACGTCGAGCGTGTCTCGGCAGCCCCGAAAAGATACACACGTACAGAGAAACACACGCGTCTCTGCGATGACGCGACCGTTACGATGGAACATCCAAGGGGCTGGAAATTTCGGTCAATCCGACAACTTCGTGGAAATTCCTCCTGTCTGCTACCACTTTGCTGAAGTGAAAATGTTTTTCCACGAAAAAAATCCATCCGAATCGGTAACGATAATTATCATCAATTAGTCCACGAGTCGCACACGCTGTTCCCGTTAATTGATTCGAAATTTCTCGAATCGTTCGTTTTAGAACGACCGATATACTTATCGATTCCGTCCGCGGTGTAACGTGCACCGCGGAAACGGACAGGTCGAAAAGTCTTCGAAAATACAACGATTCGGTCCAACGTGACCTAAATGGAGAGCGAGATGTCGATGTGGAACCTGAAACGATTTCTCGTGAGCGATCGACAGGCTAAAAGATAACGTAACGAAATAGATTTTTCGACTCGAGGTGATCAATTTTCGGATGAAAAATTTGTGTTTGATACCTAATCCAGATCTGGCCCAGAATTCGGGGCCTAATTAAGGCCCAATTCAAGACCCAATTCATGGTTTATTCCAAAGCGTAATCCAAGGTCTAATTAAGGGCCTAATTCAAGGTTTAATCCAGGACCTAATGCAGGGCCTAATAGAAACCCTGATGCAGGTCCTAATTAAGACATAATCCTACAGAGGTAATGCTGGAGTTCCAATCTTAGAAACTTAATAACCCATACGTAGTAAATTCTCGTAACGATTCACAGTGAAGAAAATGAAAGATCTTCACTTCCAACAAGCTATACACACAAGGGAAAACACGATACGAGGGATAAAAAGAAAAAGAAGAATCGCAACTGGGTTATAACGGGTCATCGAGTTCGCATGGAACGCGAATGTTCCTATGGTGGCTTGCACAAGGATGGAACTTAATTAAGGCCACTCGAAAAAAAAAAAACTGCGACTGTGGTTCGAGTGGTGTTTAATACGAGCGGATGCGTGGCGAATAATCGCGATGTGGGGGTAGACGGTGGAGTAAGAGGAGGAGGAGAGGCTACGACCGACAGAACGCGAACAGGGGGAGAGAGAGATTTTACTCTCTATCTCTCTCCCTCGTGGAGAGAGCCTGGATATCGCTTTTGTGATTCGCGTGGGAGGGAGGGAGGGGATTGGAACGTTGGGGCTCGGATATCGAATTGAAAATCGCTGATTTCCCGGCCGTCGTCCGTATCAACGAGCGGAAATTCGCTAATTCCGTGCCGCTGACGACGATACAATTTAATTGTTCCCCGATCGTTTCCAATAACTTCTCCCTCTGTGTGCCTTGGTGGAGAGGAGAGGGGGGCCAAGAGAGGCCAAGGTGCTCCGGGATTGCGGCAAGGGCCCGATTAACCGGCGTTCTCGCGATTACCGGTACGTATTTCAGCTCGAGCGTGAATAATTTTAAGAGGCTTAACCGGTAAGAGGATTGGGGAGAGAGACGCGGATCAGTTGCACAGACGTTCGTTCGAATCGTCGCTGAGCATATCGTTTGAGCGAGTGAAAAACACGTCTGGCTTTCGGAATCGATGGCTCGCTTACTAGTGAAATAGCCTTGTATATGGTCGAACGTCGTTATAATTACAGCCACGTTTTCTGAACCAACACTAACACTCGATTCTCCGAAGCTATTAAAATAAATGAAAAAAGGTTTCTAGCGTTTAGTGAAGAATATCGGTCGAAGTAGAATGTGTTCGTATGTAGGCAGACATATGTTCAAAGTAGAATATGCTAAAATGTGGTCAGACATATGTTCGAAGTAGAGTGAGCTAGAGTACGACCAGACATACGACGGAAGTAGAATATGCTAGAATACGATCAGACGTACGTAGATGGTACCCATAGAGCAAGTAGTAGAGCCTAGCGATTGATCAGACGTGCTCGAGAATCGCGGTACGACCCTATTAGTAGGCGCACACTGTGATTTCCGTGAACGCCATTATCTCGTATCCCCCTTATTTCCAGGTATCCTGGCTCTACGGATGACGGCCCTGCAGATACCGCAGCACGTGGTGCTGAATGAGACGGTACGTATGCAGTGCAACTTCAATCTGGACAAGGAGCTGTTGTACTCGGTGAAGTGGTACAAGGACGGTCACGAGTTTTATCGTTACGTGCCCAGGGACATGCCCACGGTGCAGACATTTCGTGTGCCTGGGGTGAACGTGAACGTGAGTGGTCCTGCCCATATCGATTCGTACCGTCGCCGTGTAACACGGGACAAAGGATCTGGATCCTTTCATTTTCAGATCCACAATTCCACGGAGAGAGCGGTGGTGCTGAGCAGTGTGAACCTGACCAGCTCGGGACGGTATCGTTGCGAGGTGTCCGCGGAGGCTCCAGCCTTTCAAACCGTCTCCGATCACGCGGATATGACCGTAGTCGGTGAGGAATATGCCTTCTTCTATGTCTAGAACGTGTGTATACACGCGTAGATTCATCCTCGTTTCGGGAACGTCGATCCAACCCTGGAAAAGATTCCGAATCTATCGGGTCTATCGGTTCGAGTTGGGGGACTAACGAGGGAGGAAGCTTCCGTTTCAATCTCGAGCGGATAGTAGACCCCCGAAGGGAATGGTTTCGATGGGAACGTGAGCACATTTTGTCGTTTCTTCCCCAGTGCTCCCGGACGAGGGGCCACGAATCACCGGTGGACGTTCCCGTTACCAAGTCGGAGAGGTTGTCCGTATGAACTGCACGTCCGCACCCTCGAAACCGGCTGCCCTGTTGACTTGGTTCATCAACGGCGACCCGGTAAGTACCCGATAATGAACTTCAAATGCCTCTTCGACGTCTCCCTTTCACTGACAATTACTGTTTCAATCGGAAATCGAGTCTCGACGCTACGAATCCTTTGTAAGTCTCCTGAATGCCTGTCGAATTTTGACAGCTTCGAACAGGATTACTTGAAAAATCTTGAAGGTCCTAAAGGTCCCAAAGGCCCTTAGAACCACAGGGTGCTAAGGATCCCAGGGTCCTAAAGGTCTGAATGCGAACCTCACCAATGCTACCGTAAAAGTAACAAAATTTTGGTACTAAGTAAAAACCTAACCCAGGTGGGGCGAAGTTTCCCCGAGTCCTCTCCAGGTTCACAACAAGCGATACAATTTCCATTTGCTCGGGCAATAGCGCGCGCTACTAGATAACATGCAGCGAAAAGAGGCGAACAACGGTCGTCGGACTGAAAAGGGCCGAGCAGAACAGTTGCGCACGCTTTAATCACGTTTCGGGGCAATTGTTCTCGCCCGACCGAGGTGTTCTCCACGCGTTGCGATTGTTACGAGGGCGAACGAAATCCGTCGTGGTGTTTCAGGCTGATACCCAGTACCTGAAAGGGCCGCACATTACCGCGGTGGACGAGAAGGGCCTGGAGACCGCGGTGTTGGGCTTGGAGTTCCGCGTCGCCAATAAACACTTCAAGCGAGGCGACATGAAACTGAAGTGCTTGGCGACAATAGCGACCGTCTATCTGCAGAGCAACGAGGAGAGCGTGGAGGGGGACGAGAGGGTCCTGAAAGCGCCCGTGATGGAAAGCCGCGAGACCAGGGCGCAAAGTCACACTCGCAACGATTTAATCAACGGTAAACCCTGCCACAATTCACCTCGAATTGTTTAACGTTTCCTATTGTACATATGAATCAGAGGAAGAAGAATCGGTTCGGGTAGCAAAGTCGATCAATGCGCACTCCACTATAAAGACGGAAAACGTGTTCTGTTTCCTCTTACCCTATTCTAACTGACAATTTTCCACTTTCTCTCTGTCTCTTTCTCTATGATAGTTTGGATCACTGACCTTGGTCTCGTTCATTCTCTATTTCGTTTTCAGGCAGCAAAACAGCGACCGCATTCACCTGGATGATCCTGGCCCCGATCGTCTGTCTGATCCTGGCCCGATAATGTCACACACACACACACACACGCAAACACAGTTTTACACGTCGCTTCCTGCGTGCGTAAAAACGAACTACGTTAGGAGATCGTTCCCATCGTATCTAATACTACCTTCTAAGCCGCGTAATCGTAATTACCTATCATATCGATAAACATGGTAAGGCTGGCACGTCCAATCGAGCGTCGTCGACGCACAAGCACTGGCGGGTCCATAGGAATTGTCCTCGTGGTGTCTGCTTTCCTCCTTTTTGTTCCGGGATAGTTTTCTGTTCCGCTGGTGTGATCGTTGCTCGCTGAAACACGGGAGGGACACGTTCGTTTTCACAATTTTTACCTCGACAGCACGAGGGAAGAACAGCAACAAGAGGGACTCTGATAGCTTGGAAAGCTGATCGGATAAGATATTGGAGAGGACAGAGTGACGAACCGATAGAGTCGGTGTTAGTGATGAAGTTAGAGGGAATTGAAGGAGTCGAAATGAAGAAATTAAAGAAATGAAGGCAATCCCCTCCCGCCCAAGCTAAGCAACTCACTCTAGACACCACCATCCAGGCAAGAATTACTCCACGATTTCGTCGTCGTCATTTTTCTAAACGAGTCACCGAAATTTTACATGGATCCGCCATTGCCACCAAACCAAAGTATGTTCTAGGCTCTAAATGTATTCTCTCGCGTGATGAAAGAGAGGTGTCTCGTTTAAAACATATCCGTGGGATTAACCGCGAGAACCAGAGAGGGTGGGAGAGAAAAGGTTGAATCAGAGGAAGCACAAATCCGTCTTCTCTCCGTGCGCATCTACGTTAAGTCGTCCAAAGGAGTCGTTTTTAGCAGAATATGGATGGGATGTTCTTGTTGCTTTCCAGACACCGATATATACACGTGTATTATTTTGTACGACGATTTTATAACGATACCCACTTCCACTTTGTACGGCATATCAATGTTTTTCGACCCGGTTCGACGGACGTGACTTCTCTTCGGTGCTGGGTACCACCGCCGATAGATGGTACGTCGAGGCATCCCATTAGAATGTGAATTCGAATCGACTGCAAGAATATACGACTGTTGTAAACCAGAAAATCACGAGAATGACACGTATATTCGATTAATTGAGAGTAAAGGACGATATCCAGCACTGGACACGAGTCCACTATCACCGAGATTTTTTATATTAAGCGACTTGTTCGCATCTTCATTTATCCGCGTGCAAACAAAAAAAGAAACGGTACGTACCTCCGTGTAGACGACTCTTCGATTAGTCCGAGGAATTGAAACGCCGCAGAGAGAACGTATTCGGACGGGAATTAAATGGTATTAAACGTGTGTTACATTGTTGTGTCGGTGTTTCGAGAAAACAAAATGTCTTCTTCGCTTTCGCGCGTCCGATACATGGCGTTTGTCAACCGAGGTAGGGGGCGCCCCCGACTGCGTCGCGATTTGCCTCTGAACGGCGCGCAAAATCGTTTTCCTTTCAAACCGATCTTTCTTGTGAAATTGTCGGACACGCCCGTGTCTTAGCCGCCACCCCTATTTAAAAACAAAACAAAACAGGAAAGATATATATGTACATACAATCGATACGACAGACGTGAGTACATACCGTTGCAGGTTCCGGTTCGTGTTCGAATGTTTGAAACATTTCTTCGTTGCATCGCAGAATCCATTATGGCTGTCTTCCCGCGTGGAACGCAATTTCACGAGAACGCTTGTTAATCGTACTACATTGTTGACAATATTGTTGCTTACTGCTGGAATTCTATTTGTTGCTTGTTTTACATCGTGTTGCTGCCAATCGATGCTTCGTTTCTGTTTTTCTTCGTGTACCACTTCGAACAGATGCGAACGAGTTACGAAAGAGGACAAGTGAACGTAAAAGCAGAATCGCTACACACGCAACAACGTTCGTTCGATGCATATTCAATACTGGATATCTGTTTCCCGCGTAGGATCTAGAATCCCGATTAATTGTCGTGTCACGTGAGCGTTTGCGAATTTGTAAATATGTACATAATTTTCATCGTTATTAAAATTCACTATTATGATACGTCTCTTTGTCTGACGATCAATTTCCCTTCAAAACAAATAAATGACAGACTTACCGAACGTGATGGAGAAGCTGTTGGCAGAGAATGTTACTGTTTTATTTGTTATCCTGTTTCTGGAACCACGTTTCTTCGATGATGCCTTTTTTCAAATGAAAAATTAAGCACGACACTCTCACCGGAATGCGTCCTACGCCATTTTGAAAATTAAAATGGCGTCCTAGGCGCGAAATCCATGCAACTCGCTTCCGCAGACAACTTCACACATCTTCGATTTAGATGTGCCATCTGTTGCCTGAAACCGAGTACTATTAGTCATTTAAATGTTAAACGTTCGAACGGCTGTGAATATTTAGTGTTTGATACACTGGATTTAGAATATTTCGAATTTTTTAAGTAGATATAGTAAAAGGTAAGTAATACATATCTATATGGTTAGTTTGTCCCTTGTATGAATGCATTTGAATCATCCGTATGTTTAACCTCCATAACCACAACAGCGTTCCATCTGCAACATTTAAACACCAATAAACTGTTCTTCTTCTTTCTAAAGCACATAGTAAATGGTATATACCTTCTAGATGGAACCTATGGCATTGGGATCTCCTGTTGGAAGTCCTATACAAACACCTGGAAGTCCATTAGCTTCCGCATATCTTCCTAGTTTCCTTATGGGAGACAATACAGGGGTAAGTGAACGAATATTACGTACTATGTACAATATTATGCAACTTCCTTGTAACATATCTTTTTCATTGGTTCTTCAGCCAAGCAAAGTAAATCTGACCAATCCTCAAGATACACCAAAACAGTTGCACATTGGGCACACCGGACTATCTTCTCCATTATCGCATTACGGTACTCCGGACTACCGTACCAGTCGTCAGAAAGCAGTATTTGGGGGTGCAAACACTCCGAATACATCCCAAATGGTCACAGAAAGTCACACTGGTGGACCACCAACCAGGGGACTCTTTGATACCTTGGAAACATCACAAGCAGCATCACCGTATTTGTCCGCTGCAAATCAAAGTGTTCCTGCCAATCAGTCTAGACTCTTAATGAACACTATGAACAATTCCATATTTAACGAGTCTGCCCTAACCCCTAACACGAATGAATCGCAGGGCCTTCTGCAGTGGGTGACTGTTTTTGGCTTCCCTCCAAGCGACATAAACACTGTTTTGGCTCACATTTCGAGCAGAGTTCGCATAGTGGATAAACATCCTGCTCCACACCAACAAAGTAATTGGATACACTTGAAGTGTGCCTCGGAACAAGAGGCCCACAGAGCACTCGCGTGCAATGGGAATGTTGTTTCCGGTTCAGTTATGATCGGTGTGATACCCTGCACCGACGAAGGTGTTACATTAGGAGCTGACAAGGAAAACCGCGCGAAAATGAATGGAAACGTCAGGTGCTTCTCTAATTTGGGAAGAGTTAATCAGTCCCCGGAGTACAGTAGTACCCCGCGCACACCGATTAAAATACAAAATGCAAGACCTTTGGCAGCTGGCTACTATCAACACCTTAGCCCGCAGTCGGTGAAGTCGCCGGAAAATCTACCACAGAAGTCTACTGGTCTAGTTTCTAAAGCGATGGAATACATGTTCGGATGGTAAACTTTGACGAAATAATAGAATTATCAATAATTAATGACAAATACTATTTAATTATAATTTTGCGAATGCCTTTATAAAGATCAAATTGAATGGATAACGACTAATTCGAGAGAGGAATATTTAAGGATCCTAAAATAGGTGTTACCTTATTGTATTTTTACTACATAAATAGTACGAAATATAAATCTTTATAAACATCAAATAATTATCACACGACATTATTATTATGCTATAATTCTGTTATATCATTCCTTTTACTCTTAGACTAACTACCGCTGTTTATATGTCACGTTTCTATGCTGTACGGTGTTTAGCTTAAAAATAGATCTGCAGCACTGAACCACAGATATTGCACGGATGTTTAAAATGGTTCGATTCTTAACGTATCAATGATATTTCATTGCATTATCGCGGTATAGTACAAAAAAGGACTTGTTTTGCGAAGCAGATCGTCGCGCCGGTATGTCGACACTTGAGCGTAATAAATGATTGAAACTTTATACATGTTTTTCGTAGATAATAAACGACTGTTGCTATTCCAATGGGATTATATTAAAACGATCGAGTCTCTATTCCTCCCATGTATCCTGTTCACGTGTAAAACACTAATATAGTACAATCACACATCCTTTCTCAGACTAATAAATACATGAATATTGTCCCACAATGTATCTAGCTCCTATTACTTTGGACTCTCAATGGTGGCACTACCTAAATCTGTCATTTTCGGATATTTCACTTTTTTCTTATCCAACTCGTCCTGTGCCCAAAGTATCATTTTGAGCAAATTATTCAATCGTGGGCTAGTGGATTCTCTGTGCTCCATCTTCAGTATGGCTGCATTCAACTCACTTGCTATCTGCAGTTTTACAAAACATTGTATTCTATATATAGATATCAATAGATACCCTGGAAGCTATGTAATGAATACCTTTTGTCTGTGAGTTGGATGTAAAAGATCACTGAAAGGACTCTTATGAGGTTCATCGAAAGCCAACAAAGCTAGGGTACGCTCCAGTTCACACAAAATATTATCATCGGATTCACCAGCTTCGCTCAGACGGTCCTGAGCAAACTGTAATGCCTCCTCGATTCTACCTGTGCGAATCAGCTCTATCAAGTGCAATTGTTGCAGGTGAAAGTAAAGATATCTATCATTGTCCAATAATTCTGGATGTAACTGGTTCACAAGATCGGTTGCCTCCTGAATGCGTCCATTTCGGCTGCCTCTTTGAATCCCTCTGTGGGACAGTCTAATTATTACACTACAGTGCCTAAAAGCCAGCACATATATCCCCACAGACACTACCGATGGAACAACTATCATAAGGGACTCACCTGTGACGAGATAATTCATAATCAAATTATTCATAGAAACGCGCTGAGTGTGAGAGTTCTCCTCCAATTTGGCAACCCATTCATCTTTCGATATATTGTCTTGTTTCTCCGGGAAGCTCATTGTTCTTTTGCAATCAGCATTGATGATTAGAACAAGCAAATGATTACAAAGATCACGAGCACGGTTACAGATACAATCCGGGGAATACCTTGCGGAAAAAGACCTCGAAGAATGTTTGACACAACAACAGCTGATTCCTCACCGCTGTTTCTCTGAGCGTAAACAGAGCAGCGCTAGGACGAACGGCTCGATTACAACCAATGAGAATCAAATCAGAAAATGAAGTTTAAAAGACGATAAGCGACGTAAAAAATGCTCGAATCAAACCGAAGATAGGTATTCTGGAAATAATTCAACCTCGTCAGCGTCGCGATGAGATGCGATCAACACAAGTAATCATATTAAGAGCTGTGCACAAGTCGAACCTTGAAACGAGACTAATGAATGTACTGCGTGTGAACGATAATTTATTTCGCAGTTTACTAGACCGGCCGAAAGGTGGAGCCGGTGGGGCGCCAGTGTGCAATCATGGCGGACCCGTTGAGCTTGTTGCGGCAGTATAATGTTAACAAAAAGGAGATAATTGAGCGTGAAAATCAAATTATTTTCGGGGAGTTTTCCTGGCCGAAGAACGTAAAAACTAACTACCTGACGTATGGGTAAGTACCCTTACAACTGATTGCAAATTAATCTCGACAGTTGTAACCTGAAACGGTCCCACCATTGGACAGTCTGCAACATATCCCTATCACCGTGAAATAATAAACAAACTGCGAGGAGGAATGTGTTTTGCGTACACAAATAAAAGTGGAACAATCCTATACTGTGATATTCCTTGCTGATTAAATCTTTCCTGTACATTGTACATTAGTACACTTAAAGAAAAAAAAAGTTCAAAACCAGGGCAACTTTGATAAATAGCATATTTCTTTATATCGTTTCGGAATAAATAGTACACGTATTGGAATTTCACATACACCCTGATTAAGTTTTTTTGTTTTTTGTTAACTTTTAATGGTAAATGTATATAGTACACATGTATATAGTACATATGTTCCATTGCAGAATGTATTTTGTTTTTTTTCCTAACTGAGGTTGACCGTGATAAGTCATTTTTTTGGCGCACTACTTAAAAAACACAATGCGTGTTAAGTACTGTAAATAAAAGATTATATTATATATTGTTCTGCAGATCCGGCAAAGAGGGAACTCCAAAGGAATATTATACTCTAGAGTGCCTCCTGTTCTTACTGAAACATGTGCAACTTACTCATCCTGTATACGTACGGCAAGCAGCCGCAGAGAATATCCCAGTTGTGCGTAGACCAGACAGAAAAGATTTATTGGCATATCTTAATGGTGAAACTGCTACATCAGCCGCCATAGACAAATCTGCGCCCTTAGAGATCCCGACTCAAGTGAAAAGAACCGCTGAAGATGGGTTGGAGAGTGGATCTTCGAAAAAACCACGATACGAGGAGACTCACGTTCAAAAGGTCAAGGAGCAACTGGCAGCTCGATTGGACGCTCCCAAGGAGGCCTCTGTCACGGTGGACAATATCAAGTCTCTGTCGGAGGCAATGTCTGTCGAGAAGATCGCCGCTATCAAAGCCAAACGTTTAGCCAAGAAACGTACTACAATTAAGGAGAACGATGACATCGGAATGGGATCCGATCTACGGGTAATACTGATGGATGTGGATGACACAAAGGATATAGTTTCTAGGGAAAGGCAGTGGAGAACGCGCGCGACTATTCTACAAAGTAGCGGAAAGATCTTTGCGAAAAATATATTCGCGATCCTTCAGAGTATCAAGGCTCGCGAGGAAGGCAGACAGAAAGGCCCTGCTGCTCCTACTCCGATGGTCACACCGCGATCCACACCTATGCGTCCGTTACCTCAGCCGGCTGTGTACAATCGTTACGATCAGGAAAGATTTATCAGGCAGAAGGAGGAAACGGAAGGATTTAAAATCGACACAATGGGCACTTATCATGGTATGACCTTGAAGTCCGTGACAGAGGGTACTAATCCAGCAGTGAGGAAACCACCGACCAATCCATCCACCACACCCAGTTCCGGTTTGTTGCCGACCTCTGCTGCCAAGCTCACTCCTCAGCAAGCAGCTCAGAACAAACGGCCTAGCAGGACACCTATCATTATCATTCCAAGCGCGAATACATCGTTGATCACGATGTACAATGCAAAAGACATACTTCAGGACCTAAAGTACCTTACCAACGAGGAGAAACGTTCACAGGGATCCAAGCGCGAGAACGAGGTCCTTCTGCAGCGTCGGAAGGACGGTGGACTCACGGTGCCATACAGGGTTGTAGATAATCCGCAGAAGCTCACGAACGCGGATTGGGAAAGGGTTGTCGCTGTGTTCGTAATGGGTCCAGCATGGCAGTTCAAGGGATGGCCTTTCGACGGCAATCCCGTTGAAATCTTTTCAAAGAGTACGTACCAATTAGTCTGTCGGTTTATATTGCGAACCGATGTTACTCAATATTAATATTTATCTTTACTGTTTACAGTTTGCGCGTTTCACTTAAAATACGACGAGATGAGGCTGGACGCGAATGTGGCTCGTTGGGCCGTGACTGTGATCGAATTGAGCAGAACGAAAAGACACTTGGACAGGGCAGCGCTGATGGTATTCTGGGAACATTTGGACAAGTACGTATACACAGATTAATCCTACGCGTATATCACTCGGAATAATTCATATATCCTATCGTACACACTACTCCCAATTTCATATGACGATATTACGCTAAATGGTTATTCCTAATTGTATCGATTAAAACTTCTTACAGACACATGATCAAGAACAAGCCACACCTACGGTTCTGAATCAAGTTTCGTCGAGGCCAGCGGCAAAGACTTCCAGGCTTACGATTTTCGCCGAGAGACAACAGGAACCTGTACATACTAATCAAAGAGTCTAACACCCGTGTACATAATCTACAAGAGGCGAAGACGTAGAACGTGTCTCTCTTCGCAAGAAGAAAACAGAAAAAGAAGACTAATTCTCTCGTGTACTCGCAGGCAACGGTATTAATCTTTCGAATCGCAAACAACAACCATTTTTTCTTAAAAACACGACAGAGATATAGAGAAAGTTGCAATCATCTTTGGTATGTTAATATGACACACATACCAAAAAAAAAATGTTATTCGCGGTTTCGTGAAACGATCACTAAAGAACCAAATAAAGATGAATAACTAATTCATGCTAGCTTCCTGTGTCTCTTCATTGTACTCATTGTTGTACCGTCGCCGAGAGGAACTCACGTCGAATCGAAAAAAAAAATACCCCGAGCAATTTCACGACCGGGATGATTACATTTCTTGGCACGAAGTTTAGTACCTCCGCGATTCAGGGCACGACACGGATCGCACGCGGCCTGCCCCAAGGGGATAAAACCGTGTTTTCCACCCCATCCCTGGAACACCCACCGAGGCCAATGCAAACCGCTTCCGGGCATCGACAGTTGCCCGTGCGATATCCTCTCGCGCTGTTTATACAGACAATTGAATCTTCTTAACTCGATTACTGCCGCCCTATTAGCTCAGGCTATTGCGATATAGCTCTCGCGAAACTTTCCAACCGTTCTCCTCGGAGAATTCCTACGGATCACGTCTCTTTTACAAAAAAAAAAAAAGGATTCTATGTATCCTCGAGAGGTACCGCACACACAGTATTATAAATAACCTGGCTATTTACGTGACCTACACAGGCTACAAATCTGAGATCATCCCTTTGTTATCGAGCACACACAACAGGTATCGATTAAAAAAGAATTTGTTTACAACATACTTTGCATTAATTTTTCGACGTTTCTCGATACGGAGGATGATCTCGAACTTAAACAGAACATTTTTCTCGAAGTGGAGGTTGAAAATGGCCGTGTGGGGGAGAACGAATCGGTCCCCAACTCCCACTAGTTTGACGGTCACCGAGGACTGCCTATTTCTCTGACAGGTTTGTATTTCACGCTCGACGATCAAAGGTCAATCGATAGAGAGATACGTGGTGGAAGGCCATCGGCGGAAGCAGATGATGCGTGTCGGGCGCGGAGAGACTATGGTTCACTGGGTTCGGAGAGCTCGTTGCGGTGAACTTTGTGAAGATTAAGGCCTGACACGATCACGGAAATCCCCCTTGCCTGATATCGAGCGTGGAGAGCTCGTTATGCCCACGTGGAAAATTTCACACACGATAACGCCATTAACCTTTCCCGCGCCCGACGATCGGACCAATCGCAGACTGGATCGGTGCATGTTTATACGAACGATCGTTTCCACGGGAACTTTTATATGTCAATGGAATCTCGGTAACCCTTTCTACAGTCACTGATTTCGATTACAGGTAATCATGGTGGTTGGATTTAAAAAAATTTCTAAAACAAATTCTGCTATAAACTAAATAGGATTAGCTAAATACACTACTCTACCGATCATTCGGAGTTTCCAATTAAAAAGGAAACTTGTTTAAACAGGTGAGATTTTTTACGAATCAATTCAATGGGAAAAGATTGGCATCCCTACCACTGACATAAAAACGTCTCATGCCTGTAAGTATTCGATCTCCATCTACAGATACTCAAAAAACGCATACGCACGTTCACCGTCCACTTCGATCCCATTTTCAAGGGAACTTGTAAGCGCACTGCGTGCAATTGGGCTGCACGCAGGCCGGTACACCAGGCAGTACAGGCGGCAGATGAAGAAATCCGGATCTTGAAGGAAGATGTTCTGTGACCTGGGCGTATACGTGATCCCTGATCTGTTGTTGCAATCCAGGATTAAAGTAGCTGTTATACTGAACGCTCAGCGGAACGCTGTCTTGCTGATGTTGCCCTGTCTTCACCGGTAGTGTTGCAGCACAACTGGCCGAGTCAGCGACGATGCTTTTCGGGAACTGGTCGGGGATGATATTCAGCAAGCAATAACCATCACCATAAAGGCTCCTGGACAGGTTCGAGTAGATTGGGGCGAGCATAGACCCGGCCAGCTGCTCGTTCGTTCTGGTCTCGCTGATAGGCTGAGTCGGTGGTCGAAAGGCCGAGGCGTAAGCGGTCGAACCGATGCCCAGACTGTCGCTGGCGAAGTACTCGATCGCCTTCAACAGGTCCTGGCCGCATCTTTGCAACACCAGCTGCAGCACCGAGAGCTTCGTGTTGGGAAACAACCGAGCCAATGTGTCCACCGAGGTCTGTGACACTATTGTGCCCTCTTTCGTCTCGTCAGGCTTATTGGGATCGAACATCGGACTCTTGTGTTTGGCCAGGTTATCGTTAACGGGCTGTGGGCAACAGAGTATGCTTGTGGCAATGGGGAAGAATACTGGGATACTCCTGTAGCAATTTCACGCGAAATCTGACACTTTTTGGAGGACTATTAATTTTCATACGGCCAGTTTTATAGGCGTTTATATACCACTAAAGATTATAACATATTCAAATTACAATAAAATCCGAAAACTGTCCGATTTCGCGTGGAATAATCCTCCTTTGTGTACGTACCGGGGACTCTTGACACTGGTCCTCGGGCGGATCATCGTCTTTCTTCGATTCGTCAGACGTATTCTGGCTGTCTTTAGGAGATGAACGGTCAGGTTTCACGTTGTCCGTCCCGGATTTCGGCTCGGTGACCGCCATACCGAAGATCTTTCCTGGTGGTAGTCGACTAAATCGTTGACCAGTCGCCACTTTGGCCATCTTTAAAGCGATCGCGTCCTCCGCCGCCTGTTGCCTCTTCAGTGCCACCTTGGTGAACGGGATATGGGATTAAACGAATGTCCGACTGGAGTCGATGAAATACGAGGCTGGATGGAGGTGGAGGATTTCGATTTATAAATGGGCGTTCGTGTACCATGTTTTCTCGGTGGGGGCAGTGTCAATAGAGATACATATGGGACCATTTTGGCACGCGTTATTCCCAGCTGGATCACCCACTGGATTATTTCATCGTCGTCGTTGGATCATCAAAGATGACTGTGCATCGATCAGAGTCTAACTAGGGGAACGGACGTGGCGTTGCGGCATTGGTTAAACGTACCTTTAAAGTTTCGAGTGTTCCCCCCTCCAAGTTCACTGATTTCTGAAAAAAAAAAAAAAAAAAAAAAAAAAAAAAAGCAAAATTAATCTATTCTCTAGGAAAAATTGCATTCCAACACAGAGGTGATGACGTTCTATCGAAGACACTATCCTTGCGGCGGCTTTTGCATCGACCGCGTCGGCTGACAGCGAGAGCGTGGACAAGGTATCGTGTGTCGGGATGCCCGTGTAAACAGAAATGAAACGCAACACCGAGCGTTAATGGATTTAATTCCCCCGTCTTCGTGTCCCAAGCAAGGGGCAGGGGCAAACAAGATCTCGAGTGGCACAAGTGCGACGAATAGAACTCATCCTTGTGTAAAATCATCGACGCGATTCATCGTTCAACGTTCTAGTTACAGATCGAAAACTGTCGGAGAACAATTGAAAATACCGATGGTGGTCCGTGATTTTGATCACAGCTGGTCAACGAATTCGAGACAGCAAAAGCGAGATGTCTTGGGTAAGAAATTTCGGACGAGCTGGTAGCGAATATTTCGATGATTTCGTAGCAGATATGAGACCACTTGGTAGCTAAGAAAGATCACCGAAGGATGAAGTGAAAAATCAGGATATAGGGAATGGTGAAGATGACTTGGTAGCAAACTTGATATAACTTGGCAGTAAATTTGAGATTGCTTGGTAACAAACGTGGGGCTGGTTGTTAGCTAAGAAATATCACCAGGGGACGAAGTAAGATTACAGGGAATGACGAAGAAGCTTACCTGGGCCGCCATGACCCTCTGTCTCTCCGCGATCAGAGAGCACTTCGGGCAAAGACACTCGCGATAACGACATTCCCTCTTGTGGCCCCTGAGCCACGAGATCAGCCCGTGGTTTCGGCAACGTGCGCACTTTGGTCTCCTCTGTTTCGTCTGACCCTCTTCATCCTCGTTCTCCGATTTCCCTCTAATTTTGCCCCGCAACATTGCCTAGCCGCGTCGTAAACTATACAACACGTCTATTACCATCACCGATCGAGCGTTCTCCGGCTCGACGAGTGATGCGACACGCGAAAGGATTATCGCTTAGGCGATTCTTGATCCCCGACTGAAAGAAAAATCCCGAGGACAATCGCCGCCAGTGATTTCGACACAATCTTACCCCCCGACGATTGGCTTCCCAGCATCATCCCCCCGCGGACCGGGAACAAAACAAACATCCACCGGACCACCCTTTCTCGAGGATTGGTTCGACGATGTTTGCGTTTCTCCCTCCCCCCGCGACTCCAACCCTTCGCGTACGCTTCTGGATCTTCCTTCTTTCCCGACAGCCGACTACACCGAAAGGAACGAACGCAATTCGGCTCTTCGAAAATGGGCAGTACCCTTACTTACCGATGTTGGTTTCTTTTTTTGTTTTTTCGATGGTCGATCGATACACAAGGACCTCCCTCGATTCCTCACGGAAATCATATATTGTATCGCGAATATAATGGTTATCTTTGAACCATCGACCACGACCACGGGTTTTAAGATTCTCGCGTGGATTCGACGAGACAGTCGTGAATAGATTATTTCAATTATAATTTTTTGTTAACCCAATGAAAGTGAAATCGTTAGTTCTGCTAAAGAACCTCTCCGACTGGAAGAAACAAAAGGAATAAGGTAAACGCACCGATGAATGAACACTTAAAGAATGTTTGTAACTATTAAAATTGAATTTTAAATGATAATATTTAAATAAATAGATTTTTTAATATCTATACCTTTTGTGCGTTTCCAGAGTAGATCATCGAGTACAGTAGCGTCCGTTTAATTGTCAAGAGACTCGGGGATTCGCTTGGCGAACAGTTATTGAGGGAATTCGACCGATCAATAGCGATTACTCGGTGTCCATCGAGCGGTGAAAAAAATGCGTCTATTAACCGGGAACTACTGTGAAATCCGTAAGTTCGTATTCTGGTGACGGTAATTGTAGGAAAATATCCACAGGAATGGCGGAATTGGTTCTGAAAGATGGTTTCAAGAATCAAGATTGTATAATTTCGCAGTTTATCTTTCACGAGTACAGATTCCGTAGCCGGTTAACGATTTCGAGTGGGATAATAATGAACGGGCCCTTCCCCCCGTCGCGTCGCAACAATATACCATATATAAAAAAAAAATCGGTTCACCGATTTCTTTCTTTTTCGTACTCTGTCGCCGAGAGTGTATCGAAACACGTTCCTTCGTTCGTGGTTCTCCCATTTCGGAACGCCATGATATGTGATGCCTTCGTTTCTCGCGTACGATCGATCCAAGATAGAGATACGTAGATTCGAGAAGCTTAAAGTTTAATCGAGCTCTCCTTTGGTTCATCGGTCTCACCTGAGCGAATGGATGGCGATATGATTGCACTGATATGATAGTTTTCGTTGATAGGTAGTCTCTCTCCACCCCTCTGCCCCGTGATTCTCCACCGTCTTCGACCATACATATTACCATGATTTTCGTGAATCCTCAAAGGACTCTTCAACATCGATTCGCAACTCCCCTAATTTCACACGAATACCCAGAGACGAACCGGTGATTTGTGTGTGTATGTATGTATGTATATATGGTTGTTGGAAATTCTCGGTCACTTAAAAACAAGCTTACGCCTAAGTAAAACTCCATATGGATAACGGACAACGGAATTTTGGCACGGACGACACGACCGTTCGCCGAACTGGAAACGGTCACGCTCGAGGACGACGCTCGGAGATACAGCAAAATCTTCCATTAACGCTCAGGAGCGCTTTCGAGCAGTTATCGTATAGGAACACGATTTTTGCGATCTATGAACTGCATTTCGGGCAGAGTCTAAAAAAGTGTATGGAACCTCCCCAATGTAGTGGAGGTGAAGAGAACTTCCACGGTTAATGATAAGTCTATGCGAGTGTTTTAGAAAATAAACGAAATTTTGCTTTTCTCGGCCATTCTAGCTGCTGAATGTCTCATTCTGTACCACTGTGCAACGATACGCGTTTTTATACAATTCTTTTTTTTTTTGTTTAAATAATATTCCTCGGTTTCGTCCTCGAGCTCATCGAAACCAGCCACTAGAGTCCGATCCATCGTCGAAATATCAATGCGCACCAGATAGAAAAAGATAAGACAGTGGGGGTGTGTGTTTTAATATCGATCGAGATCAAACAACACGTGGCTCGGTGCCCGTGGGATCTACGGATCCACAGAACGCGATAAAAAATTGTGCTCTCTCGATTTTGTATATACGATGCTCGAGTTGGCGGGTAACCGACGACGCTAGTCGCGGATAACGGAAATAATCTTTTCGTTTTCTCTTTCACTCACACTCTCTTTTTGAACAAATAAACTCCTCGTGGATCGCGGCTCGTGAGACCAATCGAAAAACGGAGTGTGGTTCTCTCGTGTGCTTGCGAAATATGTTCAAGAAACGGCTAAAAATACGCTATCGACAGAAAGTTCGGTAGCACATCTACTGTGTCTATATATCTCTCTCTATATACGCGCAGGTAGTCCATAAAGATGCAAACACATCGTGTATCCTCTTAGAATCTCGTTCAACCCCTTCTCTATAAGACACGTCATGGGTCCACAACGGTACAAATACACCGTATCGACAATCTCTCTCTTTATAAACGCGCCGCAAGTCTGTAGTATCAACAATACATCATTCCAAATGGCATCTCAACAGCCATCAAAAATCGTCAAAAATTCGTGGGAAAAAATGGGAGGAGAGGGCGTTGTCACAGAACGCCGCGATCCGTCGAAGAGGATCGAGAGTTTGGCGCCTCCTAAAATCGCAAGACACGCGAAGGGAACGGAAGTCGACCTACCGTCGCGCGGAAGAAAAAGAAGACGAAGAAGACGTAGAAGAAGAAGAAGAAGCTCCACGAATTCACAATATGTGTTTGTCGTCGCACACCGATTGGCCCCGAAAAAATCATCAGGATATACACATTCTCGCTAGATCATATTATACACTCGTGCACGTTTCTCTTCTATCACTTACACCATCACTTTCTCTCTCTCTCTCGTATCAAACACTCTGTATGTGTGTTGCATATGTGTATGTACACAGGGTCCTCCAAGAGTTTCGGAACGGTCAAATGTCTCGGAAACAAAGGATTTTGGATAAAAATATTTCAGACGAAAGTTTTCGGGTTTTTAAAGATCGATATTGAACTGTCATATCCGTTTTACCTTGAGTGGAGGGGGTCAACATATTTTTTTAACGCAGCATTCTTAAAGCTAACAGCGAAACCTTTTCGGTACACTGGTTCATGACCTTTTTTTGTACAGAAATTTTCTCAAAGGTCAAACGAATATAACCATTTAACAGGATTGTTAAAACCGTTGCCTGAAACATTTTTTTCAAAAATACTTTGTTTCTTTTTAGATATTTGTCCATCCCAGAACATTTGGAGGACTCTGCATAACCTCGTGGCGATCGTGTCCATTTTTTTTTCTCTTTCTCTCTCAGCCGGCCTTTCTTTTCACACACGCTCGCCGAGGGTCGATCTCTCGTGAGGTCGTATATATCCGCCCCTTTGACTAGACACTATTTAACCTTGCACTTAAATATATAACAGCGAGTACGTGTGATGTATACGTACGGATACATTCATACACGGATAACGTGGGTGTTAACGCGCGTGCATCAGGTTGTCGAGGAATTGACACGCTCGGGGAAATAGAAACAGAGCCATTATACACACTACCGTGTGACGATTCAATTCCAGATCACTGTTGTACTTATAGGGCGAGATTCATCAACCAATTTCCCATAGCGATTCGCAATTTCTGGACAACCACTGAACAACACACACACGCGCGAGTCTCCGTCGATATGCCCGAGAGTATCAACACGACGTCCTACCTTGAATATACAAAATTCTATGTACAATTCACCACTACGAGTGTCGTCGACCGACTCTTGCGCCAACATTTCGGACCAGTTGTCCGCGTATACTATCTCCGAAACAGATCGTCGTAAAGAGACACGTACGTGGCGCGGGCCATTTTACAGAGGAACGAAGACTCGGTGGAACGACGGTATTCCCTCGATACATGATCAGTATTAAGAATTCACCGAAATACGGTATTCCCTCGGATGAAAAACAGTGATCGATAGCGTACACAATCGATAACTTCGACCGTGGATCATGGAACGAGGTAATACCGTACAGTATACACGTACAGTCTGCTCCCGAGTCTCCCGGGCCCGCTGGATATCCGAAACAAAAGGTACCGTTCTACTCTCTACATGTCGCGACAATGGTCACACCCGCTACTCGGGGTCAGCGTCTACAGAATCCTCGGGAGGAGATCTGGACCTGATCTGGGCCTGGCAGAACGGTCCGAGAGGCTCTGGATCGGTACACGGCTACGCACGCGTCTGTTCACAGAAACGATCTGCCCTCTCAACAATCGAGTGTTCGGTAACAATGCTACTAAATCGTAGTACAACACATCTCTCTCTCTCGCTCTCTATCGTAATATCGCCGGTGGGAGGGTCGTTCGGTGCCTCCCATAAACGGATCGTGTGCGCGCAATATGGAACGGGCGGTCCACAAATGGCGAAAACGTCACCTAAAATCGGCCACGTATTCTCCACTCGCGACGCCATCTTAGAATACAAAGAAACCCCGTTTCTGGCGAAGGTTCCAGCCGATTTTCAATAGGGATCTACAGCGAAATCGGCAGCACCTTGCGCGTCGAAGAAGGAAAAAAACCGCCGAGTCGCTCTAATTAGCGTCTCCTCGTGAACGCTGTGACACGATTGCGCGGTCTACGCGTATGTATATATGTACACTACCGGCCAAAACTATGGGACCAGAGCTTGATAGAACAGTAACTCATTAATATAATAAAAGTCACGGATCGGTACTGTATACAAAATTACTTCCAATAAGTTTCAGCACATTATTTTTTATCAAATCTTTGTGGATCGATATTTTTCTTCTTCTTTAATTCTTAGACCTGCTCTCAAACTTTTGGCCGGTAGTGTACGTATGTTTGTGTGTGTGTGTGTGTGTGTGTACGACACAGAGTAGTACAAGAAAATAGTAAAGAGGGGGGAAAAAAGACGCTAAAAATCTGGGTCAACGCGTGTGCCAGCTCGTGTGCGTGGCGTATGTATGTGTGTCTCTCTCTCTCTCTCTTTGTGTAATTCGACGTGTCCCGAGAGTAATAAAATCCTAATTAGCGTCGTTACAAAAACCTTACAACTATTCAACAAAAACCAATCTCGTAACAACTTTTACCTAGTTATTCTCGTATCTCGTTCGCGTGTTCCGTACACGTATGTATCTCTCTACACCTACATATCGAACTTGCCCCTATTATAATGAAGAAACGGCCCCCGAAAGATCGCTCCGCGCGACAGTCTCGAACGTTTTACAAAAAAAAGAAAAAGAAAACAAGGGAAATACTGGTATAGCTCTTGGCGGTTCGTTGGTCGCGAGAGAGACGGAGGGAGATCCATCAAGATTTCGTCGGATTCGATCGATTCGTCTTCGCAACGATCACGTCCCTCCCTCTCTTATGATAAGCTCGAGATGGCCGACGTGTCGCGAAAGAAAACAAGTGTGCTCAACTTGAATGATTCTTCATCGTGCACCATCGACCACAAGCGGCAAAAAACATTCGAGCCATTCTTTGCAGGTGCACAGCAGTATATTCCGACGGCGGGCGCTTATCGCATACTACAGTCTGCTTAACCTTAAACGAGCTTCTCTCGACGTCGACGAGCAAACTTGTCGCGGAATTAAAAAAGGACGCTCTGTGGCCTCGTGGAAAAACCTATAAAATGTGCGCAGAGTATAAAAATTAAAAAGTATCTTTCTCTCTTTCTCGGTTGTGCACACGTGTCGGATTCGGTAACTGCTCGCCGATTCCGAGGAGAATGACGACGGGCCTGTATATCAATCGTACCGTCACGGATCCAGTTCCTGATCAGTTTGGAACTATAGAATAAGTTTATTATGAATATCCATCATAGAATATTTTTTACAATAATTCTATACCATAGAATAAGGTTATTATGATAAAAGTTTCTTGTATTTTGAAATTCATACGTAAAGTCTGATTGCTCTGAGTGAGATACAGATGTATGATTTAGGTGATCAGAAATTGCTCTCTTGGCATTTCTTACTTTAAAAGTTACATTATAATTCACCTATTATTAGTTTTGCACTTCTGTTAATACCAAACGTAGAATCACCACACAATAAATTTTCTCGTCATTTTTCTACCTCGTTAGTTACTCTTAAGTGATCAGGAACTAGGTCTGTAACGTTATACCGTTAAGAATGAATGGCGCGACACGCCGCCAGATCGGAGAGAGAAAAGAAAGAAAACGAGAGAAGACGCGGGAGAACACGTTTTTCTTTCCTCTAAAGAGTGTCGCGCGGGTCATCATCGAGAGGGGCAACAACGCTGCTCGCCTCGATTCGGTTACATCACAGAGCACTTCTCCTTCAGGCTGATCGCGTTGTTGCTCTGTACCGGTTGCAACGAGACCGAACGATTCTTCTCGAGCATCAACAGGTCCCGGAACAGCGCGTTCACGTTGTGGTTCGTTTTCGCGGAGGTCTCGAGGAAACCACATCCCCAATTCGCCGCCTCCGCAGCGCCCTCGCTCAACGACACCTCGCGGACAGACGGGCTCTCGTCGCATTTGTTCCCCACCTTTACACAGAGACAGAAGAAACGGATCAGATTTTGTAAATCTACCTTGTCGAATTATCGATCAGGATTTCATTTGAAGAATGCAATAAAATCAAGGTTTTAACGAAGTCTAATACTATTGTGTGTTACTATTAAACGTAGTAGAACTTTTAACAAAGAATTCAAGATTCTGTTCCATTTTAATTATTTAGATATTAGTGTCCGGAATTCTGAAGTTGCAGAAAATCTGTAGTCTAGCGATAAGTATCGATTTCGAGAAAATTCATCCTTGCACCGTGGTGTCCGAGAATTTTCCAACTGACCCTATATATCGGAAAACGGGAAATCCACCGAGGGAACGGTAAAAGTCGAGGACAGGGGACCAATAATGGCGAGAAACTTCGAGGTGTCTTACCAGCATGATAGGTATCTGGGATACGTCCTGTCCCTTGAGCTCCCTAATAATGGCCCAAATCGGTCGTAGCTCCTCGAGGCTCTGCCGCGAACACACAGAGTACACTAGAATGAACGCGTGACCCTTGCTTATTGATAGCCGTTGCATCGCTGGAAACTGATGGGACCCGGTTGTGTCCGTGATTTGCAGCGTGCAAATGTTCTTGTTGCAGCTGATCACCTGAAACAAACGTCCGAGAAGACTCGATCTACTCTAGTATACACACAACACGTATCTACACATTTCTTCTGTTCAATGTTTGTCGCGACACGGATCCGAATTCTTCACAGTAAACGACGGAACACTGTATTTTCTTATTTTCTTTTTTCTTTCTTCTTCTTTTTAGCTTTGATCCTAATTATGATCCTGAATTATTAAGTTTAATTTTATTATAATATGCTCATTCTATTATTATTGTTATAACACGGCAACGGGTCCTCGACCAGTTCTCCATCGAGATAACGAGCAGCGGAATAATTTCTCTTTTTCAAGAGAGAGAACGTTCAAAGACAATTTCTCTAGTGTCCACGAAGCACCTGGCGGAACACAGATCGTGTATTCAAGTGGTGTGTCTCTACTTGATCATATTTTTCATCGTGGAACCTGCATTAAATCACCGGTAACGGGTTCCCTCCCTTCCCCACTAGAACGTAACGAGGAGCAACGAGGCTTTTATATCGGTCTGAATAGGACGGATTTAAAATTGGAGGATTTTCGATTGCGATTCTTTCCCTGATTCGCGTCGAATCCAAATAGATCGAGGGAATAAAAAAAGAAAAGACAGAAAAAAGCTCGTTTCCCAAAGATCGACCTCGTGGGTGTTTTATCTTCGAGCGGATCACTCGGAACACGATTGACGATCGCCTACGATCACACACCTTTTGCATCATGCGTGAATCATCGACGAAATGTCAGACGGTTTGCGTCATGCTAGCCATCCCCGCGGCTCATTGCTTATCTGATCCCACGGAATATCTATTATCGCCGTCCCGTCCGACACATGACGCGGCTGTACTACTCGCCGCCGTCGCCTGTCCGATCCAATTCCACGCTGCTTGTTCCATTAATTATTGTGGGCTCGCACGATTCCCGTCTCACCCGTCGAATCGATCCTCCAGACTATGTTTAATCAGCGTTAAAGAGAGACACGTCTCGTAAGAAAAAGAAATCCCATTTCGCAATTTCCCCCAATTTTCCGATGTCTCGATTGCTCCTAATTTCGCAACTTTATCCCATTTCCTCGAAAGCGAACGCGTAGAAAACGTTTTACATGCTTACCTGTCTATAAGTGTCCTCGATGGTGGGTATGTAGGACTCGCGGAACGTTCCTTTCACGAAACGAAGCACGAGGGAACTTTTACCGACGCCGCCCGCCCCAAACACCACCACGCGGTAATCGTTGCTCTGCTCCGGCATCCTGACATCTGCCGTCCCGACGATCACGATCCCCCTGGATCGGGGTCCCTTCCGCAAAAACCCCTGAACCACGGCAACCAATCTGCAGACACGTCGGCAGACTAAAAACATGCGTGATTGAAATGATTTTCGTAAAAGTCACGATGGAACATAGTTACGAGAAGCAGACGGACAAGAATTCGTTTCCGCGATCTAGCAACTCGATCATGTGGATCTCGATCCCGTAAGACTACGAACCTTATGGAAATTTCTTCTTATTATTATTATTATTATTATTATTACGTGCGATCGATCATTCGAGGACGATTCTTGCCCGACTCTCCATGGCCTGCGACCCGCCCTCCGCGACCGCACTCTTGGACTTTATTTTTTTCCAGCTCTCTGCCAGCTCCGAGAATACACGTCGGTCGATTCGGACACGGCCATTAAGAATTGACGGGGACATGGGGTGGTATAGTCACGAATGGATGTTTCTGGATATCTAGATTATTGCGATAATTTGCGAATCCTCGAATCCTTGTAACCGAGGATCCGTCGATGATCCGTCGACGACTCATCGACGATTCATGCTTTCGTACTGGATCATTTAATGGAAGAACGTATGTATCTAAAGATCACACGGACACTCACTACAATAAAATGTATAGCTTTTCTTCGAATTTAATAAAAAATAAATACTAGATAAACCTTTGCGAAATTCGGGTTAAAATAGACCCAGGCATCGGTGGTGTGCCAGAATAAATCGAATGTAACCGCGAAGGTTAACTGGAGGGTCAACAACGTGACTTCTCAATTTACGATCCAGAAAAGAGAAATAAACACACACAGGCTTTGGTACGAGAGAAAAAAAGACGCTCGATAATCCTCCTGGCAGTCTATAGTACTCCCACTGTTGTATGTGTGTGTATGTCTATATCCGTATTCAACAAGTGATGTTCGAAAAAGAGAGCCCTTGTCATAGTCGAACAACCCGTCTGCCCACGCTCAGTGTTTCAGAGGAGAATTATAACCGGATACCCTAGGACGAATAAAAGAGAGAAAAGGAAACAAAGGGCGTATAGCCACTGTTTGTGTGTGTTTATGTTTGGTTGTGGACACTAGACAGGATGTAAACCGGCAAACAGGGATCACAGAGTGCTCCTCTCCTCTCTCTCAATGAGTCGCGTCGACACAAAGGGACTACCAGTGAACCACGTGGGGCCATTGTAACCCGTCGGAATCGATCCCCCGGAATGCCTTTCGAGTGTAGACGGACGACAAGAAGCTCAACTGGTTTCTTTCACAGTTTTCGAGCATCCGAAATAACGGATCACCTCTGGTCAATTACACCTTGATGAATCGTTGGGTCAATCTAAATCGAGTTGCACAAGTTTTAATTATTTTCTAGAATTTTGTAATCTCCTCTCTCCTCCTGAGCATGTATACCAAAGGGCTTATTGCCCGTTAAATAAATAAAAAGTATACAGTATGAGTGATTGCTCAAAAATTATGTATATATATATATATATATATACATAAATATAAAAGTAAACAGAACAGTAATTAAATTAGGGCGGCGCTATTGTTTTTCCACCCGCGTAGCTAACAACCCACTAACGGAGCAGACATCCATATCAGTTAAAATGGTACTTTTCACCCGACTCGATATTCTTGGTTAGTATACAATCAATTACGGGACAACATCCTGTACATTCCCTCGGTCACTGTTCGAAATTATTTGATTCAGATTCCACATGGTTCCATCGTTAACAACGTAACCCATTGAGAGGTAGACAACTAAGGGGGGGGGGGGTTGTTGTAACCGGCAGAGACAGAGATAGAGGACTGCGAACCCCATACGGCGGGTCAGGTGAGCAGAAATTCAAAACCACGACCACGGTTAAACGTGGCCGCGTCACACGGGGTGATCTCTCTCCCTCTCTTTCTAGTCACCCGATAAGATCACGGAGATCCCATGATGACGCGTGTGCAGGGAGGATCGCGGAGGGTCCCTCGCATAAACGATAAACCGTATATATGTGTGTATGTCTGTGAACCTGATCGAGCGGAGAGTAATGCGTGTCCTTCCTCTCGAGGAGAGACGAGATCTATTCCTGTAGATGTTCTGGGATCTTCCTCGAAATAACCACCAAACGGACGAGTATATGTCGGATCCAAATGGATCCTACGGTGTGTCGGAACGTCAAAGGATATTCGGCTTCACCGATTCTTCTTCGAACTAATATTCATCCAGCTGTAGACAACACTGTGTTGTGCACCCTGGTACACGCGTTGCTTTCCAATATTCCACTTGAATCCTTGACCAAATAAGAACCAACGTCACAGGATCCTCCTCGAGACATTCACGCTGTGTATCTGTCAGTGGACACGGTGTCTAAATTTCAGAAGGATTCCCCTTGGTGAATCCGCTGCAGTACTTTATTCCAAGATTTCCAGGATTCCACTACAGTTCCAAAATCCTCCTCCTTGGTCTATGGTTCACCAGGAACAACGACACCCGGTAGTAGGCAGGACAGGAGGCGATGTGTGCTGGAAGAAGGACGATGTGTCACTGAGGTAATTCGAAAACGATAACACACACCTGGTGGGGAACCCGTCGCGGGTGAGAGAAACGTGGACAACACACCGCTGACCCAGAGTCGGATACACACCTGCTCTGGTACTGGTCGTGCTCCCGGTTGCGTGAACTTTGACGAGGACGACTCTCCCGAAGGGAAACCGACGCGGCGCACGCCCTCCGCAACGAGGCTCACCCCACTCCGTGGGGGAGGCGTGTGTGCCCCACCCCCCCGCCCCTGATGCTTGGATGTGTAGGTGTGTTGCGCGTTAGGTGGGAGCGCACTACGCCAAAAGTGCCGGGGAAAATCAATAGCTCTTCGATGGTGTGCGTACATTCGTGCACCGTAGACAGAACACATACACCACCATCGGTTGCTATCTCCTTAGGCTTGCCACACGATTCTTCTCTCTTCCTCCTTCGTTTCACAGAGAGCCTCTTGCACACGTCCAATTACGATTCTTCTAGTGGCGACTATCTTCTATTCTAATAATACATCTATGGAAGTGCAATGGCCGAGGAAGGGCGTCTAAAGGTACTCCCCTAAAATCTACAGGTACAGATTCTTAGAGGCTACAGAAACGAGAGCAAGATATCAAAGTTATGGAATACTTGGATGACTTTATTGCTTTTCCCGTACTGGTACCACATTTCTTTCTTCCTATCCTATATATTCGTCCTAGAACCGTACACAGCTCGCGTAGTTCTTAACTTAAGAGTTAAAACCAATGTGTGCGTTCAGTTATCAGTCCTGCACAGTCTTTAGATTTGTAAAAATACTTGTCCCCTTTTATCAGTGAATTATTTAAACATCTTTCAAGAGAGGATTCTTTGTGACGCTATCGCTGCCTTCGTTTTCGATGGATTCGTAGGTCCATTTACGATTATTCCTAACAAAGAATGATGGAATTTAAATATTGCACTGCAACCCGATTTCTGTACACCAAGCTTGATTGATTGGCTTTAATCACAAATGCGCTGCACTTGTTCTCTAACCAAGGATCATTTCTAAAATTATGTGATTATAGGATGAATCAAGCAAGCCAGGTGCATAATTTTCTACGACATGAACCTGCACTCGTGACCACACTTGGTGGAAGAACATTTCGGACAAGGGAAATGACAACCCGCACAGGTCAGGTTAAGGCAATCGCACAGATCATCCCCTGTTTGAATATAGAATCCATTCTCATCGTACAAGGCGCATCTCTTGTAATTTTGGTAGACTCTTCTATGAAGCTTGCGCTTCTCCCTTTCGCTGTGTTCCGGATCAAAGTTCCTGAGAAACTTTTTTGTCACATTGTCGACGGCTCCCTGCCTGGAGCCTCGAGTGACTCTCTGCGAGAAACACGTGCTGATAATTGGCATACTACGTTTGAAATTCAGAACAGAAAGGGGGGCTTACCCTCTCAGCCCGTGGCGTAGCCTCTATATTAGTAAAGGATGAACTGTCACCAGAAGTCGAATTTCCCGTGTCCATGTCTGTCATTCGAAAACTTTAGACGAGGTTAAGAGTTGAGACTAGAAACGAGAGACATAATCCTCCAATCTTACACACTCTAACCTACGTTCGAAGAAGTCCCATTTATATCTTGCATCAGAGAGATCAGACGTTTCCAACGATTCAGTAACGAAATAATTGCAAACTCTCCGAAACTTAACCTACTCCACACATTCGAACCGCGAAAACTACGAAACAATAATTCTGCACATCAAATGAATACCACTAGCGCCACCTAGTGCTCTAAGGAATAACTTCCATACAAAAAATAAATTGTGCCGCCATCTAGCAACGAAATGTGCAAATTAAGAATGAAATTTATGTACAGTCGGTAACGTTGGGTACTGACACTGAAATGGTAATTGGGTTAGAAGCTTGAGCATTTTGCCGTAGATGGAGACACTTACTATTTCAACATGGAGTTTCCTATTGTGATGAAGGAAACTTTTCACTATTGTTGCAATTAGAATATTCAAAGTTACAAAAGGACTTGGAATATTTTCTAAGACAGATAGAATAGCTTGAACTTTGTTTTATCGACTAACCAAGATTAATGAGCATGAGAAAACTCTAATGAGATGTTTGTTAAAGCGAAAGGAACAATGATGAATGTTTTCAGTCCTAATACTTGTAACACTTAACCAAGATGAAAGGAATTACATACATATTTGTACACTTTATAAAATAATGTTAGGCGGGTTACATACTTGAAAGGGCCCATAACGGCAACTAGGATTTGCATAGTCCGTATGAACAGCGGATTGCCTAGCACAAAGGTGTATGTGGCTTATACATTTTAAAAACCATGTTGCAATTTAAGTAAACCGAATCGCTTCTCAGTTTTACTTTATTATGCTACGTATATATTCCAAGATGGCAAAAAAATTGTTGGTTTTTCAGTAAGTAAATTAAATATTCATGTATGTATATATAATGAGAAATATTAACAAATTAATACTGATTCGAAGCCCTCTAGTGGGTACTATACGTTGCGAAAGTGTCGCCACGGCTTGGTCGCTCTTCTCAGATCGTTCACTACTACGGTCTATTCGATCGCGCGAACCAGTGAAATGTGTGCCGGCATCCTCATCGAATATGTACACCGTTGATCTTTAATTCCGTGGGATCCTGAATGCTTTTTATCGACCCAATAAGGGGGAGTAGCCGTCAATTATTTTTACAGTGAGTATCGTCGTTCTCACGTTAATATTCATCATAGACGTTTCAGTGTTCTTTGAACAAATACTATTCTATCGTTAACAGTGTGTTAATTATCCTTGACGCGACAATTCCCATCAAGGACAATAATTTAGCACCTTGTTCATTAACACCTAAGCAGGGATCGTGTCGTACTTCCTATGAACATTTTTATAACCTAACTTGAGGATTACTGTTCTTCGACTCGCAAGGGTGGCAAAATAGAGACTAGCCGTTTGATCGAAGTGCGATGATGGTTCAGGCTCATTTTGTTTCTTTGCTGTTAAAAGAAGTAATTGAACATTCTGCTACCTTTGTTCCATTCCACGGGATGTTACAAGACACATATATATGTAACGCATAATGAGAACGCGTCCAATACAGGTGACATTTGAAGGCATTTGGCACGGGATTCGCGATTGCTATTTTTAAAATGCAACCTTGCGACATTATTTATCGCTTTGTGTTATTGCAATATACTTGTATACCTAAGGGGTTTTGTCCGTGAAACTCGCTGCGGAAAGGTTTATGACCACTGTCCGCGTTAACAACGATGGGCCGTTCCTTGCGATTTTTTTCATTCTCTAATGCTTCAGTTCTGTAACTCGTTCTTATAAAATAACTGGATCAGAGAGTGCCATGAAACACCGTCTACGAGTTCAACGAAAAACGAGAAGGGAAATGAGAAATACTGGAAATAGCTGGTTAAAAGAGCATCAACTTACGTAACACCACGTGCTTCGAGAGACTGTCAAGGTCTCTTGAATAATATAACGTGAATTATTTTTCGACACTTAATCGCTAGTGACGTAGAACGCGTATAGTAATTAAATACCATCGTCACGTACGTTTCAGTGCTTTTTTTTCATCGACTTCCTCGATCTCACCGTCCCGGGACAAAATATTCCTCGATAAAGTGAACACAGTCTCGTTGGTTGGAAGAAAATGATACGTCATTATCACACGTAGCTCGTGTGACAAGGAGGTGGACATACACGTTCAGAGATGTCATCTGGAATTTTTTTGAAAAAAAAAAAATTGATTAAATTTGTAGATACGGTAGCCATCTTAGATGGTTCACCTCTGCCACGGGGGAACATACACGCGCGCGCGCGTAAATAGAAGACTTTAAGGGGTGGTTCTCGCGCCTTAATTATATCTTCCCGTTTTACTAATTTTCCAAAGACAATACAACCGAATGTCTGTAGTCGACGTACAAAGTCACTAATCATCGTGAATGAAATCGTACAGACGATCAAATATGCGTCATCCAACTGTAATCTTCCATACCACGGAATTCTGACATTGAGATTTCAGCAAACCGAACACCGATTTCGTTAGTGGTAACGCGTATCGCGTTTCGCCACACGTAGCGTGTCGAGTTATATTCGACGGTTTCGTTATCGGCTCGAGTAGTCTTGCACGTGATATAATATCTGGTAGAGCGCGATGAATACGGTTTCTTATCGGCGAATTACTTCAATCACGGAAACTAGGAGGTTTTCACGTGGTGTTAAGATGCGTTAGCACTGGTATAGTTTCTCGTTTTTACACTCGATGCTTAAGCAGTGAACCGTTACGTCACCGCACGAGACGCGTTGCTATACATATAGTAAATAACGTAACGCTCGTATGACACATCGGCGCGTTCACATGATAACGCCTATACGCATAATGTATAGATAAAAACGGGATTGGTCACGTGCGCGATTGATCAGCTGCAGACGAAAATTGTCGATGCATGTCAGGACATTTGCCAACACATATGTAATAGCTTCTTAAACCCTAAAGATCGTCTAAGAGCCAACGAACTATCCGCACGATTCTTTCTTCCATGTTGGCCAACGATTCCTCGTGAATCGTGTCGATACACACACACACACACACACACACCTGTTGATACATTGCCAAATATCACGGAAGGTGATTCATTAAATAGATCGGGGCCATTGTTGATCGGTCGGGGGAGATTACATCCGACACAACCAGATTAATTAATCTTATCCGAGAGAGGTGCTAAAACATATTTCGTTTTTACGGTGATTCGGTTATCGTGCAAATGGATGATCAGTCGTTTGACAACCCTTAATGGTACCTGTACTTACTTTATTTTACAAAACTGTAAATATTCGACAATAGTGATCGGGCTAAAATACCGAATGACTTTTAGCAATTGAACTTGACTTTATACAATTTGAAAGACGACACTCACCGATGTACACACAAGTATCACTGATTTATTCTGTATTCACTTCTCAGATCTTTCCTGGAAGATTGTCGTTCCGGCTATAAGTTGACGTAAAATATGGCATCGTTGAAGCTGTTGGCGGGGGTCACGGGTGCCGTGGGTGCCAGTGCAATAACCTCCTATATGTTAATGTCCGACTCGACCGTAAGTACGTTATCGGTGTAACGAATATTCCCTGGACGCAAAGAGCCTAAGAGCCTCTCATTTCAAGAGCGCTGAAAGAAAGAGAGATTCTTAGAGATTCTCGTACAGTGGACTCTTGACATATTGCCGGGGCTGTAGGAGAGTGAAGGTAAGTTTTCACATGACAGTAAAAGTCACGTAAAAACGTACCTTAAAATTCTCGAAAGCGGCAACATATCGAGAGGCCCTTCTATGTTAAGTTCTGCCGTCGTAGCCCCAGTGCATGCGCAATAGCTGGATCGTGCTGGTGGCGGGAGAGCGAATTTGAAGGGAAGTGCTTCGCGCGGCAATACAGTAAGAGTCCACTGTATTTTCTATCCCCTTGGTTATTTTCATCCCGTCTGTTATTTGACGAGACAAGAAATCCAGACGTAGCCAGTTAGTTCCGAGAGACTAAAAGCTATTACTGACCTATAATCTGTGCCGGCGGCATTCAAGGTTGCACGCTTTTTCGCGTGATCAGCCAACAGTCGCGTGGTTACCAAAAATTTTACCGTTAGGAAGGTCTGTGCCAGGCCAGGCCAGACTATTTCGAACGCTATGCGATTGTTCGACGAAAGCCCAGATATATATATTCACGTGTATATCCACGGAAAACCGTCTCTCGGGCCTACGAAAAGAGACGTGATGCCGTTTTGCCGGACAGATAAATTACCACCGAGTCATTTATCAATTAAAGAGTTATCACAGGCAGACGCGTATCCAAGTAGCCTAATCCAGTTTGAGATATCTCAGATCATCTCCCCTGTTAACAATTGATCTCATTGTTAATCGATTAGAATTGATTGCTCACGGCTGGCGCTAGCGATATGAACTCTCGGCTACTGGCGTGTGATAATTACATTGCGTGAACGACGTTAACGTTGTACGATGGCAACCAACGCATCATCTTCAATTCGTTGTAATCAGTTCTCTTTTGTCCTCGGATTTCTATGAGTCATACGGTTGCATTGACTTAACACTTTTGACAGACAGACATCCAGTCGAGTCGATTATAAATAACTCGTACGTTGATATGTATGTAATATTATTCTGTTTATCATAGGTTTACGCCGATCAACAGAAATCAAAGCCAATGAAAAGGCCTTTGCCGACACGAGAGGATCAAATAAAAACATTAAAAACTCACGGCCAGTACGACGTTCTTATTGTTGGTGGAGGTGCAACAGGAGCTGGATGTGCTTTGGATGCCTGTACACGAGGTATCCTTTTCCTTTCTTCTTACTGAAGAACAAACACATGGACACCGTACCAAAAATTGGTTAACCATTCTGTTGGTTCTAGGTTTGAAGACAGCTTTAATCGAAGGTGATGATTTTGCATCGGGTACATCTTCCAGAAGTACAAAGCTCATTCACGGTGGAGTTCGTTATCTACAGAAAGCCATAATGCAGATAGACGTAGAGCAATATAAAATGGTCAGGGAGGCGTTGCAAGAACGTGCCTCGATGTTGCACAACGCGCCTCATTTGGCTCATCCTTTACCCATAATGTTACCTGTATACACGTACGTAAAAAAAACACCTGTATAGTATCTTTGTAGCCGCCTTGAAACTCGCGATAAACACTGAGAAACGCACATTCTATGCATTGTCCAAACAGGTGGTGGCAAATTCCTTATTACTGGTTCGGTATAAAAATGTATGACTTGGTTGCTGGGTCGCAAACAGTGAAGGCATCTTACTTCCTTAGCAAATCCAATGCGTTAGAACTGTTTCCAATGTTGAAAGGCGACAAGCTTACAGGAGCAATTGTCTACTACGATGGTATGTTTCCGGTATTCATATCTATCCATGTCGAGATTAATAATTTCATGATCTTGTGTTCCAACAGGTCAACAAGATGACGCCAGGATGAATTTAGCAGTTGCTTTGACCGCGTCGAGGCATGGTGCAACAGTTGTAAATCACGTAACAGTTGTCAACCTCTCGAAAGGTCTCGACAAGGTACATGGATATTCTTTTGCTACTCGTAGAAATAAAATTCTGATACCTTATCTGACTTAAAACACTCTTGTTGTTTGAAGGACGGCAATCGAGTACTGACTGGCGCTCGTGTCAGGGACGAGCTCACCGGCGAGGAATGGGACGTGAAAGCGAAAGCGATAATAAACGCAACAGGTCCCTTCACGGATCACATAAGGAAAATGGACGACCAAAATGTGAAAACAATTTGCGCTCCTTCTTCGGGCGTTCATATCGTTCTACCCGGTTATTACAGGTAAACGAAATTCTTTCATTTGTTAAACTCTGAAAGGGAAGAACGATTTAACTGACTGAGTAACATTTTGTATAGTCCCGACCAGATGGGTCTGCTGGATCCAGCGACCAGCGACGGCCGTGTTATCTTCTTCCTGCCTTGGCAGAAGCAAACGATCGCAGGAACGACTGATCTACCCTGCGACATCACGCATAATCCCCGACCGACCGAGGACGAGATCATGTTCATTCTACACGAGGTCAAGAACTACCTGAATCCGGACGTTGAGGTACGTCGTGGAGATGTACTGTCAGCGTGGAGTGGTATCAGACCCCTTGTCTCGGATCCGAATAAACCGAACACTCAGTCACTCGCCAGAAATCACATTGTGCACGTCAGTCCGACGAAATTGATCACGATAGCTGGAGGCAAATGGACGACTTACAGGGCAATGGCCGAAGAAACAATAGACGCGGCTATCAAAGGTATGGGTGTACCTTCTCTTCTTCTTGAGCAGTAAATGTGTATCGCAGACGGAGTTTTTTTATTAATTGTTGCCTCCGATTAGCTTGCGAACTACAACCGGAAAGGCCCTGTCAGACCAGAGGCTTACAACTGGAAGGTGCACACGGTTGGAGTCCGACAATGTACATCAGATTGGTGCAAGATTTCGGACTGGAATGCGAAGTCGCCCAACACTTGGCCAAGAGTTACGGGGACCGTGCATTTGCTGTGGCGAAGATGGCTTCTCTTACTGGGAAACGGTGGCCAATTATAGGAAAAAAGATCCATCCTGAATTTCCGTATATCGACGCCGAAGTAAGTTCCCTGGTGTTTTGTTATGATGTGAATATTCTGTTCTTGTTGCTGTAATCGATATGGTAATTGATGTTAGATTCGATACGGAGTTCGTGAATATGCGAGAACAGCAATTGATATGATTGCACGAAGATTGAGATTAGCGTTCCTGAACGTTCAAGCGGCCCAGGAAGCTCTTCCAGGTATCATAGACATCATGGCGGAGGAGTTACATTGGACAGATGATGAGAAGAAGAAGCAACACAAAGAGGCCAGCGACTTCCTTGCCAATGAAATGGGATCGATGGTTAACCGTGCTTCACGCGACAAGATTCCCATTAACCTGACCAAGGAAGAAATACAGTTATACATCAAGCGTTTCGGAATCATCGACAAGGATAACAAAGGATACGTGTCCATTAATGACATCAGGCGAGGACTTAAGGTATGCCTAAAGAATCATACCGACTTCATGTTCGCCTGGTTTCTTGAAATCGTGTTCTTTTCATTGCATTATTATCGAATTGTCAATGTCTAGGTACTTGGAATTAAACTGTCAGAAGATGAGATGCATACTTTGCTCAATGAAATTGATCTTAATTACAATGGGCAAATGGAACTGCAAGACTATCTACAGGTAAATAATCATAGAACATCCGTTTAATTCGTACATTTTACCGTTCGCAGCTATTCGGTGACAAGGAGGTACCTGGTGAAGAGCTTCATGAAATACTGCGCGAAATCGACACTAATATGAACGGTCAAGTCGAGTTGGATGAATATCTTCAGGTCTGTGAACACTCACACGAACAGATTCGCAGTGTAGTCCTGATGCTTTCAGATTGCCTTTTGTTATGTAACATACTCGGAGTTTGTTTCTTTTGCCTGATACAAAGAGTAAAATCGCAAGACCTGTTGGATATTAATAGACATATTTTATAACGCTCAATTTTTGCATTTGTAGTAATAATATTTCTTGCTATTCCATTTTTTTTTCTTCTTCTTTTAGTTGCACGTACACTGTGTGTTCGCTGAGTTTCAGGCCACAAATTTACGCGCGCGCGTGTGTGTGTGTGTGTGTGTGTGTGTGACTTTAATACACACTCTGTTTCCTCTTGTTTTTGGTGACATTACACGTAACACACTATTCTGCTTGTTTTGTTTCTTGCAAGGTGATTTAATATCATGCTGCTCTTGTGCCAGATTGCAGTTGAAATTCTTTGACATTTATTGCAACAATCTCTTTTGATTTTTTTAAGTTATGAGAGTTTAAAAGACTCGAACACGTATATTTACATGTACAATTTTGTTTCTGCAGATGATGTCAGCCATTAAATCTGGACATGTGGCGTACTCGCGTTTCGCAAGAATGGCAGAAATGGAGGAGGCACAACACGAGCAGGAAATATTGAAGAAACAGATCAGTGTGGAGAGATCAGGTGGAGGACTGTGAAGAGATTCACGGTCTACTTCAGTGTAATTAACATATTGACACCATTACGACAAACTGTTTATCATAGAATATTTGTTCACCCCAAAATTCACATGTAGTCCAGTCTAGTACAAATGCTCCAGGATCACAATGATCACGTGTATTTCATACTTTCTACTGCAACTTCTATTTTGCAATCAGCCTTTTCAAGCTCAACGAATAAAAACTAAGCAGTATCTGTTAGAATTTTAAGAATGAAAACGACACGATCATACGAATTTGAACTTTTAATGTAAATATCTTGTGTACAGCATCTTAGTTGCACAAAAATAGCTGTGTCATGTTTGTATATATGTTTTCTGCAAAACGCAGTGCAATTGAGGTGTATCCGTTACACCACATTATATACAAGTCGTTTAGATTTATGTGAAATTATACATCCAATTTCGCATTGTAAACTTCCATATGTATGTAACAAAGGCTTGCAACCAATTATTAGTTGCAAGTGTTATAACTATTATAACAATTAAGATATTTCACAACTATAAAAGGGCAACACAGGTGCAGTCTCATGATGATTTTGAACTTACTTTTCTGTAAAAAAAATCTGTATCGTTACCATTGAAGAACAAGCACGAGTATTGTGAATAACTTTGTCTTGATACGTTATACACAATAGTCGTAAACCAAGAGTTAATTCATGCCACTCTACAATCTTATTTTTAGGATTTGATCAGAGAATTTTATTTGTAAATTATATTAATTGCTAATGTATATTAGAACCAATCTATATAGATTAACCATTATTTAAATAACTACTTATTTTATTTATTGACTCTAACATTGTGGAGTCACACATGTAAACCCACATTAGAGATTAATTTATTTCGCAATCATTAGTCATTGCCACCAATTTAATAAAACTCATATTGAAGTATCATGTTCAAGTGTTGTTTATATGGCATTCCTTCCCGATGTTCACTTTCAATCCTTTAATCATAATAAGACTGTGGACAGTTATGCGAATATTCATTGTTCTAAAATATTTGACAAAAATTAATTTCAGTAGCTAACTGAAAGATTCAGAGAGTCTAAAATCCGTTCTGTACACAGCATACCCGAACGAGAGACTGTGGAATAATGTATATTTAATAACCTTAAAGAGAAAATGAATAATTTCAAACAATGAACCACAAATTTCGGGGTTGGTACAACGTCTCACTAGCATTTGAAAAGAGTGCACACAGTCTTACCGTCGCGTAACTTATGTAGTTGTTATGTCAGAAAACTTGTTCATACATACCATACCTACGCACGAAAGTCATGGACTGCAATAAAAAGGGCGGCGGCAAAAGGGGGTGTGCAGCTCCTCCCTTCGTCGTGCCACGATCGTCATCTGGCACATATCAACTGTTGTTCACCGGGCTAAGGCGAGAGAAGGAACACATGTCCAATAACGACGATGCTGTCGCGACCCCAGGCAACCAGCCGTGGCCCTGACCGGGGGCCGGGGGCTACATCGAAAAAGAGGGGAAGGAAGGCCAGAGAAAGTAGGAGGTGTGCATCGTTTATCCCTCTTCGTCGGGGTGGGCGTCCGACGACCGCCGCGTACGCCCCTGTCCAACGAACCTCTGCTCGTTGCCAGCGATCGCGTCGCAACAGCGACCAATCAGAGCGTCAGTACGCTTGTCTCGCGGACGGCGACGTTGCCACCTCGTGTACCGCCCCACGGCGAAAGTAGTCGTCTCATAGCGGTATTCGTAGCCCTGTTTTCGCGAGGGACGGCCGACCAACACGTAGTCGCATACCAGTATACGTGCACGTGTTGAAATCACGTTTGAAAATTAGATCGCGTGCGCCCAGGTGTCGTCGTAGGATAACCGTGGCCGATGGTTTATCGGCGAGAGTCGTCGGTTAGGAGGAGGAAGCGTCGTCGCGACCCGTACAGAAATATCGGATCGACCGCATCCACCACGGTGCTTTTGGCGCCAACTTTAAACGAGGCATCGATTTTCTTGTTTCCTTAGGGAACGACTCGTACAAACGGTTGCCCAAAGTTCCGGGCGTGTTTACTGTAACAGAAAAACATCGAAATAGAGACGAAATTGGGAAAGTTGTAGAGATCGTCGACCAACACTGGGATTACCTCCGGCCGGACGTAGTGCGCTCGCGCGCGCGCGCGTGCTTTACGTGTGCCGTAGGGCACTGGCATGGGTAGGGAATCAGACGCAGCTTGCCAGTAACTGCCAGTAACTACGGACTAAACAAAACCCGTGTGTGTGTGCCTGTGTGTTGTACTATGCTTCCGTCAAACTTTCTTTGTAACTTTTAAACGTGGAGGAAACGGCCGAGTTCCTATCGTTGTCCACTGTTCTCTGTGATACGACTGCAACGGAACTGTCCTGAAAGATGAGGTGAATGTTACAGAAGGGGTAAGATATTTAGTTGCCAGAAGGGTGGTAGGCAGAGGCGGGAGGCAGTGTGGTGGTTTCCGCGGGGAAGCACGTGCCGGTTCCGCGAGTTAGGTGGAGTCCCGTGCGCAAAGTGGGTGGAGGCTGCATCGTGAGGCTGGCTTCTCCGTTATCGCAGGTACGTGAGAGTGTGAGAGTGTACGGGATCGGCGCGAGCAGCTTGACCGAGTGGGCGGGTGTGACGACATACACGTCGCCCGAAGTTGTGTATGTGTCGGTGGGTATGCGCGTCCTTGCCACGCCGTGCGATATTTCGAGAGGAGGCGGGTGGGGCGGCAGGAACAGGGGCGTAGAGAGGCGGTCCTCGATCGGGTTCTCGAGGAGTGCTCTCTGGCCTTCTTTGTCTCCGGCGAGTGGTCTCTTTGCACGTGTCGATATAGTTTCGGTCGGTTGAAGCTTCTTAAGATTACGCCCCGTAGGGTTTGCCTTGACGTCCCAGCGTCTTCTCTCTCTTGATGCCGCTGATTCGACGTAAGGGTCGCGAGACCTGTTTCTCGGCGATTTGAGAAACGGGAGACGGAGGGCATTTGGACATGCTCGTTTGAATGAACGAAAGAATGTCGTAGACAGTTTCTGAGAAAAAGATGAATTTTCAGATCAAACGCTCGTGGAGCGAGCGTTTTCATGTTCCACGGACTAAATAGTCGTCTCGATTTGGTCCAGCAAAGGATGAATTCCTAGCAGAAGAGTGGTTTCACGTGATATTGGCGTTGACGTCGACGTTGTTTTCGTTGAAGAAGATACCGTACGGATATTCTCAACATGAAACGGAGCCTGGACGGAAGAGCCATCACTCAGGTAAGACGAGTTTTCTGAAAATTGGATAAACACGAATGAATAAAATCATGAAATTTATCAATAGGAGGAGATCGAAGACCATGATCCCTTACAAGTGCAGCAGCAACAGCAAGACGAAGCTGAACAACAACAACAACAACAGCAGCAGCAACAGCAGCAACTGGAACAGCAAACTGCCCAACCACAGATTCGATTTTTAAGTGCAAATGTTCTGCAGCAGCTGCAACAACAACAAGATGTTCAGCAACAAGCGCAACAGCAACAGCAGCCACAAGTTATTACGTTGCAGCAGCTGCAAAATTTCGTGCCTTTACAAACTCAGCAACCACAGCATGACCAACAGAGGGCACAAACAATTTCTGTGCAGTCGTTGCCTCAACAGTTCTTGCAAGTGAGAATACTAGTAGATATTGTTTGATCTTACATACCAAAATTGTGTCATCTCTGATAATATAATCATCTTTTCAGGGTGCTCAGTTAATTAGTACTCAAGCTCAAGCTGCGCTTCAGCAGCAACAGCAACAAACACAACAGCAGCAAGCTCAGCAACAGTCGCAACAACAGCAACCGCAGCAGCAACTTAGCTATAGTGTAATTCCTCAGATGCAAACTGTTAACATCGATGGTCAAGAGGCGCTCTTTATACCATCTTCGGCTATGTCTGCCACTGGTGGACATCATCAAACCCAGCCTACGATGCAGTTTACTACAGCAAATGGTCAGCAAGTTCAACTTGCCAGTCAGCAAGTACAATTGGCTAATGGTCAGACCATCATCACACCTCAACCTGTTAGTTTGATAAGGGCACCTAACGTCTTTCCTACTTCTATCATACAAAATATCACCGGACAAACTGTTCAGTTACCATCAGGTATGGTACCATGTTTCTAGAGAGAGTAATATGAAACTTTAACAAACCTGAATAGTAATATTGAAATTACAGGGCAAAGTGTACAAGTTAGACCGCTTCAATTTCCTATGCAGCATGTTCAGCAAACCGTACCTGTTCAGGTACCGGTCACTGCCAGCAATGGGCAAACTGTGTATCAAACGGTACATTTTCCTGTTCAAGCGTTGTCCAGTGTGTTTAACATGCCTGCTACGCAAATGATACCACAGATTACTCAGGTATATTACGAAAACTTAACAAAAATCCGTCCTTCAAGTATGTAACATACGAATATATATTTATGGTTTAAAATATATACTTACAGCAAATACCGCAAATGGCTCAAATAATCACACCAAACGGACAGATTCAACAAGTTCAAATTGCTAACTTGCCACAACTTCAAAGTTTACAGGTAACTATGATATATGTAGCTGACTGTCTAATAAAATATACCTGATGGATCTGTGTGTGTGTGTGTGTGTGTATGTATGTTAAACAAATTTCATATTACAGAGCCAGCAGGTAACGCAAGTAGCTCAGCAAGTTGCTCAGCAACAAGCACAACAGCAAGTAGTTCAACAGCAAGGTCAACCGCAAGTGTTACAATCTGTACAACAACAGCAGCAACAAGCTGCTCAAGCTCAGGTACAACAACAACAGCAACAAGTGCAACAGGTTGTTCAACAGGTAATACAGCAACAGCAGCAGCAACAGCAACAACAAGTTCAACAGGCACAGCAACCGTCGTCTGTGCCATCTTCCACTGTAGCAACCTGGAGTACAACTGTATCGACTCCGAGCAACGTTCAGGTATAAAAACAGAATAAGCGATTATTATCCAATGATCGAACAGACTAGCGAATACAAGTTTAAAAATGCATGTACTTTACCTAGGTGCTTGGACTTGGTGCACTTGGTAGACCAGTAGCAACGAGTGGTAATGTAATCACCACGAAGGACGGTCAAAAGATCGACGTGCAAACTTTGTCAGCTTTAACGAGGCCACCGGAATCAGTTGAAGGTGATATAAAAGTAACCAGTATCGATGCCAGGCAATTAGCTAGTGGTCAGGTTATACATATTCCTGCTGCCCAATCAGCACAGCAAGCTGTTCAACCTATTACGATCACAGGCATGTTATACCAATAGCGGTAACATTTTATCTGGTATTATTCCTCTGCAGAATAGGACGAAACATCATTTTCATTCCGTGTTTCTCTATTCTGTGTCCTGCAAACACAAATTACCAATGTACTGTGTCCGTATTTTACAGGAACGCAAGGTCAACAGTTAACGTTGATCCCTGCGTCTGCATTAGCAAACTTAACTGCCCAACAGGGAAACATGATGAGAAGTGTTGGTAGCGGAAGTATAATGCAGCTGCAACCTGCCACGGGCATGAACACGACCAATGGTTTCCTTCAATCAATACCCGTGCAAAATATTCCAGGTTTGGGTAACGTGCAAGTTATACCTGCAAGTGCGCTTCAACCAGCCACTGTACAAACCATGCCGGCGACAGCAGCCGCGCCTATTGTGGCCGCTCCGACGGTACAGTTGGACTCGAATGATTCAACGAAATGGCAAATTCTACAAACCCTTCAGACGAACAATACATTAACAACGCCCGCGCCTACCTCGCATCAGCATCAAGTGACCACCGCAGCCTCCACAAACGTAGAGACAGATTCTAATAAGCAGCATAGAAGGAGAGTCGCTTGCACGTGTCCAAATTGTGGCGATGGCGACAGGTTAGCAACGTTTTTGGAATAAATTCCCGACCTTATGCCATACGTTCTGAAAACTCTGCATTTACTAAAAAGTTCAAAATTGTGTGTACAGAAATAGAGACATGACCAGAAAACGGCAGCATGTCTGTCATATAGCTGGGTGCAATAAAGTCTACGGAAAGACGAGTCATTTACGGGCTCATTTGAGGTGGCATACGGGCGAACGACCGTTTGTTTGTAGTTGGATATTTTGCGGTAAGAAATTCACTCGATCGGACGAGCTTCAGAGGCATCGCAGGACTCATACTGGCGAGAAGAGATTTCAATGTCCCGAGTGTACGAAGAAATTCATGCGATCGGACCATTTAACGAAACATATAAAAACGCACACGAAGATTCGAAGTACGGTAAGTGATACTCTCTCAGCAGCGTGTAATTCATTACTGTAACAGAAAAATAATCGACAGTCAATCTTCTACCGATGAGAAGATTATTATTGCCCTTCAGAAGGAAACTGAACAGTCTGAAATAGTTATTTCTGAGCAAATTGACGAAATTAAGCCTCAACCAACGAATCATGTAACAAACGAATAAGAATAGGATCATTGGTGAGACACATAGGTTCCCCCTTTGCCTTTGAGGATTTAAATGAATCTGTTTGTTGATCGTTGGTTGAATGGTTGGTTGTTACGTTAACAACATCGCTGAAAGATGAAATTTATTAATAAACATAATGTTAAATTGTTTACGGCGATTTACAAAGATTATTATTGCGATTAATTTCTGCGACGAAACAGAGAAGAAACTTTTTACAGGGATTATCGTAATTGATAGTTATATAGAATATATTTTTATATTGAAATGACATCTGTAAATATGTATATAATGTATATTAATGTAAAAAATTTTGCACAGAATGAATTTTACACTTATAAAACAGTTTTTGATATTACGGTGCGTAGATATGGTTCAGTCTTTCACCTTATTATATTGTAGCAGAATTTTTATGGCACCTAGGGGCAATAATGTGTTGCATTGAATTAATCTTTTCAAGTGTAACGTTTAAATAGTATGATATGAAAAAGAAGAAAAAAAATAAACAGACAAGAGGTATGATTATTTTGCATTTTCATGCGAACGATTGCTTTTTGTTATATATAGGAAAAAACATCTGAGAAGAAAATCCTCGTTGTACTACGTGTATACGCGTATAGATATGTTATTGTACGTTAATTACAACATTTATTAAAAGATGCTGCTTCATGAAGTGACATAAAGTTTCGCGCCTTCTTTTAATACATTCTAAACTCAATCTATAAGTTTTGTTTTCTATCATTCAAACGATAGATTTTTCGAGTGTGACAAACATTTTACTGACTTAAGTTTTTTTAAGAGTCAATAAAATGATTTGTTGTTTCAACTGTCTTCTAATAAACCAAGGAAACAAATTATCACCTTTTTTTTATTGTCATCGAAAGTAGTATATATCTTTCGAGGATAGCGATGACAAAAATATAAAAGTACTTATTACTGATAAACCGTTGTTTCACTTCGCCTTTTGAAATACAGAACAGGAATGTCGTGCTATTAAAAAAATGGCACTAAATATACCTATGGACGTGATTATAATAATTACCTTATTACATCACATACAATGATGAAAGGACAAGATTGTTGACTATAATAACTAACCCGGATAGTTTAAATAGTAGCTTAGAAATTAGAGAAGCGAACAGATATAGCTCGCGTGGCTAAGAAGTAAGGTAAGGAGTTAGAATATACAAACGGAAAAACAGCATGGTTGAAGATAGAGATGAACGAGTTTCAATGGGAATAGCAATAATGGAATGGTACCTAACAGATTTATAATAACAATAAAAAGTATGGTTGGAATAATACGGCGAAACAATGTTGCTTTCAAATTGTAGAAGTCTCCACACGTTTGTCGTTACAGCGTTCAAAAACGGATGTGCGCGTTTCTAGAGGAAAGCGAAAATGCAGGCGCATTTCTCATGGCCAATCACCAGGCCGTTACAATGGAAATGCACCGTTCTTGTTTCCCTGTGCGATTTTAAGGATTCTCAGGTGTGGTGTGTGTTCAGGTGCACTCGACGTATGCATGTTCGATCGAACGTGACTGATGTGACTCGTCGATGTCATAAACAAACGGGCAATTGTTATTGGGATGTGCCTAAACTCGATCGCTCACAAGCTCACCGGGGGGTCTACGCTGAATTGTACTCGTTGGAAGTATCAGTATATTTGAATCGCTTAGTCCTGGAAAATTTTGGAATGTCGTGGGTTCCGTTCGTTCACACTGAATCAAAAACAGACCCAAAGTGCGGTAGTTTCAAAGACTCTCCCGCCGTAAGAAGAGAATCTTACTGTCAATTTTAGGTAAACAGTGCAAGCATCTTGTAACGTTAATTCTTCGAAGTATTCTAACGAAACATTTTAATATGGATATAGAACGTCCGGTAGAACATGTAAATTATTTTTGTACTAACCTAATTGTAGCGTTTCCTTTCTGGGAGGTCTAATCTTATCTTTTAAAATGTACTTCAGCCATTGTTTCATTTACCACACACGATTTCAGTCAGGCTGACTAGGATTACAGCGTATTCTCTCAGGCTGATTCATTGATTCATTTTATTAGGAATAGCAGATACTTGTGAAAATTTCAAGGATGCCAGCACCACCACCTCCTCCGCCTCCTGCCTTTAGTGCATCCAGCTCTGGTCCTGGAGATCAAGACAGGGGTTTACTTCTTCAATCTATTAGGGCTGGAAAAGCTTTAAAGAAAACTGTCACTGTAGATAAGAGTGGACCTGCAATTGGCGGTATGTTACCAACTATGTGCATACATATTGAATGTAAATGTACTTGTGTCACATTGACTATATTCATGTTGTAGGTAGAGTCAAAGGTGAACCAGGCAATTCCTCTTCTCCGAGCAATAGGGAAACTAATAATCCTAATATAGTAACCAGTGGCAGCAATAATACAAATAATGGAGGACCCATAGGATTAGGTGGATTATTCTCTAGTGGTATGCCAAAGTTAAAGCCTACAGGACTTAGGCCAACTTCAGGTGAAAAGGACAACACCAACAATGTAAATAATACAAATTTCAATCAACCGACTACACCTAGCGTAAAACGTGGTCCTCCTCCAGTTCCACCACCAGCTACACAAAAACCACAAGTATTTGGTCAGGTATAGATATTGAAAAACATTTATGCTGTGTTCGTAAATGTAGTATAATGCGTATTATTACTAATAATTGAAATTTCAGAAGACCAATTTGCCCCAGAGTCAAAGCACCACAGACTCGGCAAATTCCAATGCTGAAGCACCCAAAGGATTTGGGAAACCAACCCTTGCACCCAAGCCACCTTCCACGCCATCGAGTACAGCGCACAAGCCATCTCCACCTCCTAAAAAGTTAAACTTAACTACAGGAGGAAGTGTATCAAGAGCGCAAAGTATGAGGTTACTTAGATCACCTCCTGTGCTTACTCCAACCCCATCATCTCTTCATCAATCGCAGGATTGTTTGAACGAAAGTCAACCGAGGCCTGCGAATCGAATTCTTAGACCACCAGTAGCTAAGCCTCCATCTCCGCCTACTTCCAGAACAAACACCTCAACCAGTACAGCGACAAGAACTGCACCACCACCGCCTTCCAGAGTAACAGTTAGTGCTCCTTGTATACCACCTCCTCCTCCTCCTCTTCCACATCGACCTGCACCTGTTCACCAGAGATTAGCTCCACCGCCACCTCCACCACCAACACCTCCTACAAGGAGTTCTTCGATGCGCAATGGCCAAGCCATGAGCACTCTAGATTTAGAGTTACGATTCGCAGATATGTTTCATTCCATTGCGAATTTTCCGCCACCGGAGCCATTCAAAGGATTCCCGAAAGTCTACAGCAGCAGAAACGGTGAGGATGATATGCTTCAAAAACAGTCGCATTCTTTCTTGAACTTTACCATTAGGCGATACACTTCCGAATTATTTCTGTGAATTTCATTCTATGTTAGAACCGTCTACATATATTTGCGTTTCCAAAAATGTAAAACAAAGCTTACTCATTCCATCACATGTGACTTAACAGAGAATGACTCACCATGCTATTATCTTGCATGAGTTTCCTGTCTCAAAGATGAATCATTTGTATTCAATATAATGCATGAATGTAACTATTTTTTCGTGTCTCCTGTAAAAATTGCTGATACTAAAACGTATACATACATACAAAAGCTAACTTACCGAGCTTTTGACATGAACAGTGTAACTGATTGAGCTTGCTGAAACATTAACAATAAAAATCTAATTGCATGCATGTTATTCGTATAGAACTAGAATTGCTCGATAAAAGTACGTGTATTTAATATTTACACTCTTCAAGAGGAAAGTAACAAATATATTTGAAAATTACAGCTGCGAAACAGCAAGCTCCTGCACCACCCCTGCAAACGTCTTCTATATCCAATACAATGGTACCATTAAACACATCGTCTGGGGGTTAACCGTGGCAATACAATACGACTTCTCTGGCACATTAAATATTTCCGACTAATTTGTTTTTATTTATTATGTTAAACGCTAGTTTTAATAACTTTCGGAACATTGCTACAACGAACTGGAAAGCTAAATAAATAGATGAAATTAGATGAGAAGAAAGCTGAAACGAAAGTATTAAAAGTGTTAATTAATTATCAGTATACATTACGAAGACTTTGTCTTGCTAAAGTGAAAAAAGATGTTTGTGCTTCATAAAACATTGTTGTGGTACAAGACTGCATTAAATTATGACATGATGGTATCGAAAATCGTATATGTACATCTACATAAACACTACATGAAACAGTTGTATGGTCTTTCCAAAAGCAATGGAACACTGCAATAATAATAATAATAATAATAATAATACAATTGATCGTGTATATTTATCAATGTAAACTTCTAACGGTTTTATAAGAAGAACATAGAATATTATATACTTTTATTTATAACAACGATCTTTTATTATTTACTAATGTACAATATTAAATATCAGAATTTTTTTAGATGTAGTTATTGTATCTGGCAGTGAAATAATGTGATACTTTCCTAATCCTATTTTGTTGTGAATCCAAACTCAGTCTATTTCATTGATTTTATTGTTGACAGTAAAATATATATTATGAATGATATTTCAATGAACGCACTCAGATTTATTTAAAAACAGGCAGTATAATGGTTTTCACGGCGGCTGATAAATATCTACATCGATGAACGAATCGGAAAATGCACATTGCCCCCAGAATAAAGAAGAAACATTTTTCCACGAATGTCCTCTTTCCTTGCATTTATTGGAATCAATGAACAAATTCGTATCGGTAACTTGACACGGGACAATGCCGAATGACAGAGCAGCAGAATAAAAAACGATCTTTAAATTTCGAGTTCTCTTTCAATAATCTTACGATACTCGTCGAAGCCTCCTTCGATACATCGAACAGATCCGTCTCCACATACCCAAAGTTCCGTGCAAACCATACGAATTAATCTTTCATCGTGCGAGACTAGTATTACACCGGCCTGAAAAACATTGTTACAATGCGATCAATATGTATATACTTGTCTTACGTACACGATGAAAATGCGGAAAACAGTAACAAGAATAAATATTTTACTTGACAGGTATTGAGTGCTTTGCCTAATGCCTCGATCGACTCAATATCAAGGTGATTTGTGGGTTCATCGAGAACCAAGAAATTTGGTACAGCAGCGCACATCAAGGCAAAGGCAACTCTCGACTTCTGTCCTCCGGACAGAGAATTGATTGTTTGTAAAGCTAAATTACCGGTAATTCCAAAACTCCCAAGCATTCTCCTATACTCCTCGATAGGTTTACCTGAGGTACAATAAAACCATGTATATGCTTGAAATACCTCTTTCGCGGAAGTCTCTCATATTCATTCATACCTGGAAAATGATTTTGCAACAATTCAACCGGACATACATGCATATCCAACTGGTCAACATGGTGTTGACTGAAGTATCCGAACTTTAAGTTTCGATGGACGTGTACCGTGCCCCTGGTTGGACTCAAAGAACTTGTTATTATCTTCAGAAGCGTTGTTTTACCTGCTCCATTTTCTCCCACGATACATATACGAGATTGCAAACTGGCGGTTAGATTTACACCCGTGAATATTGCGTTATCGCTTCCTCCGGTATAACTGAATGACACCTCGTTCAATTGTAATATTGGAGGACTCAGTGGTTCGACGTCTGGGAAACGAAGTGTTACTTCTCCTTCTTTTTCCATTGGCTTCAATTCTGGTCTATTAACGATAATAGTACTTTTAAGATACCGTTCTGAATTCCTTCTGCTCCCTAATCAAATAATATTCAACTTACAGCTTCTCTAACATCTTTATCTTACTCTGTACACTAGAAGCGCGATTGGCATTGTATCGAAACCGGTCAATGAACTCCTGAACATGGGCTCTCTTGGCTTGTTGAGCCTCGTATTCTCTTTGCTGGTTTCTCTCGCGTTCCCCTTTGGTCTTCGAAAACTGTTCGTAATTACCTCGATACGCCTCTATTTTTTGTCCACGTAAATACAATATATCGGTAGGCACCTGTTACAAAGTTCATTATACAACCCATCGAGTTTTCCCTATAAAGGACCTATGCCGAGTAACATACCGTGTCCAAGAAGTTACGATCATGCGAAACTACGAGCAATGTAGTTGGCCACGATTGCAGATACTTTTCCAACCAAAGAATCGCCTTAATATCAAGCATGTTTGTGGGTTCGTCGAGCAATAAAAGATCGGGTCTAGAAAAGAGCGCCCTGGCAAGAGCAAGCCTCATTCTCCAGCCACCGGAGAAAGATTTCGTTGGCCACGATTGTCTTTCAACAGAGAACCCGAGACCCGATAGGATAGCGCTCGCTTTAGCAGGAGCTTTATCTACCTCTGCTAGCTGCATCGCTTCGTATACTCTAGCTAATTCTTCGCCTAACGTGTCTCCTGATTTTCCGCCATCCTTCTCTATTGCTACTTGCAATTCGGTTTCCTTGCTGAGCAACATACTTCGCTCCTGATCACATTGTAACACGGAACCCAGTGCAGATGTGTCATCACCGGCAACTTCTTGTTCTACGTGCAACACTCGTACGTGGGATGGTATTCTTAACTGTTTACTATAATTGAAAATGAAATAGCAATGTCAGAGATAAATAAAATCATCTTACTGTCCGGCGAATTGGAAGTTTCAGTACCTAGAAATCATTCTCAACAAAGTAGTTTTACCAAGACCGTTTCTACCAATAAGACCGTAACGTCTACCAAACGCAAGCGTTAAATCAGCTCCTTGCAATAAAATTCTGTCTCCGTAGGCTACATCGAAATTTTCTATCCTAATGTCTTGAGTTTTATTTACACTGCCCTTGGTTTCCATGCGACTGTCCTTTTTACTCATCATTTGACTCGCGCTTGCCGACTCTATACCGTGATTTACGTTACTAACACGTCCAGATGACTCGCTATTAACACGTTTCTCTTGTTTCTGTTGTAATTTTGCTTCCGCTTTCTCCAACTTCTTGGCATCTACTTTCTGATAAATGACATTTATTAGTTCTCGTTAACTTTGTTTTTAACGTTTATCGTGTAATCGACTTACTACCCACCATGCCATCATCTCTAGTAGTGACCCATATACTCCTTATTTGTTCTACTTGAGATTCTAAAGTAGCTGCCATAGTACCCAGATGGACAGGTGCATTTAATACTTTATTTACCCCATTCTTTCTCCTTTCAACATTCCCATCATTTGTCCCACCTTTTAACATTTCCAATAACTTCGCACATATTTGTCTGTACACAAAAAAAAATTCAAAATTTTAAATTATAGGGGGAAAATTCTGTGTCAATAGTTTTAATTCGAGCAATAAATATAACTGACTGAACATTAATGAGAGCTATGAATTTATACTCAAATTCATGAGCGTTGGCTGATCAGGATCATTTCTACAACAGCAATTGAGAGGAAATCAACTTTTACTTTATTTATCTCAGATGTGCCCGAGTATTTGTTGTATGCTTCTGGCTCCACTTCTCAGATAGCTGATCTATTATTATTTGCATCACCTTTGTACGTGTATAACTTATGCAAAATCCTTCAAATGTATGCCTGTCTAATGCACATTCAGCAAACATTAGGAAACTCGAGTTATGAGGTAAATGAACAATATAGCACGACTTACTGCTAAACATCTTTGACCGGCTAAAACTTGCGAATTCGAGTACAGTAACATTCATACAACAAAATCAATGTAATCAGATAAAAATGACAAGTGTGAACACGTTTACAGACCTAACCTCATTCTCTGGTTTCTCCGCAACCTCGTGCAACACTTCTCCAATAGCTTCGTACACTTCGTCGGCATCCTCGAAGTCGTCTTTCGAGCTGTCTAAGATACCTTTGCGCAATCAAATATCGTGTATTTAACATTGTTAATACGAAGCAAACAGGGTAACTAATAGGTTAGGTTCATCGGACACATACCTTCGACATATTGATACAAATCATCGTCTATCGTTGGAAATTGACTGCGAATATATTCGCCACACACTGCCATGCCAGCAATAGTAGTCAGCGCAAATGTCGAAGGGAATTTACCTGAAACAATTGACCAAACGACACGCTTGACAGAACGGACGTCAAAGTTTCATGAAAAGCACTACGAACACATGTTTTGGGAAAGTCAGAATTTTGATACGCCAACTAGTGACAGAAAATGCAACTACAGAGAATAAGTCGAGTATTCATACGATCAACAATGTTTGAATAGACAGAGGTTGAGAAAAACCAGTGTTTTTGTATTTGTTGTGCCATTTAATGCTTTTAAATTAATCGGTATAATAACAGTCATAATTGTTTAAACAGTTTTAGAAAAATTTACACCAAGGAATTTTATTCATAGAAACAATAAAAGTAAAATATACTGCTGTGTGTATAGCTGTAACAGTCGTGTATGTAAAAATGATAGTGTTTGCTTTTACCATCTTGCCTTGGGGTGTTGCACACGCGAACTTGAAAATTCCCATTGTTCTATCAAATAAAATCAGACATTTGATTCAAACAATTGTAAAACTGTTATAGCTTCTGAGTATTGCGGCATTTGAACTGCATACATATAAGCAACTATAAATTTGAAGCACTATTGCCAGTAGTTTTCCATCTTACCACCAGAGGGCCAAAATCTAAGCCACGCCTCCACCGACTTTCTCATTACGCCATTTTGAAATCTAGTACCGCAAGAAAGTCAAGACCAAAGACATCGGTCCAGACGGATGCATTTGAATTCAAATAAATTTTTAACACGATTCGCTTGCGTTTTTATACGTAGTATTTTTGTTTCAAAACTTCACGTCTGTATCAGTGTACTAGTAAATTTTATAATGACAAACACATCTTCGATTCCAATACCGAATCGAATGGCAAAGTAGCCATTTTGAAGCTGTCAAAGTGATTCTTGTCGTTTGATTGTGTGTGCAGTACGTTCTTTCATATTTTGACAATTCAGTGTTGATTATCGTTCAGTTTTTATGCTTGTAGATAATTTCAAAGAGTGAATATAATTTTGAATGTTAGAACGTTTTGAAATCGAGATTCGAATCTGTAACGAGAATTTAATTCCATTCGACAAAAGATGTTGAAGACAGAGCTGGAACCCTCTGCTAATTCGTACATTGAGATTCTTGACTGTTTATATTTTAACGCTTATTCAATAATATTCCTGTCAAGCCTGTGTAACGTTTTTTAAAACTGTGTTAAAAGGGAAACGCAGTTCGCAGCATCCTGTACACAAAATCGAAAAAATGGCGACCGATAGTGAGGAATCTGACATTGATGATCTTGAGACACCTGCCTTACCAAAACGACGGTGCACACAATTTGTTAAAGTCAATGAGACCGCCCGGGAAGAGGTACTTATAATACATGGCTCAATTTAAGACAATTAATCATTCAATGTATGAAACTACACTCTCAAAGTTCTTTTTTTTATGGAATGTTGTTCATTATGTAGCATATGTTTTGTGTTTAGGATGAAAGTTCAAGTGAGGAGAAAGAAATGTTTCAAGATATAGAAAACATTACATATGATGCAGACTATCATGCAAACGAAACGTTGTGTAGATGGCAGACAAGTCAAGTGGCCGATGGATTTGTGGATAACTTTATTAATCAAATAACAGAGGACCGTACTATCGAAGCATCCTTTCCTTCATTCTTGGATGCATGCAGATATCACTTGTACAAAAACAATTTCTATGAAGATACTGCAGTTATGATGGCAACTTATCATCATGGTCTGGTTCGAGCTGCAGGGGCTTGTCATCTTTATAGTGACAAAGCTCAAGCTTCCTGCCCGTCTAACGGTATCGAAGGTGTTAGTACTTTTGAAAATTCTATAGCTACTACATCTACAGACCCTGTGAAGCTGAACAATTCAAGTAGCATCGAAGCATACAACGATGAATCGATTAAATTCTTAGAAAGAGCTGTGGCAGAAGCTATTAAGAAAAAAGGGCTCAGTGCTCTCAGTATTGACTATGGTTGAGAAAACTAAATGAAATCTCATCCTAAAGTATGTTTATATAATTGCAATGCATATAATTTTTAATCTTTGCAAATCTATTTCGATTTGTCCAATCTATTTCCTAGATGATACTCATCAGAAGTTACTCAAATAATTCTAATTAAGGAATTGCAGTTTACAAAGAGTAGTAAACTCTGATGAGTGTCTATTTCTTTACGTATCAAAAGCAGATAAATCTAGTTGCACATAAAAGTGTAACATAACTTATATTAGTAAAATATCGGTCATATAGCATCTTTATTGACATACTAGATTTCACTGATGTGTAATAGAAAATGAATGTAGTACTAAATTTTGCTGACTGAAATCTATAAAATCAAAAATTATTATTTTTGATTATAGAAGAAAAAAGAGTGCTGTTTATTGCATACAATTTACCGAGGACAGTGTTGCAAATGCGGTTGTAACAAACTGTAGTGTTTTAGTTAATCATTGGAAATGCTCTGAAGAATAACTAGGCAAGGTCTACATCTTTCAAAGGTTCTACTTCATTCCATGCCGTGTTCTGTTGCTTTTGTCCATTCCTGAAGATGAATTATATCTCTCTGTATATTGTAACTTCTATGCAATACATAAAACATGTTTATCTTTTAGAATTATTATTATTATTATTATTATTATATATATATATCGCGTTTAGAACAAGAAAACGTCGTTGTACCTAAGAATACGATGATTTTTTTTTTTCCTTTTGTACGTAAGGTCCTCGTAATACGTGTATTCTATATTTGTAAATAGATTGTTATGTATGTAACGTTTAAATAAATGTCCACTTACGTTAGACGACGGTATTGTATCTCTATACAGGACATGTAATACATTCTCAGTAATTGGTATTTCTAGTAATTATAAATAAAGAAATACAGAAGACAGTAATATCGTGTTATTATTCAAGGATCTCCCAGAGTTTTCAGGTATCTCTTGGTACCGGTGCGAAGTGAAATTCGTCGAAAGACTACAATGGCCGGACCGAAACTAAGACGATTGTCCCGTCGAGAACAATTCAACGGTTTGCGGTATTATCGTAGGTATAAACCATCTTAAAGCTGCAATACTGACTTGCTGAAACTTAGAAGTGTTCCCTAAACTTTGAGAAACGGCAAGAGCCTTTCGTTACATAGCGTTTCAATTTAATATTTTATCAATGCGATTCGTTACAACATTTTGGATCTTATCAGCTGTAACTGATATCAAGAAACACGCGTATGTATCGCGAATACCGACCATTTTTTAATATATTGTGAATGACAGACAAATGTAATATCAATTTTCGAATTTAAATATTCCCTCGATTGTCGAATCGGAATTGCGTTACCAATGTATCGCGACCAACCGAAGATGTGAAACCGCGTAAAATCAATAACATGCATATTACGGTCATTTCGTAAATTAAAAATAAGCGAGTACCGTGTATTCGTAGGGGGCGATGCGCATCGATTCCGTTAAGTTATCTTGTCTTTATCGAAAAGGTGGATCCACGAGCTCAAAGTGTGCATAGATATAAGTGCTCGGTCACTAATTGCACAAATCCATGCAAACATACTATCGTAAGTTGCAACTCTGACAATTTGCATCGAACTAAAATGGAGGACTTCGACAAATAATAAATTTATTAAAAGCACCGACCAAGAATGTTCTTTATGTACAATATACTTATAGAAATGAGAAGACCATTGTGCGACTGTACAAATAATTAAAAATAATAAATACAATAATACGAATGTCTCATCGGGTACTTATCGACCACTAAATCGACCAAGTTGAGAACCCCTGTTATATACAATACCTATAAAACAATATATCATTCCGAAATAATCATCAATCTCAAAAAAAGAAAAAGATTTCGTGAAAAGAAACGTATTTCCCTTAAAATTATCCATTTCGTGAGTACCGTCTGTACTGCGGATCAGATCACGTTAATTTTTTAAATTAAAATGAAACAAACGAAGAAGGAAGAAAAATATCAAGAAAGACGTAGGGTCAACGTAACCAACAGTTCCGTAGGCAGGGGAGTCAATCGACATCGGTAAAAGGATAAAAACAGAGAAGAGTGTTTCTTTCCCAAAAACTAAAAAACATTTTCTAAAGGCGTACGGCGGCGAAGGGGGATCGAGGGTGAGGAATAAGAAATAAATGCAACACGGCAGATTCGCGTGCATTCGGCTACAGTAGTACATATATATACACGGTGTAACGGGCGATTGTGACGGAGGGGAGCCGGCAGAGAGAAGGAGAAGAAACGGACTCTCACACGGGCAGAGAGGGGAATTGAAATCGGGGAAACAGTGGGGGAAAAGAACGAGGAGAACCGACGAATAGCGTGAGAGAAGAAGCGTACGGCAGTAGGTGCACATCGGTGCACGTACACGACACAACGTTAGTGACGGCACGCCGAAATCGAAAAGAAACGCGAGACGGAGCGTCGAGTCCGAAATCCGTGCACCGTTTTATGTCGTTTTAATTCCCGCGCCGTCTTTCATTCCGTGTGAGATCGTTATCTTGGCCGGCATTTCGACGGCGTTAATCAATCGGTGGTTATAGAGCATGGCGTCCGACGAGGAGGTAGACGAGAGCTACGCGGGTAAGTGCACGGCCGCTCTGGTCACCGAATATTACCGGAAAGCTGTGGTGTCCTCGGAGCACGCAGAACGCGCGCTTTTCGTATGATGGCTGCCATGTCAATCGGTCCTTACGTAGTTTTCCATTCTCTACTGCACCCTTATGCTATATTTCGACCGTTATTTCAACTAGCTTTTCACCGGACTTCATGTCACCGCGGAAAATCCGTGCTTGCCTGGCGTTCAGGTTTAAGGAACTCGGTTCTCTGCAAATGCAAAGAAAGCTAACATTCAGATTGTCAAATATCTATTTAATACCAGCCTTCAACCCTCGATAGTCGGTAACGCGTTTATGCTTCGTGTGAACACCGCGAAATCATTCTTGGGTATAGGTTATTGTTTACATCGAATAGTTGTACGGGAAAACACATAGATCTCCGTGTTTCGGCGATGTTGGATCATTGTCAATGTTGGAATGAACTTCGATAGATATCGTTAGGTCAAAGCGTGGATGTGATTGTATTGTTGGCCAATAATGTTTGGACAAACTCATCGGATATGTACTTTGCATTATTCTTCATGTGTTCCTTACATAATTAGCAATTAATGAATAGCCCATGAATGTTGCATTGTTTAAGTCACTATGCATATATACACTAAAAGTAGATTTTTCGTTTTTAATTGCATGTAAACGGAGCGATTGAGAGGCACGCGCCCTTTCATCACGCGGACTGCATTCCCGTACGATCTTAATACAGTTTGATATTTACGAAGATCGTGTTCGAAAATCGAAGTGTTTCTAATTTCTGTCCAAGTGGTAGAATCTCGGAGCAAAATTTCGCAATTATTACTCTAGTTTTTTTTTGGAGCATACAAAACACGGTCGCTTCTCTTACACACAGGTGCGTTATGTGTACATACACGCGCATACATATAAACCGAGCAGCGTGGAAAGAGAGAAAGAGAGAGAGATCGCGTGTTCTGGGACTTATTAATAATTTAAAAGATGTCCCGTAACTGAAAAAGAACAGTCGTCTCTGTGATCGTTCTTTTTTCGCAGCTGAAAATAATATTTATGAGTCCTAAGTTCCGCTACAGTGTCGAATATAAATTGTGCAGGCAGCCAATGTGGTGTGAGCCCTTTCGAAGAAAATGGCGGACGCACACTCGCACAAAGCATTCACTGAAGTAGCAAATTAGTCTGAAATAATTTTTATGCTCGGATTAATTTGATCTCTGTATTGTTCTTTTTTTGTTTTCTTAACGGCGTTCGTATATACATGCCCAAATATTTTTACTGAAAATTCCTATAACTATCCCGGTTTTATGAAAGGTGGATCGCTCATTATGAATAAAAAAATCCGTTTCTTGCAAACCTTGCTATCGATTCAGCAATTATCAACGCCATGCTGTTAGGCGTTCAGATAACTTCGCGAAACAGACATTTCATTGGATTTCCGTTCGATTTTCTGTAATGCAAAGATTGATTGAATTTTTTTCACCAGATATTGCATTTAGGAAAACACTCAAGGTCACGTTGTTGCAATTTCATTAACATTTACTGAATTTTTCGAACCCTCTCTAACGATTGCTGCATTGAATCCTTTCTAAACTAAAGAAATTGAAATTGATATAATGATTTTCTGTATAAAATATTTTTTGATAAATCAGTATTGTAAAAATACAGATATTCATTTTATGCAAGTCAGAAGCCAACAGAAAAGCAAATGAATGTCAATTATAAACTATTATCGACTGCATTACAGAGATATTGGTAACATTACGTGTCGTTTGCAGGTGAAGACGATGTGGATGAAACTGGGGGTCAAGTCTCAAATGTTAGCCAGCCAGTGGATGGTTCATCAGACGCAGAAGAATCTCAGAGACTAGTGAGTGAAAACTGAACTCATATTCTTCGGCAAGTTCTTTGGATAACATTTTAGCTTAACACACTTAAACATACTTATCAACGCAGGAAGAAGATGATGATTACGAACCCGAGGAAAGGAAAAAGAAGAAAGGGAAGAAGCGAAAAGCACGCAGCGAAGACAAGAAGGGAAAGAAAAAGAAGAAAAAGAAAAAATCTGATTCTGGAGATGTAACTATTCTTTTTGGAACTTAAGATGAATTGCATAGTTATGTCGGTATTGTATAGTGTCGGTTCTATATCTTTTTTCAATGGAAATTACAGGAAAGCGATTTTGGAGGTGGTGGTGAGACGGGTGATGTGGGTGGGGATGACAGTGACTATGCAGGAAACAGAAAAAGCAGGAAATCTAATGCCTACTATCGAGGAAGTTTGTAATACTTTTGGATTGACTGATGTACAGATTGAATACACTGATGCAGACTTCCAGAATTTAACAACGTACAAATTATTCCAACAACACGTTAGACCTCTATTAGCAAAGGAAAATCCAAAAGTAAATGTTGCTTGATTAAGACGAGACATAAGAATAATCATTCTTTCGACTGTTTACTTATTTCTGTGCTCTCTTATTATTTAGGTACCAATGTCGAAACTTATGATGTTGGTAGCTGCCAAATGGCGAGATTTTTCCGAACTGAATCCTCATACACAACCGGATGCAGATGTGCCGTCTGCGAACGTGGATGAAGACAATAGAAATTCGAGGTCGAATCGCGGCAGTGCGGTGCAGGAAGGCGAAGACGAAGAGGACGACGACGAGGACAGCGACAGGAAACGAAAATCGAGAGGTTCTAGAGCTAAGAAAGGGAAGAAAGCGTCCAAAGTGCCCACATTGAAAATTAAGCTAGGAAAGCGTAAACGAGGAAGTTCGGTAATTAAACTTAAATGTACCTCAATCAGGATGATAATTGTTGTTTACCGGTAGCTCTATTAATTGTTGATCATATTTAGGACGAGGAAGCAGAAGGTAGCGGAGTCGGCACCGACAGAGATTCTGATATGGAATTTGAGCAAATGCTGGCTGACGCTGAAGAGCCTTCCGGCGCGGATGGAACAAATAAAGGGAGCACCGAAGAAGCTGGGGTTGAACCACCAGCAGAACCACCTGTTCGTAGGAAGGCGAAAACTAAAATTGGAAATAAAACTAAGAAAAAGAAAAAGACGAAAACCACGTCTAAGTTTCCAGACGGGGAAGAAGGTCTTCAGGTAGAAAACCTAGTTACTGTGTTAGGAATTAATGCTGGATGTACAGTCTATCCATTCAGTTTTTGTAATAATATTTATTCTTCTTATTTATGCAGACTGACCATCAGGATTATTGCGAAGTGTGTCAACAAGGTGGAGAGATTATATTGTGCGATACGTGTCCTAGAGCGTATCACTTGGTGTGTTTAGAGCCCGAATTGGAAGAAACACCCGAGGGGAAATGGAGTTGTCCTCATTGTGAAGGAGAAGGTATTGCAGGTACCTCCTCATGATCCTACACCTTTCATCCCTTCCACCGTGATGAAATAAAATGAGAATCAACAGACTCGATTGGATTCTATTGAATTTGCCCAATTTCTTTTCAGGCGCGGCGGATGACGATGACGAGCATATGGAATTCTGTAGAATATGTAAAGACGGCGGTGAATTGCTCTGCTGTGATAGTTGTACTAGCGCGTACCACACGCACTGTTTAAATCCACCGCTCTCAGAAATTCCGGACGGCGACTGGAAGTGTCCTAGATGTTCTTGTCCACCGCTTCGCGGAAAAGTTGCAAAGATTTGGAAGAGCCATCCACGAGCAAAGCAGCTCCGAAGCAACGTAAAATGCGCGAATTCTTCGTTAAATGGGCCGACATGTCGTACTGGCATTGCGATTGGATTACAGAGCTGCAACTCGACGTTTTCCATCCTCTTATGTTCCGGAATTATTCGCGAAAATACGATATGGACGAGCCACCGAAATTAGAGGAGCCGCTGGACGAGAGCGATTCTCGCGTGAAACGGTTAAAAGAACAGGATGGCGCCACAAACAGGGACGAGTACAATCTAGAGGAACGGTTTTATCGTTACGGAGTTCGACCAGAGTGGCTTGTAGTGCATAGAGTAATTAACCATCGACTGTCGAGAGACGGCAGGGCTACGTATCTCGTTAAATGGAGAGAGTTGGGATACGATCAAGCCACCTGGGAAGACGAACACGAAGACATTCCGGGTTTGAAGCAGGCAATCGAGTATTACTTGGATCTCAGAGCAGCAAACTGTTGCGACGGCAGTTCCTCCCGCAAGGGCAAGAAGGGTGAGATGAGTCGGTTACATTATTTTTCTTTCTTTTTGCAACTGTAGCTAATATATGCTACGGGAGGTAATACAATTTCTATTATGTTTAGGTAAAGGCAAAAAGTCGAAAACACGTGAGCTTATCGATGACGAGGAAAGAACACCCAAACGATATACCCCACCACCTGACAAGCCTACCACTGATCTTAAGAAGAAATACGAACGACAACCAGACTATTTGGATCAGACAGGAATGCAGTTGCATCCTTATCAATTAGAAGTAAGTATCGCCATCAATGTACGTTCACGTTTGTCAAGAATGTTTTGTAATTTTATCGTTTCGTAGGGTTTGAATTGGTTGAGATACTCGTGGGGTCAAGGTATAGACACCATTCTGGCAGACGAGATGGGTCTAGGAAAAACTATTCAAACTATTACTTTCCTATACTCGTTGTATAAAGAGGGCCACTGTAAAGGACCTTTTCTAGTCTCTGTTCCTCTGTCCACCATTATCAATTGGGAACGTGAATTTGAAACCTGGGCACCTGACTTTTACTGTGTTACGTATGTTGGTTAGTAGAGACAATGTATATGTTACAAAACGCGTATCTGTTCCCGGCGTAATTATTAATTTTCTTCCACGTTGGTTGTAGGTGACAAGGATAGTCGTATCGTGATCCGTGAGAATGAATTATCTTTCGAAGAAGGTGCTGTACGGGGTGGCAGGGCGTCGAAAATCCGATCGTCTCAGATCAAGTTCAACGTATTGCTAACCAGTTACGAACTTATTTCTATCGATTCTGCATGTTTAGGATCGATAGACTGGGCTGTGTTGGTAGTAGACGAGGCGCACAGACTGAAATCCAATCAATCAAAGTTCTTCAGACTGTTAGCATCCTACATCTGTGTCGTGACAAATTCAACGACCTGGCCACGTTTCAGAACGAATTTGCCGACATTTCAAAGGAAGAACAGGTGAAAAAGTTGCACGAGTTGCTTGGGCCGCACATGTTGAGACGGTTAAAGGCTGACGTATTGAAAAACATGCCGAGTAAATCCGAGTTTATCGTTCGCGTCGAGTTGTCACCAATGCAAAAGAAGTATTACAAGTACATCTTGACGAGAAACTTCGAGGCGTTGAATCCAAAGGGTGGTGGTCAACAAGTATCGTTGTTGAACATCATGATGGACCTGAAAAAGTGTTGCAATCATCCGTACTTGTTCCCGGCCGCGTCTCAGGAAGCGCCGACAGCGCCGAATGGAACCTACGAAACGTCTGCGTTGATCAAAGCGGCTGGGAAGCTAGTGCTTTTGAGCAAAATGTTGAAGAAATTGAGGGACGACGGGCACAGGGTGCTGATCTTTTCTCAGATGACGAAAATGTTGGACATTCTTGAGGATTACTTGGAGGGCGAGGGCTACAAGTACGAGAGAATCGACGGTAACATTACAGGTGCTCAGCGACAAGAGGCTATAGACAGATTCAATGCACCTGGCGCGCAGCAGTTCGTTTTTCTTCTTTCCACTCGAGCGGGTGGTCTGGGTATAAATTTGGCGACCGCCGACACTGTGATTATTTACGATTCCGATTGGAATCCGCACAACGACATTCAGGCGTTCAGCAGAGCCCACCGTATCGGCCAGGCGAACAAGGTGATGATCTATAGATTCGTCACTCGTAATTCGGTGGAGGAACGTGTAACACAGGTCGCGAAACGGAAAATGATGTTGACGCACTTGGTCGTCAGGCCTGGAATGGGCGGGAAAGGCGCGAATTTCAGTAAACAAGAACTCGACGACATTTTACGATTCGGTACCGAGGAATTGTTCAAAGAGGAGGAAGGTAAAGAAGACGAGGCGATTCATTACGACGACAAAGCGGTCGCCGAATTGTTAGACAGAAGTAAGGAGGGTATCGAACAGAAAGAGAACTGGGCCAACGAATACTTAAGTTCCTTCAAAGTCGCGTCGTACGTGACCAAAGAAGGCGAAACAGAAGAGGAGGCGGACACGGAGATCATCAAACAGGAGGCCGAGAATACAGATCCGGCATATTGGATCAAGCTGTTGAGACACCATTACGAACAACAACAAGAGGATATAGCTAGAACCCTAGGAAAAGGTGAATTGTCTCGCGACAATTATAATTAAATCCATGCTAAACGATTATTTCAATTCCAGGTAAACGAGTACGCAAGCAGGTGAACTACAACGACGGTGTGGTAACCGGCGATCAAGGGACAAGGGACGATCAACCGTGGCAAGAGAATTTATCCGATTATAACAGCGACTTCAGCGCGCCGAGCGACGACGACAAGGAGGACGATGATTTCGACGAGAAAGGTGACGGAGATCTACTGTCTCGTAGAAGCAGACGAAGATTAGAAAGGAGAGACGAGAAGGATCGACCTCTTCCACCGTTACTGGCTCGAGTGAACGGAAACATTGAAGTACATTCATTAAATATTTCTCTGGTATGACGGTTGGTAGTACAGAAAATATGCTAACACGACAATTTTCTTTTCAGGTGTTGGGCTTCAATGCCAGACAGAGGAAAGCTTTCCTGAACGCGATCATGCGTTACGGCATGCCTCCGCAGGACGCGTTCAACTCTCAGTGGTTAGTTACCCGCTCAGAATACGGACATCAGTCAGTTAATTTAAAGTACTGTTAAAGTATATTGTCGCATTTTAGGCTGGTCCGAGATCTTCGGGGTAAATCTGAGAAGAATTTCAAAGCGTACGTGTCCCTGTTCATGCGACATCTCTGCGAGCCAGGCGCCGACAATGCTGAATCGTTCGCGGACGGTGTGCCGAGAGAGGGTCTCAGCAGGCAGCACGTGTTGACGAGAATCGGTGTGATGTCGTTGATCAGAAAGAAGGTACCTTCTCGTTTGCAGAGATTCCGACTGATTATTATAGTGGTTTCTTTACAGTTCTCCTGTTTACAGGTCCAAGAGTTCGAGCACATAAACGGGTACTATTCGATGCCCGAGATGATCCGGAAGCCGGTCGAACCCGTGAAAATGGAACCCGGTGGAGACGGAACGACCGGTGGGACCAGCAGCACCAGCGCCACGCCAGCTACTTCGAACGCCCCTAGTCCAAGTCCTGCTGCAACGCCTACTCCAAGTTCTGCCTCGGGAACGACAATTAGTGATGCCAGTAAAGCGAACTCCGACGCGTCTGAAATGAAGGAGGTCAAGGAAGAACAGAAAGATAAGGAGGTTCGTATATCTATATCGTCGAAAACGTTAAACTGGTAAGGAAGAATGCAATAGTAAACAGGCATCGTTCTTCTTTAGAGCATAGAATTAAAGGACGTGAAGGAGGAACCAAAGGATTTCAAGGAGGACGATGAGAACAATACCGAAAAGGATAAAGACAAGGAGGACGTGAAGAAAGAAGAGAAAGACACCGAGACGGATGCAACGGACAAAGACAAAGATAAAACGGAGACGAAGGACGAGAAGTCTGGGACGAAAGAGGAGAAGTCGGAGAGTGCCGAAAATAAAACGAAACAGGATTCTGAAGAGGACGTGGTCATCGTTAAAGACGACGAAGAAGAGACTGAGAAGCGAGAGGACAAAGACACGAAGGAGAAGGATGTAAAGGAATGTGATACGGAGATAATCAAGCCGAAACGGAAGTTCATGTTCAATATCGCTGACGGTGGCTTCACGGAGTTGCACACGCTCTGGTTGAACGAGGAGAAAGCCGCGGTACCTGGTCGTGAATACGAAATCTGGCACCGAAGACACGACTATTGGTTGCTAGCCGGTATAGTCACGCATGGTTATGGTCGTTGGCAAGATATCCAGAATGATATTAGGTGCTCTTGAATTTCTTTCATGAAACTCTTGTTAACATAATTGCGAATCGATTAATCATCGTGCTCAACATTCCCATATTTTTCTGCAGGTTCGCCATAATAAATGAACCGTTCAAGATGGACGTAGGCAAGGGTAACTTCTTAGAAATAAAAAATAAGTTCTTGGCTCGACGGTTCAAACTATTGGAGCAGGCGTTAGTGATCGAGGAACAGTTAAGAAGAGCCGCGTACCTGAATCTTACGCAGGATCCTAATCACCCTGCGATGAGTCTGAATGCGAGATTCGCCGAAGTCGAGTGCCTTGCTGAATCCCATCAACATCTTAGCAAAGAGAGTCTTGCCGGCAATAAACCAGCTAACGCTGTGTTGCATAAGGTAATACGAGAGAGTGGTTGAATTTTCTTTCATTTTTTCATTCTTCAAACACTTTCAGTAACCATATCGATCGTTGTTTCACGTTAACATATTCGATACAGGTACTAAATCAATTAGAAGAGCTATTGTCCGATATGAAGTCGGACGTGAGCCGTTTGCCAGCGACTCTAGCACGCATTCCGCCTGTTGCGCAAAGACTTCAAATGTCCGAGAGGTCGATATTGAGTCGATTGGCCGCGACTGCACCCGGCGGCAGCAGTTCACAGACCGGCCAAGCGGCTCTTTTAGCACAACAATTCCCTGCTGGCTTTTCTGGCGGCCAATTGCCGGCTACATTCGCGGGTGCGGCCAATTTCGGCAATTTTAGACCACAATACTCAGTACCGGGTCAACCACCGCAAGGTTTCACAGGTTCGTCTCGACGAAAGGTTCTTCTTTTTTCATTGATTCTTTTTTACTACAGCTGATATTACTCATTAATGTAACTCACATATTTCAGCTTGAAGAGTGAATGGTTGATGAACAGCGGCTCAAACTGGATAACACAGAGGGGCGGCACAGAGATCGCCTTTGACACGAAATCGTGTGCACTGTATTATTGTTTCGTAAATTACGATTTTTAGCTGAATTTTCATTAGGGACGCTAAGATTTCAATGGAAACGGCAACAGAGGACACAACATGGGCGCGAAATATCTTAATATCTAAATTACATTATTCTCCTTGTATTTATTACATGTACATTCGGCGTTTAGCATCGAGGTTTTCATGTGTTTTTTTTTCTTTTTTTGTATTTATACACACGGTCTTTGCAAAAAGTAGCGTAAATTGAGGGCATAATTTATATTTCTTCATCGACCGGTGTATCGTAAGTGTAACGATAAGTACATTTTACTTAAATAAGAGAAAGAAACTTATTTAAGAAGCGTATAGTTTTTACGTCACGGACCTACGTGTGCCGCGGTTTGTAGTAAGGTACCGCTGATTTAAGCGGTTGTTCGCATAATTTATTTTGCAAGTTCTTCTTTTCATCGACGATTTAATTTTGAATCGCATATTATGTTCGTACGAAGCAACGAGAACTGACGACAGAGTTCAATGGCAATCATTTTAGTTAAGACTGACATTGTATGTTGTATTCGAGAGACAAAAAAAAATCATTTTGTTCACTACACACACCGGGACTACTGTAATGCATGGGTTTATATGAGCGAGAGAACTCGTCCAAGTTATTTCTACAGTATCTTTTAACTTGCCAAATGAATCACGAGAGTACTGCACGTACGAATTATGGAGAACGGAGGCACAAAACGAATCTGTTTGATACTTAAATGCAATGATGCACACGATCTATGAAGCTATACAGTAATTCGATATTGCAGGAGACGATTCTTTTACTCGGTACGTAGGAGATCAAGCATCGGCGAAGTAAATAGATTTTCATATAATCTTTGTACATACTGTCGTTACATTCTACTTGCACCATATTTCAGTACACATACACACACACACACACACACACGAGTATCATATAGTAATTGATAAGTAAGGCCGGAAATGCGTGTCACACCCCATGCATTATGTTAGTACACAAGCGACTACCTGTAATTAACACAGAGGAACGTTAACTGGTCTCTTTAAGTAAGCATATTAATTGTTCGATCTTTTCTACCCCGGGTTCGGAAACACTAGAGCATTTTTTAATTTTGTCGTGTTAAAAACTGATTCTGCCAAATTACTGCGTTGGCACATGATTGAAGTTTTTAAGGGTAACTTTAGGTCTTATCTAGCATAAGGAATTCAGGCGAGAGTGTGAACAAGAATGAAAGCGACAGACGCGAGTGACTGATTAAGTATAAAGTAACTCAAACCACGGAGAATCGTTTATTGTATGTATTAATTCTGCTGGAATAAATTAATAATAATTAGAAATTAAATCGATACCCTTCTTGCTTGTTCTGTCAGTTATAAAACCACCTACAATGTGCCAATAGTACTTGCACAACACTCACTACGCCTGATGCAGTTTAACTTTGATGGTTTTAAGATACGATTGGTGTATAACTTACAGACTGTAACTGAAGTAGTTGAAAAATTACAATATCTATGTTTGTATGACCTTTTTTTATACTCACAATAAGTAAAATATAACCCCCATATTTGTCTACCTATTATTTTTACAAAAATTTTGTAAAAACATTTGTGAAACAAAATTCTTTATTCTTTATATTACAAAAAGAGATTTACTATGGACATGATGATGAGACAGTATAGCTGATAATATAGTGCAAAGTGTTTTCACAATGCATAAAAATGGAATACAGTTTTTCTCTAAAATTTCAGCATTAGCCGGATGCATCTTTGTTCTGCCTTTGTTGAATCATTTCTCTGATATTATTCTTGCATTCTTTTAAGTTCTGCTGCAAGTATGTTTTGTTGTTCTCAAGAGTTTTCATCTTCTCGTCGGCTGTGCTCATTCGTTTGTCTAGACCTGATTTAATATTTTCTATATCATCCAGAAGAAACATTCTACCAACAGACTCGTATGTCTTGGTGTTCTTTGGATAAGAGGTTATCTCTCGGACAGTGAGCTCAGCAAACAATTTAGACCGTCTTAATTTTTCTATCTGCATATCCGCTAATTGTAATTTTTGCGTAGTGTCGACCATTTTTTCTTGAAGTTGTGAAAACGCCTTTCTTAATTCCTCGTCCGGTTCCCTTGCCATCGTTAATTCTACAAGTATAGGTTAGGAAACAGAAATCGTTATATTGGACACAACGTTTTTATATATTCAAACGTAATACGATATCCAGATACCATTATTAAAATTTAAAAATATGCTGTGACACAAGTCGAGATAAATAAAGGAACATAAATACCTTCAACGTTTCACCTAACAGAACCTTGACAGAAGAATCGTGGAATCAATCCTTCGATATATCCTTCTAAGGAATTACAACATCAATATTAATTCAAGGAATACAGTTTACAAGCAAAGATTTCATGTGATTATAATTATCTACATTTTTTCTCTCAACCCTATATTGATATTAATTTATTTATAATAATTGTATACTTTATTGTCTAACTTTATTAGCATGAAAAATATACCTTCGATGCGATTATGTTTTTCTAATAACACGGTTGATTTCTAACATTCGAGCGTCAGTTTTTCATGAATCATCCCCTTCCACTAGAAGAACATAATGAATCAGGAGGTTTTCAGAAAATTGGCGCCAATTTTGTATAGCCGATCGAACTTCTGTGTTATCATGTTCTCCTAATCTAATACTCCAATTTTGGCGGTAAATTGTCCAATCGGACAGAAAGGAAGATCTGTTGAAACGAAATTGCTCTGCCTGCAATAAGGCAGTATAATGGAAAAAGGAGTAATGATTCATCAGATAATGACGAGTAATAAACACAATTTTTGGACACGACTAACAGACTAAAGCTAGAAAAGATTAAGAAATGTTTAATTCCATACGGTACAGAATGTACGGTATATACTCTACTTGTTACTTAAAAAAATTTCAAACGGTATTAGATTGCTTATTACTATTTCACGTCAATATTGAATAATAATACCACCGACTGGGTATAGAATAGACCAATCATCCAATGCTTTTTTCTGTCCCACGTTCTTCTTTTTTTTTTCTTTTTTTTCTTTTTAACGGACGAGGCCGAAAATGGTCGGGGCGGGCGCAAGGTAGAGAGCGAGAGCGATAAAGCGAGCCGCAGTATCGGTGCTCTCCGTCGGTGTCGACGCGTACCGAACGAGTACCCCGTTTAGTTCACTTTGAATCGCTCTTCCAACGTTCTATGGACAAATTACGTCTTGATCAAGCATTCAGTTTGAAGCTAAAAGAATGTAGATTAATCCACTGTCCTTGAAAATAACAATAAACAATCAGAACACTGTTAAAATCGCATTTAATCGCGGAATACCACTATTTTTTCGACCGGTGGCGCCACCCGTAGCGAATCGCTGAAGCTACTAGCCATATAATTGTCTAGTCGTTTCAGCGTTTTAACAGGGCAGCAGAAAATCCCTGACTTTTGCACTATCGGTATTTCAGAACATGAGACACGAAGTCCCATAAGATGATCGGTCTATCCTATACCTAGTCGGTGATAATACTCGCCAGAACTTGTAAAATAATAATTTAAATATCAAATTTTGCGCTGGAAAGGGAACGATGGCGCCACCTACCATAAATCTCCTAAGCTACTAGCAAATTAGTTCCGCGATCTTGTCAATAGATGGCGATCTGTGAGCCTTTTAGTCCGTAGACGGGTGTCTTTTGCACATGCGCAAGGGGTCCTATGACCCCACTTCGGTACTCACTCGGGTCTCTTGCCCATGCTCCGGGGTTTCTATGGCCCCACTTTTTCGTATCTACGGGTTCTGGGGCGCATGCGCTTGGGGTTTTATGACCCCACTTTACAGCGCCCACGGTGACTAGCGCATGCGCCGGGGTTATATGACCCCACATTCTCGCGCACACGTTGTCCCTTGCGCATGTTCCGGGGTTCTATGACCCCACCATGGGTACCACTGTTCATTTTGTAGCGCCAAGTTTGATTCCTTAATTACATAAATGATTCATTATTTCGCAGCCTGATTATAATTGCACTGACACCGGTAACTTCGACAAAATTGTTTTAAATGTCGCTTTTGATTTTCAACTTAACAAAATCGGTAATTGATTAAATAAATTTCACTATAATTCAGAATTTTCGAAAATAATATTTATGGCGTGAATTCACAGCGGTTGTTCATTTACAATAATTTACAGATAATTTTATACAATCGGAAACTGTTTCTGACGATTTATGCTCTGAAATTAGGTGTTCATAAATCAGAAAGCGGTTCGGTGACACATGGTAACGCGCTTGCGGGGACACTTTTTCACAAAGGTTCTCCAATGCAGGGTTAGAGAAGTGTCGAATTCGACAATAATGCCGAAAAACTTTCTCCAGAATCCACCGGAGGTAAAATTGAAAAAAATCAAAAGTTCAATTAATCCAGTTAAGAAATCGCCTGGTAATAACCTCAACATCGCCAGCTCTGCGCTTGTGAACGACATGCAAACTGAAGACCGTACGCAAGATGCCTCCGGCAATGTTACAGAGAAATCAGGAGTCAATGTCGCATATTTGGACACGCCTATTAAGTCACAGAATGACAAGAAGGAGTACAGGTGAAGAAATTAATACAACATGTGCTCTTGTTCCTCTTTCTGCGGAATCTAAACGGTTTTTTTATCTTCTATAGGGTAATTCAATTAGAAAATGGCTTGACAGCTTTGTTGATTGCTGATGTACCTACTCTGGACTCTGAAGGTGATGGTAATGAAGTAAAAGGTAAATAAATGTAACTGACATAATGGGGTTGTAAAACAAACTCTTCGGAAGCAGGTATTATTGATGTTACAGGGCTTTTTATGTATTACTCCTCTTTTAGCTCCTAAGGTAGCTAACTGTACTTCCTTGGTTAGTAAGAGAATTACAAACTTTAATTAGCATCTACAATGTTCTAGTTTAGTTGCTGGGTTAAAAGATGTCCAAGAATCAAGTATTAGAGTCCTTAGATTTTTATAGTTTTATCACTAATCTATTTCAATGTAATTTCTTCAATAATTCATAAGTTGGATATATTCATGAATTGTCAGTGGGAGCAGTACCTAGTGAAAATGAAGACGATGAAAATGATGAGGAGACTGAGAGTGAGGATGATGATGAAAGTGATAAAGATCAGGATGATGAGGATTCGGAAGATGATCAATCAGAAGAGGATAGATCAGATGCTGAGGGTTCATCCAATTGCTCCAAACGGTTAAAAAGAGAAGAAAAAATGGTATTTTTAATCGAATCACATAATTTGATGTGTACACAAAGAAAATTTGTGTACCCTTAATATTCTTAGAGTGCAGTTACACATGTTTCTTACATAGGCAGCATGTGGTTTATCTGTTGGTGTGGGAAGCTTCAGCGATCCACCAGAAATTCCTGGTTTGGCACATTTCCTGGAGCACATGGTCTTTATGGGATCCGAAAAATATCCACAGGTGATCATATAGAGCGGAACAATTATGAGACATCTAATTTCTACATGCGTAATGTCCAATGATTTTGCAGGAGAATGACTTTGATGTATTTATTAAAAAAAGGGGAGGTTCGGACAATGCCTCCACTGAATGTGAATTAACAACATTTTACTTTGAAGTACAAGAAAAGCACCTTTTATCTGCACTTGATCGATTTGCTCAATTTTTTATTAAACCCTTGATGAAGAAAGATGCTATAACTAGAGAAAGGGAAGCTGTAGAGAGCGGTATGTGTGTTTACATTGTCGAAACAATAGTCTTGACAGGATACAAAATAAAATTGAATCGTTTTTACAGAGTTTCAGATGGCCTTACCCTCCGACGATTATAGAAAAGAGCAGTTGTTTTGTAGTTTCGCGAAATCCAATCACCCAGCGACAAAATTTACGTGGGGCAACCTGGTAACATTGCGAGACAATATAGAGGATGAAAAGTTGTACAAGCAGGTGCACAAGTTCAGGGAACGTCATTATAGTGCTCACAGAATGAAACTTTCCATACAAGTGTGTATGTTGTATACACATACAATCCAAGTTTAAAGGTTATAAATGCTATTTGCAAAATTCCTTACAGGCAAGACTACCATTGGACGTGCTGGAAGATTACGTGAAACAATGTTTCTCGGGTGTACCGAACAATGAGTTACCTCCGGATGATTTTACAGCATTCAAGGGAGCGAATTCGTTCGACACGTCGGCTTTTCGTAGGATCTATAAAATCAAACCGATAAAAGACATTTGCCAAGTGTGTTGCTCTGCCTTTAATCGAAGAATTTCCGTAATCATCGCTCGCTAATTATTTTATCTATCTTCCACAGGTAGAACTGACGTGGTCGATGCCGTCTATGCACGATTTGTACAAAAGCAAACCGCATCAGTACGTTTCGTGGGTCATCGGGCACGAGGGGAAAGGCTCTTTGATCAGCTACTTGCGAAAGAAAATGTGGTGCCTGGATATTTACAGCGGAAACGATGACAGTGGTTTCGTGCACAGTTCAATGTACGCGTTGTTCAGTGTGTCGTTGATACTCACCGAACAGGGACACAAGCATCTACAAGAAATACTAAACGCTGTATTCGCGTACATTAACATGGTGCGCAAAAAAGGGCCACAGAAACGAATATACGATGAGATTAGTAAGATAGAAGAGACGAGCTTCAGGTGAATAGATATAAACGTAAATTAAAGTCCACAAAACAAAGATAGCCAATAGCCAGCAGTTCCACAACATGGAGATATGTTAAAAAAATATTACTTTTAGATTCGCAGACGAAGAACCACCTGCAGAGTATGTGGAGGATTTATGCGAGAACATGCACTATTATCCTCCTCAAGATTACATAACTGGCAACAATTTGTATTACGAGTACAATCCCGAGGCCATACAGGCGTGCATGGAGTATTTAACGCCAGACGACGTGAACATCATCATTTTCGATAAGAAATTCGACGACAAAGAATTCGAAAAAGTCGAGCCGTGGTTCAAGACCAAATACACGGACATGGAGATACCAAAGGAATGGGTAGAGTGCTGGCGTTCTATCAACCCGTTACCTGAATTCGATTTACCATTACCGAACGATTTCCTCACCGACGATTTCAGTTTGATCTCTATACCGTCAGACGTGCCCAAATATCCCACGAAAATCTACTCGGACCAGATAACCGAAGTTTGGTATCGGCCTGACCCCAAATTCCGCCTACCAGAGTGCTACATGAATTTTTACATTATATCACCAATGTCTTTCTATTCGCCTAAGAGGTAAATTTCGACAGAAATGGGATATCGTAATCACGATATATTTTTGATTTGTTAAATCTCTGTATACGATTTCCAGTGCTGCTTTAATGGATTTGTTCGTCGCGATACTGAGACAATTGTTAATCGAGGAACTGTATGCTGCAGCAGTCGCTGAACTGCATCATCAGATCTATGTGAACGACAAGGGTATCGTTGTGAAAGTGAACGGATTTAACCAGAAACTTTCGGTAAGAATCGTGAAATCCTATCACGCGATTGTTCGTAACAATTGTCCAATTTCCAGTTAGTGCTTTTCACGATTGCAAAGTGTATCGCGGAGTCCTCGACGCTTGTAACGAAGGAACTGTTTGAAGTCATGAAGGAGAAGCAAATTAAGGATTATTATAATAGATTCTTGAAACCTGGTAAACTACTGAAGTACGTGACGCTTCCTGTATGTATACAGACAATAAGAGGCTGTTTTCACATGTTTTTATAAATTATTTCAGAGACGTAAGACTGTCTATTTTAATACTGGTTTACTGGTCAGCCATTGACAAGCACGCGGCCATCAACGACGTTGATTTCCATGAATTTCAAAATTTCGTTAAGTGCTTCACCGATCACATTTATATCCAGACCTTGGTGCAGGGCAACATGACAAAGGAGGACGTTGTTAGGAACGTGCACGAATTCGTCAAGACTTTGAAATGCGGGTCATTGTTGCCTAACACTATGCCACAGATCAGAGTTACTCAAATACCCGTGGGTTCTAATTATTGTAAAGTAAGGAACTTCAATGCGACAGACGTGAACTCTGTCGTAACGAATTACTATCAGTCTGGTGTGGCAACTATCAAACTATCGGTCATAATTGAACTCCTGATTGTAAGTGTGTAAAATACGTAATTTTCTATCGTGTTGTACAATTTAAATTTTCTGAAAATTCAACTATGCTCGTGTTTGTTTAGATGATCATGGAGGAACCTCTGTTCAATCGACTGAGAACACAGGAGCAACTCGGTTACGATGTCTTCTGCGTTCAGAAAGACATTTTTGGCATCCTCGGCTACGCCGTCACGGTCTGCACTCAAGCAGACAAATATTCTACGGAACACGTGGATGGCAGGATCGAGGCTTTCTTGAAGGCCTTCAATAAAATCCTGAACGAGACCACCGTGGAGGATCTAGAGAACGTAAAGGAAGCACTGACAAAGCAGAAACAATGCGCTGACATACTTCTGAAGGAGGAGGTCAGCAGAAACTGGGAGGAGATCACGACAGAAGATTATATGTTCGACAGAATCGAAAATGAACTGATTATGATTGAGCATATCAAGATCGACGAGCTCAGAGACTGGATGAACTCTCACACAATTAATGGAAGTAATTTGAGAAAGCTGAGTGTGCATGTAGTAGGTGCTTCTAAGCCAACAAACAATGAAAATAATGAGAACGTTGTGTCATCTACAGACAAAAAAGATTGTAAGTGCAGTAAGTTCGTGGGCACTTTTGTATTATTATTGTAAACGGATGTTTCAGGATTGGTTTCACTTTCTCCTCTATACGAACATGAAATGTACTGATTTCTGATTGTTCTTTATGATTTCAGGTGACACAAAGGCTGAGAGAACTCCAAACATGAAGTACCCACTTTGTTATATAACGCCTCCCACGGAGACCCAAAATAGTACGGATTTAGTAAATTATATCACCGACGTGGAAGAGTACAAAAGCCGTTTATACAGTTATCCTATACATCACATTGCCTTATGATACTGAATTCTATTAATTATCGATATACAGGAAAGCATTTATCCACTCTGTCTAAGTAATAACAAAATGAAATAAAGCTGCAATCATTACCAGAAACGTTGTGGATCATTTCGTAGAACCTGGTGACTATTTTATAATACTCTTTTGAAATTATTGGATTGAGTCATAATTCGTATTATTACAATTTACACGATCGGTTTTTTATGAAATAACAGAATACGTTTGAATATAGAATTAACAATAGCAAAAGGGGATATTGGCACTTACAAACTACAAGGTGACACAGAAAGCATGAACACAAAAATGGAAAAGAATCTAATGATGCAAGATCGATGTACTTTTTTTTTTGTATAGTTCTTTTAATTGTATTCAAGACATGACAACACGTTTCAATAAATCATTATTAACTTCCGAAAATGTCAGCCAACCATATCCGAGAACCTCTCACACGAACAGCTTTCTTACAAAACTTCATCTGAAAGTTTGTTTCCTTTATTTCGAACCGTGTAGTGTGTGTCTGCGAAGTTTCTGTTTCTCGACTTTACAAAGGATCTGTGAAACCTTAACCGTTCTACTTTGCATCTGTATTGTGTGTAATCGCGTTTCTCTTCCTTCTTTTTCTTTTTGTATACAAGAAAAAAAAAACGAAGGTAAATATATCTTTAAAAGAAACAAACTTAAACCATCTGTCGTTGGAGAAACTTCTCTGCTCTCGTTCGGGGACGAAAAGAAAAAGAACTGTTCTTTTGTTTGTTTTTTTCCCGGCCGCGAAATTAACTTCATTGTTATTATTTTTTTCTTTCCATGATAAAATGAAAAAACGCCTCTCGACCATCTGAGCAGTTTTGGTGTTCCAAACGACAGATTCACAGGGAAATATTGATGCAAATTCGAATACTCTAAATTGTTACAACATCCATTAGAAAGTGCATTTTGCATTTAATTATTTCGAATAATTATTGAATATATTGGTTTTCATCTCATCTGTAGTATTATAGAGTTGCCGCTACATTTATATAATGATTACCTCCTACATTTCCAAATATGTATCCGCATTAAGAGTAACTTTAAGTGTGACTTTTGTTCAGCTTTATAAATAATTTTCTGGTTGCCTCGTGTTTTCGTCAGCACTGATTCTTCCCCCTCTTCACCACACCCCCCTCCCCGGCGTTTGCCAATCTCGGTTCTCTGTTCTACCGCGTTCTTTCACACGCCTCTTTTTAAATTATTTAACAAACATTCGAAACATCTGACTTCTTTTGTTTCCGTTTTTTTTTGTTCATACACGAATAATTAATAGATTATTGCGCGCTGCATTCTTCTTTTAATCGGTCTCTTAACTCTTTTCCCAGTATTTTAATTTGTTCAGCTAGCAAAAATTATAGAATCAGCTCTGCTTGACACTAGACACGAATGGGGTACATGTTACAACAGTAAGTTACAAGGTAGAATGATCCAACAAGAATACATCGATGTGACTGCGTGTGTGTGTGGTGTGTGTGTGTGTGTGTGTGTGTATGTGTTTTGTTATAGAAAAATGCGAAAACCAAATGGGTCGGTTGGTCTTCGTCGAATTAATATATAGTGAACTCTTGATATATTTCCGTTGCACTTTATGGAATATATAGCCCCGGCAATATATCAAGACTCCACTGTAATTAAATCGTTACAGAACAATAAAACAGGTTTCAATACGCTGTAAGGCATTTTACACAGGTGTATATTTTGTTACACAGGCAGCGACAACGCGACATATCCACCGACCCATGTACAAAGGTCAAACTAATACGATTATTAACGGTCACATATAGCGCACACACGATTTTAGTTTTTCTGTTGCTTTTTGAAGAAGCAATTAACCATCCTCCGCGAAGGATCGTTCTCCGAAACTCATCGCACTCAAATGCGCTACACACATGATCATCGATTACCTTGTCACGCCACGTCGTTATGAAAAATAACAAAAAAAAAAAAAAATAGAGAGGATAAAACGAACATAAACATACCATGATTATAAATTGTAACATACAACGGTCACCCTCTGTGTACGCGATTGTATACTTGTAAATCGTTTTTTTTTCTCTCTCTTTCCTTGTCGGTTTCCTTTAGCTATGAAAAATAATAGCAGAATATACTTGTTATTGTAATATTTAATAAGAATATATAAGGACGGGGCCCACATACGTTTGCAGCTACATTGAGATAAGTGTCTTCCTTTTCTTTTTAATTCGTTATGACTTGTTTTTTTTTTTTTGTTTTTTTACTTTATTAGATAGTTTTCGTTTCTTTAATCGTTTACTTTACTGTCTTTGCTACCGTACTTTTAATATATCTCGTTAAATAGGTATTGAAAGCGAAGAAACTATTATAAAGAGAAACTTAAAATTTAAATTGTGTTCGAGGCATTACAATAATAGCAACTCATTGTCTCTTCTTCCCGGCTCGTTTTATACCGTTGCATTTTCCATGTTTCTCGTTAGATCGCTAATCAAGAATCGCGGTACCCTATTTGCGGGGAGGTTACACGTCGCGTTCAAAAGAGAAATGAGAACAAAAACATTGAACGTTTTTTAATGCCCATTAGTTGCGTGCTTCTATGGGGTGGGGGGATACAGTGAAATAATAATATAACGCCGTTTATCATCTCGTTCATCGTACAGTGGACTCTTGGTATATTACCGCGCGAGGCACTTTCCAACGCGAGACACGTCATAGTGGGGGCTCTTGATATGTTGCGCCGCTTCCGAGAATTTCATTCTCCCACAGCTCGGCAATACATCAAGAGTCCACTGTACTACCTTTTTTTTGTGGTGGCAATATCATTTAAAACAACCCACTGAAATTAAATGATTCGCTCCGTTTTCTTGGTTTTATAGTTATATTCCTTCTATGTAATATGTACATATGTATCGTGTGTGACTTTCACGAAAAAGACCTAGGACACTCTACTACCAACGTGTGTGATTACAAATATGAAAACCAACCGAAGAACAAATGGAGAGTAACGGTGTAATGGAAACAATAATCAAAAAATCACCAAATAACGAAAGAGAAAATTAACTGTGAAGCAGCGACGGATTTTCTCTGTTTTTCTGTTTTTACGCCGTGAGGAACGATTATGATCACGTTTCCGTTATTGGGCGCGCTGCATCAGACACACCATTAGTGTTCGCCCTAACGAAATATAACAACGTATATAGTGCTGATCAACGTTAACAAAATTTAAACAAAAAAAAAATAGGAAAAACGAACGAGAGAACGAGTTCGTACGTTTAGAAAATAATAGCCTACACGTGGATGCGTATTATACGAAAATTAACGGGAAAAAAAAGAAATAAAAAGTGATTGTTTAATTTTACATGTCGTGATCTCTCTCGTTCGACCCCGTGTTTTTCACCTATAAGAAGCGTTTTTATATCGTGGTTTTTTTTGTTATCATTGTTACACAGCGAGGAGCTAGCGGTACCCTTTTATACTTCGAAGTACAATAATTGTAATTTTTTCGTTACCACACAACGACACGCAATTCGAAAGGATCATTTATAAAATGACTTTACCATCTAAAATACATAAGAGAATCTCTTTCTTGGGTTTCTTTCCATTTTTCCCGCGGATACGTCCCCTAAACATAGACAAGGTTCTTTTTTCTTTTTTTTCGTGGGCCCCTATTTTTCCATTATTTATTTTTACTTCATGCGTTCTATTTTTCCCCCATCAATCCCTCTACTTATTACAAAGAAAAGCAGGCACGAGTCTCAGGCGCGCGCCTCTTCTTAGTCGACCATTTTACACGCAACAGTATTTTCTTTCACTTTGTTTCGGTTTTTTCTTTTTTTCACACATTTTTATCGTCTGCCTTTTGGAAATACTTCTGTGTTGTTTGTTATTCAATATGGATTTTTTCACTTGTTTAACACGTTTTTTTTCTCATTCTTCATATTACATTCCCCCCGTTTGCTTTTATATTATTATTATTATTTCCATATATATGTTTTGCTCGTTCATTTCGTTTGCTATATTATTCAATATTATTCATTATTATCGTTAAATTATTCCTCGTTCGCGTACGTTTATTGCGTTTTACTCGTATCAGTGCAGCAGCAACTGATCATGTTGTGTACGTCGTGTGTTTTTGTCTTTTCTTTCATTTTTCTCCTTCGTTTTTAACAAAGCTTTCCACACGCATTTTCTGGCATTGTTTTCAGGACGATCGATCACGACCTCTCAGAAAGAAAATCTTCTACCTTTTTTTTACACACACACGAGAGCGTAATGTGGCATTTTTACACTTACCATTCGAATATTTTCCGTTCATTAGTCAGATCTGAAAAAGTGTCTGTTTCGAGTTTCTCGTTACATTACATTTATACGTTATGCTGTTTCGTGTACACGATTGCCTATCGTTTAATTTCAAAATTGTTCAAAGCAGATGATAATACACTGAGATGTTTCTGTTTTCAAATCTTTTTCATATACGTCAATGCAATTCGTATGCTACAAGGTGTACTCGGAAAACAACGTGTGTATGTATATATGCGTGTGTATATTAATTGAAAATCGTGGAATAATAGTGAATCGTTTTATCTATAAACATAGCTCTTCATCCATGGAACTTATTTCCCCATTTTCCCTCTGTCCAAAATCTGTTTCAAGCATATATCTGGGAAAACTGTTTATTATATGCATACGCTTTGGAACAGCTCATATCAATGATTGGCTACTTGATATCAATGACATGGCGCTACGTTTTTAGTCTGTCTTTCTCAAATTCGTTTTACCGTTTCCTGTTTTCATTCATATTTATGTGTTCTTTTGCCATTATTGTTTTTCTTTCATTAACAAGCAACTCAGAACTCTGAGAGCTTCGGAGACACAGAAGAATTAATGAGATTTTTTTGTTGTTTTCTACTAATCACGGATGTCAAACATGTTCAACATACCATCATCATCGTCTAAAGCACTTTCATCCTTCTATATCCGTTCTTCCATTCTCGCTCACTCTTAATGTCTCTCTCTCTCTCTCTCTTTCTCTCGATGATCTTACTCATTTTAATGTTCTTTCTCTCAGGCTCGTTTAACCCATCGCTCAAATTATATAAAGTTTCTCATTGTCTTAATGCATTTTACGCAATAACAAATCTACAAAAATATAACATTTTTTATTCTTATCTCTCTCATTATATTATCTCCATAAATGGTTTTCTCTTTCTCTCTGTCTCGTTCAATCGTTCTCTCTCTCTCTCTCTCTCTTATTCGTCCTCTAATTACTTCTCTGCACTCAAGACACATTCTATCTGCCTCGACCTTAGCCCCCATCTTTCTCTTTAATAATCATGTTCTGTCGTGCTGTCTTGTTTCTCTGTTTTTCCATTTTTTTTTACACATTTTATGTATATTCATACTTCACGGATAAAATCCATTCTCGAATGATCTTTGGTAGAAAGTCTGTCCGACTATTCTACTCCATAAATAGTATTATTTTTTCTTTCGTTTAACATAATCATCCTCTAACCCCGTGGTGGTACGTAACAAGCACGTTTAAACACGGGTGTTCATTTTTCTTTTTATGTACACCAATCACACATTCGTCACTTCTAAAGTAACTATTCGTATGTACAAGTAAACGAGGGATATACATCATCTCTAAAAATATGCTACAGAAGGCGCAAATATGTTATTGCAACAATTTCCTCGCTGTACGTTTTTCACGATTTTCGAACTTCCAACGAGCTCGGAATAATAGAATAATCATCTTGAACTACAATTGTTCATAACAAAATTGCAACTCATTCCTTAGAACGGTATCCGCTTACCGTTTTCCTTACCGTTTAGCAGGTCAACAAAATTTGGAATTTTGAAAACACCCCCTGGATATATAACGTGAAATTTGCGACGAAAGTGTAGCATATTTTCCAAGCGATCCTGGGCGTACCGTGAGTGCCGCAACACTTTCACAGAGAGAACGTTTCTTTTTTTTTGCTCCTTTTTTCCACGTCGATAACACTCGCGATAGGCCCCAAGGGAATCCACGGTTACAATTATCATACATAAATTTTTTTCTTAATTCTTTCCAAAAACGCGCGCGTGCGCGCACGCGCGCACACCACACAAACACACACACACAATCATTCCTCTCTCCTTCGACGCAACAGCAAATAAATATATTTGGTAGGGGCTGCGTGTACAAGCACGCAAATCTTTCCTTTTCCATTCGGGCATTCGCGTGCTCGTTCACCCAGCTCCGACATTATTTAACATCCCACGTTTATATACACATTTTTTTGTTTTCCTAAGTGTTCCTTTCGCAATCATTACACGTTCAGTCATTCTCTCTAACCGCACAGCGATTTGCAAATAAACAATTACTCCATCTCTCTATCTCTCCCCCTTTCATTCTTACAATATCTCCTCCCCATCTTCGTCACTCGCTCGTGGGCATGCATTCATTCATTTCGCTCCTGAGCATTCACAGCTTACACATATTAATACGCTATATATTGGAAACCTCTAATCTAAATCATATATAAATATATATTTTACCTATATGAAAAGCATCAGTCTCCATTTACTAATGAACATCTCAGTATCCTGCGTCGCCGTATTCTTAGTTACGAGAAAAACAATCTATCCGTGTAAAACAGTATACATATATACGGTTTGTACGCCATATATATAATATCGATCTGCGTCAGTGTCCAAATCATTCGTCCCCCTGTCCCCGACTCTCCCTGTAACCGAACGCTACAAATGATTCTCGCGCGTTTAGAGATCAGAATACTGAGACCGTCAATGCGAGCATTTCATATAATACCGGAAAATATATATTTTCATTGTAAAAAAAATAATCACACTTCTTAAGAATTAAATACTTATTAGCAGCTGACGACGACTTGTTCTCGTTTTTCTTTCTTTTTTTTTTTTTTTTAGTAAAATTAGCGCACGCATACACTAATCAGTCGAGTTCATCCAATGGGTGAGTTTTTTCCGAGCGTGGATCATCAGGCGAGAGACACGCACAACACGCTCGTCTAGCAGAAGCACAATATTTCAATTTTTGCCCCCCTAACTTTTCTCTCCTGTTCTTTGTGTTTTTCTGTTTTTTTTTTCTTCTTCTCTGTTTTATCTTATACATTGAATGGTACGTTTGGCAGTGAGGACATCGTATATACTGTGTACGTCGGAAAACGGGTTTATCCTGTGTATGTGTGTGTTACATATATAGTCTTGGCATCATTAATCGATGCCTTGTCTCCTATATTAGTTTAATTAGTTTTGGCCCCATCAGAGCTTTAGACATTATCGAGTGATTCTGCGCGCGCGCGAACATTTGAAGGGTCTCTCTGTCTCTCTGTTGTCCGTTGTGCGAGACTTTAAGGCGATTTTCAACGAATATCTTCGAAGTGTCATACACTACCGCCAAAAGCAATCCTTCTCCCCCGTTTCTTTTGGTTTGTATGTGACGCACAATCACTCCGTTACACGTATAATAAGATTTTGATTGCAGTCTTGAGTCACATTCGGGAGTGTCTAAAAGTCGATAAAAAATGTGTTGGAAGTATAAATACCTAATTCTCAGCGACCACCGGAGCAACAAGAGACGCGTCTCCCTGCCCTTTTTCGATCCCCTTGCCGTTCTCCACGGCGTCCTCGAATTGGCCTGGTACTGGCAGTGGGTCTTTTGTCGCGTGTGTATTCGGAACCGAGTCGCTACTGCTATTGATAGTAAGAACATCGAGAGGTTTATAAGAAAATCTGTCCCAGTATGACCACAATACTTACTTGTAATCGGTTACTCCATCGACGCCGTTGCCTCGTCCCCTGCTGTCTTTCTTCTCGCACTCTTTGCTTTTTTTCACGGTGGCCTTCTTCTTGCCGGTTGCCTGGAAAGTAAACACGAATTAGTAGGGGGCTGTCGAACAGGCTAAGTAAAAGGGGGAGAAGAAATCAGGGGGGATTTGTTGCTTTCACCTTCATTTGCATTTTCTTTCCACGCCCTGCCATAGGGGCGCGATTGTTCCCACGCGTTTGAAACGTGGGTCGACCCAAAGGGGGGAAACCACGTGGGAGACCATACTTGAGACCGCCTATTGACGTCACCTACAACACACCCCTTAATCGGTTACATCACATATTTTTAATGTATATATCGTATCCACTACAAAGCAACAACCTTTTATTCAATATTGGTTTTATGCTATACATGTAGAATGTAGTGGAAAGTGGTGTATAAAAGGGTGCTAACAGGTACAACCATTCTCAAGAGGAGACAATTGAGCGATTAAAGGATTTTGTTTGAAATAAACGTAATGAAATCGAACCATGGACAACGTTTGATTGCATCCACGATATTCTACCTGTGGTGGTAGTCGTCCACGGGGATGTCCTTGTAGAGGTTGAGATAAACGACCTGGCTGCCCATAGTTAGGGCCCCATTGACCCACGACAACGCCAGCGATTTCCAACTGACCGCCACGAGATGGTATAGGTCGGCGCATTAACCCACGTTGGGGCATTGTTCCGCTTCCACGGCCACGCATTAAACCGTCGTTGATCGTGCAACCGGCGGCCAAGATATTCTGGGGCACCGATACGCGAATACCTGTGAAACACAATTACAGTTACTACTTCGTCATATCGAAAAATAACAAAACAATATGTGTATATATATATTTATTTAAAAAAAAAGTTGTATCAGCTTCGAGATTCGCAGCTCAGGACAAAATGTAAAGACCGCGAAGCAATACAGCTGAATCACTATTCTTCTTCCATTCCGAAAACACACCATTCGGTAGATACGTGGTATGTTAAGGTGTATGGAAGGGAAAAAAACTCTGTGGCTCGAATACGATAGAACCAATCGCTTTACCACGGATTTACAAAGGTTTCTGAAAGTTAACTGTCTCTGGAAAAATGATAAGTACAGTACAGCGACACACCTGGTGCAACAGGCATCGGTGGGCGTGCGAAAACAACGTTGATACCCTCCAAAACAGCTTTCCTCATTCGATCGACTTTCACAACACGATCTATATGGCCACTGCACAGTTCTAGTAGATTTTTCGCTATAGTGGTACGAGCTAATGTGTGGTGGAACAATTTCCCATCGAAATACAACCACGGACAACACATTAACCACGGGATCGGTGCGCCACAAGCATCGTTAGCCAGCAGAGCTGTTTCGACACCAGCCATAAATAACGTAGCCAGTTGTACTCCGCGGGATGTCACTAAAGGAAGCTGTAGGAACGAGCTTAATTATTGATCAGACAAAATAACACGAACATCCATATGTATTTTCGGTACCTGAAGATCCTGTAAATATTGAGCGTTCATAAGCTCAGGGGAAAATGCTTGTGCAATAAAAGCATCTAGTTCCTGACGGCGTAGGATCTTGATTATATCTGAGAATGACATAATATATCTGAAAAAGAAAAGATACATTGATGAATGCTTTGAGCAATATCAGCCAACTTGAGTTTACAGTGTTCAAACATGAATTACCTTAATACACAAGCCATGACTAACAGATGTTGCGGCACGTAGGTAGTATTTAACATGAGAGGCGTGTCTGACCTCATACAGGTCAAGAATCCTCGTAGTCTGCGGCGTTTATCATCTATGCCTGTGCTGAAGGACATTACGTGTGACTTTCCGCGTGTTCTCTCCAAGAATTTAACCAACGGTGATAAATATATATAAATCACATACCCAAACCATAAACGTTGAATCGTAGGAACGCCCCAACCAATCTGTTCCGCCTTCACTAACTCCGGAGTCTGGTATGGATTCGACTTGGACCACACCCACTCCTTTATCACAACGTCTGGGACCTCGATTTTTTCGCTATCTATTGAACAGATCAAGAAAGTGTACCGCGATCTCCGTGATTTCAATGGATCGTTTTTCATACGAGGACAATATTACTCACCGCATTTCTCTTTAATTTTAGTAGCTAAATACATTCGGTGATGAAGATTGAACAATATCGCGTAGACCATCTGTCGTACGGGTCTATAGATGAGATGAATCGATGGGAATTCACGATGATTCTCGTCCTCCAAGAGGACCGGTAGCTTAATCTCGCCGGCGATTAGAATCTGATAAATGTGAGGGGACATCAGTCCTTTCTGATGCCTCTCCGACGCGGTACGCATCACTTCCGGTACCGTCGTTGGAATACTAGTTGTCTTTTCCGCTTGTTTCGTGGAATCGGCTGTCGCGTGGGATGGAGAAGTGGCGGAAGAACTGCTACTCGAACTCGATGAACTAATCAGAAGATTGTGGGTGCCGTTGACAACGTGTCCATTACCTTAAACAAGACGAACGTTTCCCTGAATCATTAGAGTACCAGTGATCAACCACGATTGCTAACTGTTCGACAGTTTCCTTACTTTGTTCTTCTTCCGTCTTAATATGAACGGCATCTCCATGACCCTGAATACCCGGTGGATCTATCACAATTTGTGGAGCGGACTTTGCGTTCGCTGTCGCTTGCTTGTACGCGTTCAAGCTCTCGCGTTCGCTCTCCACAGTTTCGGACGCGAATCTAGATGTCTCTAAATTCGTATCCGCTTCCGAGGTTGTCGGTGTTTCGGACACATTCGACGGCGTTTGTACTACGTTCTGTTTGGAGTCCGACTTGTGCACTAGAAACATTTTTCGTTATTGTTAATACGGTGGGAATGAATGCTGGATCGAAGCAAGCATTTCTTACTTTTATTTTGTTTCACTGGTTTGTAATGCAGAAACCCATCTTTAGTTCCATTTATATAGTACTGAACGGACTGTCTCAATTTCAAACACCTTGGATCCGACAGAGCCCCGAATACTTTTTGCGCTACCACGTCTAATTCAACAGATGGCAGATCCTTAACGAAACTGGCAATGGTTTTTATCGTCTGTTCCACGTTTACTTTGTTCAAATTAGTATTGATGTTTATCTTCTTGTAAAAATCAGCCAAATCCTGTTCGTTCAAGATATAATTTCCAAGTAATGCAGCTAACAAGCATAGTCTGTCGGATGGGATGTTCAGTGCTTTTAGAAGTTCAGGAAGAATGTATTCCTTTGTGTCGAGGGAGCCCTTAAATAAAAATATTCGTAAATATTATATATGATAAATACACAGACAATTCTTCTAAAAAGCCACAAGTATACCTTGTATGTAAGCTTTAATTGTTCAGACGAGAAGTATCGTGGAGGATCAAATGCCGCGTACTCAGCATCGTCGGCAATCAAGCCGTTGAAGTTATTTTCACGACAATAAGCAATTACTTCTTGATGATGATCATCCATACTGCACAACTGTTCAAAGAAATTAATCAAAGCAACGCAAAGATTTAATGTTGTAATGTACTTTGCGCAGTTTCACTTACAACTGTAACATTTAAATGTCTCAGAGCCATACGCAGACTGGTTCTCAAACATACTGGTGGAGTCCACCAAATTTTTGGCGGTGGAGTACCTTTTGTCGAAATGTGTTTTAACACCTGCAAAGGTTGTCAACTTAGACCGTGCAGATTTTATAGTAATTTCTGTTTATCCAATCATAAAGAACCTTACATTGTTTACTTTAATTCTCACTTGCAACTGATTCTGAACCCAGTCTGTACGTCGAGGAGATTCGAAACATCCATTGAAGAATACAGCCAATTCCAAGCCTGACATTTCTGTTGCTTGTATAAGAACTGCTAAGAACTGTAGCATTCGATTCCATTGTCCACCACATGCCCAATCTTAATTGCAGAATACTTGTTAATCTTTATACTTGTTTAAATAATGTGAAATGAGAAAGGAAACATGTATACCTGAGAAATAACCTCCGTATAATCTGTCTAAACAGCACTCTCCATCGAGTACTAATCTTAATTTTCCAGAATGTAATTGTTGTGCTTTACCGACACGATTATGTTGTCTTTGGGCAATGGTACGCGCAATTTTCAAAAGATCCACAGGTACAGATCCTCCTTGTACGTAATTGCCGTCCAGAAAGACTTGCAGATCTTGGATGCCCATTTTGTTGGATTGTGATGTAAAATTGTTGGTTGAAAGTGTTTAAATTTTCCTTACAATGTTACAATTTGTTTTTTTCTTCCTAAATTACATATGAGAATGTTTGCTTAGTGTTTTGCTTTAGGTATTTTTATGACATCAGGAAATCTAATTTCAATTTCAATAATTTCAACCTGAAATAAATAACAGAAGTCAACACCAATTATGTATATTACCAAAATCTTGCCTGTTATTTGACCCTTCTGACATGTAGCCTACGCCTAAAGTATACTATATAGTATTATTATAATTCAAACGCTGTGTACTAAGAGGTACAGTGTGCAAGAGTTCCTAGTTCAACAAATAAGCAAGAGAAAAAAAATAGCAAAAAGAACTTTATTTACGAGAAAATTTTAGTGATTCATATCGCGTATGACAGAATACAGTTCCATCATCGTACAACGTCACTTGGTTAGGTAGTAAAAGGGTCAACGAACATTCAAGAGTCGAAAATTTGTCACATTCCGAACAGAAGTATGCCGACGCCATTTATTTTGTTTATGTGTGGCCATTCGTGTATCATTGGCAAGTTCTTTCTCTGTCGACAGAACATTCAACCTTGTCAAGACGTTAATTAATGCGAAAATGGATAAGAAACGGGCAATTTAGATTTTTCCTATTGTTTCTCAGTTAACTGAACGAGCCCGAGGGAGGACTCCTTTATAGACCGGCATGGCGAGTGAGGTCCTCGTACTTCGCTGTGAAACTTACACGAACTGGGATTCGCGCGGTTTCGTGACCATTTTCCTTTTACAAACGACACCTCGCGAATCCCGTCGAATTTGATCTATGTGATTTCGTCCGTGAAACAACGACGATACTTACGTTAAATTAGCGATAATCATCGTGGCCCCAAAGAAACACAAAACACACGGGCTTTCAGAGTAGGTGACGTCGGATTCGAAAACGGAAATGAGCGCTCGGCCGCGCTCGGATATCTACGTTATTTATCCCGGTTCCACGAGAATACAGCTTCCCTATTGGTCCGTTTGGTGAAACGACAGCGTACGCCGGAAACGAATAATTTAACATTGTTTTGAAAATACGAACTATAAAAATACGAGAGATCGAGTAAGGAACATTGTAAACTGGCGTTAGAATTTTACAAAACGTACAGTATAGAATTGTATAATATGCGATGCTACGCGACGAAAAATTGTTTCTTTACAAAACGTTGAAAATGAAATAGAATTTCCTCTGGTGAGGAGCGATCAATGTTCAAGATGGATCACGCGCGCTTCAGTTTATTTGAATTTTAATTGAGCGCGCGTATCCCCCCGCATTTTGAAATTCTAAGAGATGACTTGATTGTAATAAGAAAAAAACTCTGTAAAAATGATAGAAGGTTATAGTCTATTTTTCAGCGCGAATGTTATCGAAGTTCTTACGATGAATGTACAGAACAGTCAGTACGCAGATAATGTTTATTACATAAAGTATTCAGTAACGTTCAAATACAAAACCATAATGATAATGGTATTTCAATAATCTTTCAATATTCTTTTATACAAATACACTCATTCGCACCTCAAACATACTATACTATGCTCAGTCAGTGATCCTTTTATGTTACTATAAAAAAAAAAAAGTGGAAGATACGAAATAAATTACAACAATTCATTACCAAAGATGGAACTTATGGGCCTACAATATATTACGATGATGAACTCAATTAGCAAAGTATTTTACCCTTCGATGCGTCTTTGCAATAATATGATTACAAACCACTTTAAATGCTGCAAAGAACAGTCAAAAGACAACACATCCATTTCTTTATGTACAACCACAATAGTTCGTTATTGTTTGAAACACACAATAACTGCGCAAAGGTATCAATTACTGCTATAAAATTCGTCTTATGCAGTACAATTCTCAATTACAGTTCATCATGTTTTTCTTCATCATTCTCTTCTTCGTTCATATCTATATCCATGATCTTCTCCGACTCTAAATCAGCCTCCGCCGAGGCAGATTCTGCTTCTTGTACCTCTTCCTCCTCTGGTACTTCATCCAGAGAAATACCCAAAGTTTTCCTCATCAGCTGCTCCACACTATCCGCGAAGCTGGCAGTTTCTCTGAGCATATATCCAGACCTAAGAGTGGCTGTTCTGAACATCATTAAAGCAATGTCTTTTGCTGTTTCATCAGTACCATCTACTTCCACACGGCGCAGAAGTTCTCTGATCAATGGATGTCTTGGATTAATCTCCAGTGTCTTTTTTTGATTTAAGTAATAAGTTTTCTGCGGATCGTCGCTCTTCTGATGAGCATTCGAGATCGCTAGTCTTTCCATGTTTCCGGTCCATCCAAACATACTGGCAACCAAAGCGCAGGGAGAGTCTGTCAAACGTTCAGAAACTTGAGCTTTACTGATATGATCCTTCAGAATATCATTCAACCATTTGACCAATGGCTCGAAGGTTGTTTTCAGTTGCTCCATTATTTCCTTGGCCTTGTCACCCTCGTCGAGAGAGAAGCCCTCTTTCGCGACGTTTTGGAATTTCTTACCATCGAATTCGGGTAGAGCGGAAATTGCGTATTCGTCGACAGCTTCCGTTAAATAAAGAACCTCGTATCCTTTTTTGTCCAATCTTTCGACAAACGGTGATTTCTTCACTTCTTCGTCCGAGGAGCCAGCAATATAGTAGATATGTTGTTGATTGGATTTCATGCGGGACACATAATCAGCCAAAGTTGTGGCACCCTTTTGGGTGGAGGAATGGAACAACAAAAGTTTCGACAGTCTAGCACGGTTCTGACCGTCTTCGATCACGCCCAGTTTAATGTTCGTACTGTATTCCTTCCAAAACTTCTCATAATCGTCCTTGGGGATCTTCTTAATCATGTCCAATACTTTCCTAATAAGCTTCTTCTTAATTACTTTAATAAGCTTGTGCTGTTGCAAGTTTTCACGGGAGACATTAAGAGGCAGATCATCGCTGTCAACGATACCGCGGATAAAAGACAAGTAATTGGGCATCATATCCGTGAATTTGTCTGTTATAAAGATTCTCCTGACGTATAGCTTGATATTATCTGCCTTAGTGCCATAACGATTGAAGCTGTCGCCTGGTTGAACCTTAGGAATGAACAGAAGCGCTTTAAAGGTGACTTCACCTTCCGCGACAAAGTGAATTTTTGCTAGAGGATCTTGGGTATCTTTTGTGAGCGCTTTGTAAAAGTCATTGTAATCTTTATCTGCAACTTCAGACGGTTTCAACGTCCATATGGGTTTGGACTCGTTCAACAACTCCCAATCCCAGACAGTCTTCTCTATTTTCTTTGTTTTCTTTTCCTCTTCGACATCCTCTACTTTTGCATCATCTTCTTCGTCCGATACTTTATCTTCTTTCACAGGTTTCTCTTCTTCTTCTTCTTCATCATCGACCTGAATAGTTTTACTGCTCCACAGATATATAGGGAAGTTAATGAACTGTGAGTATTTCTTTACTAAATTGCGGATTGTATCTTCTTCTATAAAGTCTAATGCTTCATCCTTCAAGTGGAGACTACAATAATGGATAAATTAGTTTGACCGATTAGACTTATCAAATTATAAGCAAACGTTGTTTCACCTACCTCACTGTTGTTCCTCTCTTCAAGGTATCTCCTCTTGGATCCTCTACAATAGAGTAGCTGCTACTATCAGATTCCCAGATGTATTGTTTGTCGTCGTTGTGTTTAGTTGTGACAACTACTGTGTTGGAGACTAAGAAGGCAGAATAAAAACCAACACCAAACTGACCAATCATAGCATTCAGATCTTGAGGATCTGAAGTTTCCTGCATCTTGCCCAAGAACTCAGCAGTACCAGACTTTGCAATTGTTCCAAGATTATTAATCAGGTCTTTCTTAGTCATACCAATACCAGAATCAGTTATACTCAATATCTTATTGTCTTTGTCTGCCTTTATTCTTATTGTTAACTCAGGATTACTATCCATGACATCCTTGTTTGTGAGGAATAATAATCTGATCTTGTCCAAAGCATCGGATGAATTAGATATCAGTTCTCTGAGGAAAATATCTTTGTTGCGGTACAAAGAATTTATAATTAGTTTCATTATACGATTGACTTCAGTTTGAAACACAAATTTCTCTGCTTTGTCCCTAAGTTCCTTCACTTGAGCTACATTTAATCCATCTAACTGTATAGCTTCTTCTTCCCTCTGAACCACTTGATCATCTGTAAAACATTTATTTACTTCGTAATCAATGGAAGAAAGCATTGTTTAAAGTGGAATAAAAAAAAAGAAAGTCAATGTCATAAAATATTAACTATTTATGCAATTTGCATAAATGTAAATTGAAGGTACATCTAGCCTTGACTGTGATGATTAAAGAAGTGGGTGTCTGTTATAACTTGTGTTATCAGATAAAGATCTCATATGCACATCTGGTTCAAGAAAACAGTTATAGAACGAAATTGGCGCACGTTGTTAAAAATACATGAAAAATATGTATAACCTGTTCGAGAGCCTTCTCGGCTGGCACCCAAATCGTTTTCGACTTTTCCAACATCTTCGTCGAGCAGATCTTCGGACCTAACAAATCCTAAACAACAAGAATAAAAATTTATGTTATGAGTTACTTAATGTGGATATTCGAACACCTATTATTCGATAAGAATAATTTCCCTGCGTAACCTACCTGTTAGGAGGAACAGGACCGATAACAATATTAACGCTTTTTTCATAGCTGCCGTGAAAGGTTCACGAATAATAGCAGAAAAAAAGCGGAAACACACCTAAGAACGAACCCAAACACCTCGCTCCGCTGTTTTACACCGACTGTCATATAATCTAACCACGACGCTGTGTTATAGCGAGAGGAATTCGAGCCATTCACCAATCAGGTGGACACACGCAATGCAAGTCGACCAATTGAAAACAAGCCGGCTATTGCTCAGTCCAAATGTCTTCTCCGGATTGGCGGATGAAAGCAACACATGGCTATCAGCGGTTCTAGAATTTTCTCCTATAATGCCTTTTATTTTAAATAAAATAGACATTAAACTATACATTTGATTCATTTACTTTGAGTCTACTAATGTACAAGTACTTCTGAATTAAAAATGTTACGATATTTGGAAATATTAATCGATATAGAATCTCTATGAAACTGTTAATAAGGCAGATATTGATAACTGACTGATGGTAAGTGAATTACAATCGACTCATTTGATAATGTCGCAAATAATGCATATTTCTGTTATACTGACCGTCAATCATATATCACATACCGACCGTCTGTGATCAAATTCATCTCCATACATACATATATGTACGTAAATACCTATATACTCATGTCCCTAATGTAGAATTTCGCATGTATGTATTGGGTCGATCAATTGAACCGTCAGGAATAATTTGCAACTAACAAAATTCACTTTGAGAGCTTAATTATATATTTTGAATTAACTTCAAATATCCTATACATTTCAATACAATAATTTATTGAATGCATTGTCTAAGTGCATCGTTGTAGCTTAGGCAAATCAACAATCGGCGACCACAATTGGTATAACTATAAGTCATTAAATGACATGACATAGATCGTTGAGAACAAAGGCCGGATATAACTCTACTAACACTACGACAAAATCTGAAGGATATCAAAACGCTAAAATATTTATCCATTAACCCTATCTAGACTCAAGTAAACATTACGCCAAGTGTCTAGAAGTTGAACACATTAAAATACATTTTCGGAGTACCGTTTCAAGTTAACTCGATGAAAGTTATTGATTTCTGAAATTTTTATAAATTACTGTAGACAAATAAATAACAATCACAGTATCAACGATACGAGGACACCACGTCGTTCGAATCGCTCTATCACGAGTAAATTTTCTGCAGTTTTGCCCTGTACGAAAGACTTCACCCTACCGCCCTATATAGTCCTTCGACAGGAAATCGGTATCGGGAATTGATCATGCGTGAATTTTTCGCTGTTACACGTGTTGTGACTATCCGGTCGTTATGGATACGTTGTACGGAGGAGACTATTATACGGATATTGTACACGTCGAACACACCTTGTTCCTCATATGTGGGCGCGTTGTCTGTCCCCCACACGTGTATAATTCAATGTACACATATTCATATATATGTCGCGTCCTATAGAATGCGACCAACCGCGTCAAAAGGAACCCTGTATCGCCATTCGCCTTCCGGTCCTCTTCAGAGGAGTCACGTTCTTTTCCCGACCCCGATTCACTGGACCATCAGGATTTTTTAACGGAACCGGCGATCGGACACGGTTCGAGCCTTCCTTCCTGAAAATCGAGGTAGGTAAATAATATAAACAATAATATAGAGACAATATCTGCTTTCTACGAAAGCATTTTGAATAATTAAACAAAAAATGATTCAATATCGAATGAGTTCAAAGGAAATAGTCTAATCCCATTATGTAATATTGTATGCAACTACAAATCATTTCACCAACGAGCGTTCCCGCCGTTCTAACATCCCCACTCTTCAATTGGCCAATAATTTATGAGGTGATTTAAGCCTACTTATGGCTACCGCGGATTATTTTAATCGATCGGTAAAGTATAGTAGCCATGAGAAAATTAGAACCAATTTCGACGCTTGGCATCACATTTAATTAAGTAAACGAGGGGCGTGGGGTTGGGATGGAAATTTAATGAGGCCATTAGCCACACCTCACGTAATCAAATAAAGTGAAAAGTTATTCTACCATCAAGATACGTGCCGAAATCCCCGGGCGACTTTCGAAAAAGCAACACACAGTATGGGTATTACTGGATCACCGTCCGAGGTGTAACAGAGAAAGTTGCCACCGTTTGTCCACTGGCTTCTGTGTACACCTTGTATAAGAGTGCACGTCAGATACTGTCCCCACCACTTGACCCTCGTCATCTTTCTCTGTTTATCACAAATATACCTACAACCATAGGCGCAATCTCGTGTTCCGGTTTTATATATTTAATTTGTGCTTGTACAGTACACCAAGAATTGACCTCGTTCGTTATCTCTCTCTCACGCGAGAACACCTGAGTCATGTTATTCGCGTGAGTCAGCGAGGCACACGGGTTTCCTCTTGCAGGGATGTTCTTTAACAGGCCACAGAGCGCTACGACAAGGAAAGAGACTGAGATGATCAATAAGGCCCAACGGGCCGTACACGCAGCCACGGATTCCATCGAGAAGTTACGTCTGCTCTGCCTGGCCAGAGGCGCCAATGGCATCCTCGGTTTGGGCAGGTAAGTTACCTATTATTATTTCATCTACTGACTAAGAGATAACTAAATATACTGCGGATTTTCATGCAAAATGATATTTTCGAAAGTAATTCACGAAGACAAGAATAAATGTACGAGTTTCTTTTTTCTCTTAAGTAACATATTGGGTTCAGAATAAAATGATTTGATGTTGCCAACTTGGTGCCCTTTTTACGGTTCCTTTATTGGGCGGCCGAGAAATTGATTCTATGAATTATTCAATGGAGGATAATTTTGTAATCATTCCTAAAGAAGATTTATAACACGGGGTGTGGTCTCCTCGTTTCAGAGCGTTCCGTCGCATGGACGACGACGGCAACAAAAAGCTGAACCTTGAAGAGTTCACGAAAGGCCTCCAAGAAACAGGTTTGGATTTCCCTGACGAGGAGATTCGAGAGATTTTCGACAAGTTCGATACCGACGGCGATGGAAATGTCAGCGTGGACGAATTCATCGTTGCTGTACGGGTACGTTGTTGCTTGTCGCCTTCGATATGTATAAGCTAGGCCTTTTCAACACGTGACTCCTCGATGAATGCGACACGAGCAACGGCGTTATTCCCACCACTGGGGGGTCCTCCTGTGGAACCAATTCATATATAGTAAACAGAAGCTAAGCAGAGGCTTGATTTCGGTAAAAAAACAAATTTAAAAACTTGCCATGAATGCTCCGAAATGAACTCGATTATGTCGTACTCATCGAGGCATTACTGTATCTAGCCGCCAAAAAACAGTGATTCTCACGAATTGATATTTCCGGCTGCCATAGCCCCCGATGTCCCAGAGCCGTAAGAACGTGGTGGGCCAAGCATTCAAGAAGCTGGACAAAACCGGTGACGGGTTGATCACAGTCGACGATCTGAAAGGAGTATACAATGTGAAATGTCATCCTCGATACATAAGCGGCGAAGAGAGTGAGGAGAGCATTTTGAACAAATTCTTAGCGAATTTCGAGCAGAACAACACCAGAGACGGCACTGTAAGGAAGTGATCGGGACTTTTTTGGAATACAGTGTACTCTTGATATATTGCAGAGCCCTGGTACCACTGTATTCGCTCGCTGCGAAACGTGTATCTAGTTCCGAAATTGATTTACAGGTCACCGAGGAAGAATTCATGAATTATTACAGCGCGATCAGCGCGAGCATTGACCACGACGCCTACTTCGATCTAATGATGCGCAACGCTTATAAGCTCTGAACTTTGTACTGAACCGCCGGCTATCTCGGGTGTTATCGGATTTATCAAGGACGCCAAGGTTTCACGGTCAATGTCAATGTTCAAAGAACACTGCAGCCTGGGTCGCCAACAGCTCAATTGGGTTCATTATTATAACCGGCCGAACTGGGAACATATTCGTGATTTGGTATAGGGACAAGGCCTCCTTCTTATATAATAAGCGATATAAGTTTACTATAGCTTGATTTTGCTCGGCCGTAATTATTCGATGACTAAGCTGGCTATTCCATAACGAGGGCAACAAGAAAATAATCCGGTAAAATCAGCTCCATGATTCTTTATAAACGACGAGCAACGGTTCTCAAACAATAAGCTCGATGCCCTGAAAAGAAAATTTTTATGTCAATTTACTATATATAGATAAAGTTTGATTATTATAAATTGTATGTGTGCTTAGTACATAAGGAACAGAAGTTGGTTATAGGGTCCAATACAGTGTAAACATTGTACACGTACGCGGATGCAATGTACTCAACTATTCTTAATTTAAATATGTCGATTTTTATAATTCCGTGCTTGTACCGGTCACCGAGAAGTGTTATATAGATATAGTTGTTTCATCTTGAAGTATAGATGTATATTTTAACGAGTGTTCACGAAGTTTGACATTACCTACTGTACACAGGCTAAACGAATAATGAAACCTTCAACAATTGTACTTTCCTATAAATATAAATTATTTTCACTCTGACGAAGTAAAGCGTTAAAAATATAATAAATTAATCGAGAAATAATTTTTGGTGTGCTCGATTTTTCGCGCACCTGTCCGCGCAACCTCGCGACCTCGCGGCAGCCGCGAGCCCATAAATACGGATGCGCAACGGGAAATCCTCAGTTCACTCGCGTCCGCGGACCTCGTTGGGGTCTTCCCACGTCTTCATCTCCGATTGCTGACCATTTGTAAACACTGGTCAAGGGGATTCAAGGGGTCTTCTCTATTATACGAACTCGACTAGCAGGGCTCTTTTATCCGAACTCGACGATTTGGTTCGTAACCCTTTTTTTTTGTTAGCTAATTTTAATTAATTGTGTTTTATTTTAAGTTATTTTAATTAGGTACTTGTGTTTTATTTTGATTTATTTTAATTAACTGTGTTTTATATAGATTTATTCTAATTAATTGTGTTTTATTTTGATTTATTTTATTTTCAGGTAGATTCAAGAAAGAAGCCATCCGCCGGTTCAACGTGCTATGAAATATTTCGAAATATTTTGAGGAACATTATACACTTCGTTGATTTCGTTGAGAACACCGACGATAATTATATGCATCCGTTAATTAATGATAAGATTTATCTTTTAAAGAGAATATTTCTCTTGATACCTCTATCGTTCGTTATACCTTTTATTTGCATGGACTGTATCTTTTAAAATAAATGTTTCGTATATCCTTGACATTCACTATGCTTACGTAACATTGTTTTTGCTCATAATTATCATATTTCAATTTCACGCTTACAACGATCGATAAGACAAGAGAAATTAGTGTTCTAGGTCCCACGGGTATAACTACAAATGCTTTTCCAGAAAGTGTTTTCTGTTTAATTATATCGTTTTTAATCAAAACAGATGTTAATTAAAGCGTAGAAAAAAAAAAGATTTTGCATCGGCCGGGAATCGAACCCGGGCCGCCCGCGTGGCAGGCGAGCATTCTACCACTGAACCACCGATGCTTCCTGTATAGTTCTGGAACCCAAAAGTCACTTCCGCTACTTCATTTACATTACTGCAAGCTACTAAAACTAAAATATAATTCATTCTTCGAACAATACATTTTCTTTTGTCTTAAAAGCTACTTAATAGAACAAGACACAATGTTTCCCAAAGAATAATTTCACAGGTGCCTTTTCTCAGCAATTGAAAAACCATTAATAAAGATTGTATTTTAATATTTACGTTCAGAAAACACAAAATGATCCTGTAGGCGCGTCGTACAGTTGATTAATGCATTCTAGGCATAACTTAGTACGTATAAATAGAAGCAGTCTTGGGGTCAGCATAGATTCCCAGACCCAGAACATTTCAAGCACTTCAAAAAAGTAGTGTAAAAGGGATCCATTTCAAAATAAAGCTACTGTGAACAGCAGTACAAGGTGATTGCCCCGCTGCTAAGGTCGGAAAGCAAGCCGCCTTATGAATATACTTACTAACGTATATGAATATACTTACTGTCCCTTGTTTCACGCAGAACCTCAAATGAGCCTCTCTTTAAAACCCTACAGGGTTTACTATCCGTAGTATTGTACAGTTGCCGCCTTGACAGTCTACAAAAGTGAGTATAACAAGAAACAGATGTGACTTTCGCCTTTGCTTGAAGCAGAAGGACAACAAGTCGCGACCCTTGGCATCCCGCTATGCAGAAAAATGATCCTCTGGGTTGACAAACGATTTGGATTCATCTGTAATAAGTATATATGACCATTTAAAGAATCAATGTTGAAATTTTGCAAAAATTAATAATCCTCCCCGACGGGGAGTCGAACCCCGGTCTCCCGCGTGACAGGCGGGGATACTGACCGCTATACTATCGAGGAGTCAGATAACTTGCATTTTTTAGAAAGAGTACATAAAGGAATTTAGCTTACTGCTCATTACTTCGTCACTTTCCTTAAGAAGTCAATTATTCTTACGAATATTCGTGCATTTATCACTTATTACTCCGTCGAATCGCCTATATTTTCAGTGATCATTGAACATAATGGAGTAACTCGATCTACATCAGAATGATCCTAAACTGGATTTCCTCCTCGGGATGTTTGCAGCGACAGAAACTAGAAAAATTCAGAATATTGAGAAATTTAACCGTGAAATTGGAGCACGGGAACAGCGAAAGAGGGGAGGCGTGAGGCGAGTTTATATAAGCGGAGCGCACGCGCCCATTAGTTCAGTTATCGGAGCGGTGTCGTTCGTGCGAGTTGAACGGAATCGTTTTGTCCTGCGCTTGCCAATTCGCATTTTGCTCTTTCATCCTTGCCCTTTCACCGCTTTTCCGAGCTACGTTGACGCATCATAGCGTGCCTCTCATAACAAACAGAATAGTGGTTACAGTGATGCGCAGCTGAAATCGTGTATATTCCCATCTCGCTCGCGGAGCGTGTACATACTTCTTCGTCGAGAAACCGCTGTCACGGTGTTACGAGATCGTTCCCGATTGAATCGTGTTCCTCCGTGAAGAGAAAAAACAAAATCTGAAATGACCAAGTACTCGACAGTTACTGCCATGGTGTTCCTTTGCGGTAAGTTCAACGGATGCCGTGTCCAACAGTCGGAAGCGTGGATCGCTAGCATTTCTTTTTTTTCATACCTATTCGCTGATAGTGTTCAGCAGAATGATTCACGACGCGCAATATCGCGACAAAGTATAAAGAGAGTCAGTATGTTAAGAAAGAAAAGGAAAGGAAGATAGATTGCCGGAGAATTCGATACGCGTAAAGTGATCGGATACACGAAATCATACCTTGCAAAGTGTCGCGTTTTTTTTCGTATGTTCCACCTTAGGAATACTTCATTATGCGTGGTGACTCGGGTTTTGAAACAGGATCGTTTGTTTCCTGAATATTTCTTACAAATAGTGCGAGCCATTGTTCCGTTGAGAATGATACGATAAACTTGAAAATCAAAGTCGATTCGCGATTAAGAAACGATAACGACCTTCGATCGGGTTCGCATAATCGATAAGGAGTGATCGTTCAGGGCATCGGGTCCAACAATGAACAATCGAATTATCGCTCGAACGTACTATTTCGATCGATTTTGCTGTTAATTTTTCCGCGTAATATGTATTTCCGAGCGTAACAACGGGTTAGTTGATACGATCTTTTCTTTTAGCCGGTTGAACAATCATTTTTACCCGTACACGTGTGACGAACGCATATCGTTTCAGCTTCCGCACTTTGTACCCTTTCCTTCCTGCATTTTCATTTACTCGGTTAGATGCGTCAAGAAACAAGCGCCGACAAAGATAGCTTTCATGATAGACTAAATGGACTAAATCTTGTTTTGGCGCGATTTGTATTTTGTCAAATCTGCACTACTTAGTACGTCGTTTATTTCCATTTCCCGCGATGCGCAATATAGACGTGGTTAATGTTATAAAAATGTGACGTATACTTACTTATAATAGTACGCAAAACATGCTGATGTCGTAGCATTATATCTACGAGTAAGACTTCTTGTTACGGATGATTATATGTTTCATAACCAAAGATCTGTAGATGACGCGCTTATTTCCGCTAGTAACGCAAGCAAATATGTATATTCTAAAACGAAACACTTTTGAACTCCGACATTTGAAATCTATTTACATAAGCGTTAATCCTCTCTAGTCTAGTTATCTCTCTAGCTAGACCTATTTACTGTTTCTTTTTTGTATCTTAGGTCTCCTTGGATACACAAACTCGCAAGGAAATATGCCCAATGCCGACGATGCATTAAATAAAATTTCAAATATCATAGATATCAATAACCTCAATGCATCCGCAATCCCAGATTTGTATACTCTGAATACTTCGGCAATACCAGCCCTTGAAGAGGCAAAGAATCTGTTCAAAGACAAATGCAATAAAAATGGGGGTGAAGGTGCATTTGAGCACGCCAATCAGGCCAATGAGAACATGAAACAGTGCCTTAAATCATTCGTCAATGTCACACAGCTCCAAGAGGAGATGGAAAGGTATAAACCTACCGGCGATCTGGATGTAGTTTTTAAAAATTATTGCCACAAAACTCCAGTTCTTAAGAAATGCGTGAGCAACTTTACTGCAGCCATAGAACCTTGTCTAGAACCAGCTGAAAAAGAGAATAAGAAGATAATTCAAAATATCACAGACTCTCTTTTGAACTTTGTTTGTTTCAAAGAAGGAGATCGTATTGCTCGTATGTATATAAATATTGAAGCATCTGTCTGCATACAAGTTAAATGTATGTACATAGTTTAATTAAATGAGTTTTTTTATTATCATTTATAGTTTTCATATCTGCTAATGGACCAGAATGTTTGCAATCGAAACAACAGGAAATTGGAAACTGTGTAAATGCTACATTTGGAAAGTATGTCCCTCCAATTGATCCTAACAGTGGATCTCTGGTGGGATTGGATAGTCTTCCAACACTTGTTCTTGGGCAGAAAGAATGCGGGTAAGTAGTCACTGAAGTAAATACATATACATGAACTATTTGAGTTATATTAATACATTCATTTTTTCATTGGTCTATATCTTCTGCACAGGGATATTTCCACTGTTCAAGGTTGCATTGTGAAGGAGCTGGAAAAGTGTTCAGACCCTACACCTGCTAATATTGTTGATTCAATATTCAACTTCATTTTAAGAGTAACGCCATGTAAAGATGTAATGGCTGTTCAAAGTGCCGCTTCTAGATCTATAATTAGTTTATTAACAACTACAAGTATAGTATTTTTATTGTTAAGAGTTGTTTGAACGAATGTGATTAAATTTTGAACAACATGGTTCAGTGTCAACAATTGTACGAAATCAAAATATTTCTTAATCTATTAAACACTTCTTTTGATTATCTTATGATTTAACGAAATGCGTCACATAATGTGTTAGCAATTTTTTTTTTTTTTTGTAAAATACACTTTCAACTCGTATAAAGTCTAGAAAGAAAGCAAGGTAACATGTTCGAAACAGAGTGATTTCTTTCTGTTTCTTTTCGTTTGAGCACTATCTAATTTAAATACAATTATTACAGTTCATTGAAACATTTTTCATCTTGATTTTTACTACACTTTGAATATGTTAAATTTTGTACCATAATTGTGTATTTGAACACATTTATACAATCTTGTAAAATAGATACATATTAATTATATGTAATAATACAATTCACTCAATTGTATTCGTATCCACCTTTAAATCTTATTATATTACAAATGCATCTTACTTCTGTTTGAAATATTTACAATTCATTATAAAATTCAGATTCATCGTTCACTGTTATTTTATATTACTGTCATAACAAAAATGCGTCATTCTTATGGAAGAACTTAAGAGTCGTTGTTTCTATTTTCGTACTGTTGTTTTTATATTTCAAGAATACAAAAACCTAATAATTGATTGTTTCAATAATTCTGTCTAATCTATTCCTTGTACATACACGTTATACCTTTTTAATAAAATTAATAATAGAGAATTACAAATTTCATTGATTATATTTAAATCATATTTCCCACTCAAAGGATTTCTATTATTCTCATGAAAATGAGATACGACGCATGTGTACAACTTTACCCGCGAATTATAACCAATTTCTCTTAAATCCGAATAGTAAAAATTTGATTGGTCGGCTGATAATGACATGTAAATGTAGCGCATGCGCCGTAAACGTTTTGGAGACATTCGTTAAAGTTCGGGTACGTTCGCGGCTCGCGGCTCCTGAAAGACAGTGCACTTGAGAAAGCCCGTCGAAGGCTGTCTCGACGTGTATGTTTTGAACAGTTCGCAACATGTTAATGAGTTTTTACCAAGTTCTTATTAAAAATTCATGCGGTGTGTTCAGTATACGAAAGACAATTACTAGTGCAAGACATTTACCTTCTTGATCGAGTATTTTTGTTAGTATCAATTGTGCAATCAAGAAGGCGAAGAACGATGCCAGGTAAAGGAAGCAGAAAAGGAAAATCCGGTGAGAATTACCTTATTTTTTTATCCTCTCTCAACTGCGTACCATTTTCTTGCGCAATTATTGCAACAAATTACGTTTAAGGCACGTGACGAATCATGCTTTATTAAATTATCAGGCTTTGCGACGGATGACTCATTCTGCATAAAAATCTTATTTATTTCGTCTTACGTCACGTGCCACGGGTGCTTTGTCGATCATACTATTTTTCTTTCGACAACGCCAGATGCACGATATTTCATTTATTTCATGGCCAGAAAACTGTGTATTGATTTACGGAGTATCCTTAGGTACATTAGAATGAACTAACATCACGTGTCACTAATACCTAAACCATAGAGATCTGCATTAGACGGGTTAAACCGGGGTTAACCTCTACTCTTTTCTGTACTCTTCGACCCTCCATGCTCGGCTAGCGAATATTATCTTCTTTATCCGAATTTACCGGGATTGACCAAGTTTATCCGTATTAAATTTTATTAAATAGTAAATTGTACGAATTACGTTGGCTTCTTTTGCCAGATTACTTACGTTACAACATAAAGAATTTCGGGATCACGTTTCGCTCACGTTGCCTTAATTAAATATGGCATTTAGGCAATCGGATCGAATTTTTCGACAAACTACTTTCCCCGAATTTTTTGCCCTAAATGTAGGTCGCCTTCTCATTGTGTGCGATCGAATATTTATTATTTACTGAATCCTTCCACGAAATGTTTTAATAGCTACATATTTTCGAACGTTGTTTTTACGTTTCATATGTATATCGACGATAACGTCGAACGAAACGAATGCATTTCGTTGTAATCTAAAATATTAGTCACTATCGTTAATTAAGGTCCTTTTGAAATGAAATTGATCCACGTTTAATTACTGTTAATTATTGCTGAAAAGTATATTTATAGAGTGGATTTGATGAGTTGTATGCAAATCATTCTATACATTCATACTTGAAAATAAGTGTAAACTGAAAAGGTTGAACTTGTTTTAAGGAATGCAGTTCATGAATTTTAAGTAAATGTGAAAGGAACCTTGCATGCATATGTATCGTGTAATATGAAGCAATAATTTCATTCCTTTTTTTATAAATTGAAACTTACAGGATAACATTATTGATTGTTCCACCACAATTCTCATTTTCTTTGTACTGTTACTATCTTGCGTGACGTATACCATAATATACAATTATCTTAGATGTCAAGAGTAGAAGCTGTTTACATTATGTAATATGACATTCACTTTGAATTGCAGTTATCTTTCCTTTCATTGTATCCATGTATTATAAGTACAGTTATTCCATTGCTAGCATTAATAGCATATAACTGTTATTTTGTAAATAAAGCTGTTAGTTCCTCTTATAATCATTATATGTTCAAACATATTCAAGACCAATGACCCAACATATGAGTCATACAGTATCACAACTGCTTAGTTGATGACATACAGGTCACTTACAGACTAAATGAATATTTCCAGATGCTGGGATAGTCTTGTAATAATGCATTAATCCTGAATATGTTAAATGAACACATTTATAATTGTGTAGAAGACACAAAACAGCTAGAATATTATTATAAGAAACATATATCTTGAACAGGTCACGGTGGAAAAAGGGTCGAGGTAACATCAGACGAAGAATCCATTAATGATGCATGCAGTGTGACCAGCAGTCAGTCGGATAACCGAAGTATGCTGGATGATGTAAACGACAATGAAGTGGACGAGTTCACACAGCAAGAAGCATTTGAAGAAAAACTGAAGGAGACAATAGATGGTTTAACACAGCGAAGCGCGAAAGGCAGAACGGTTTGCTTCAATGGAATGGAAAAGATTTTCGCGATTAAATATGTTCCGGATTTTGTGGAAGATAGAAAGATGACCATCACAGATTCCATCGAACGAGGTCTGAAGAAAGGACGCGGCGAAGAACAATCAACAGCGGCCAGATTGAGTACACTGCTTTGCGTTCAATTGGGAGCATTCGAAAGTGCTGAAATAGTTTGCAGGGACTTGAAGAGTATTCTGACTTTCATAGTCAGCGATACAACAGCTTCCACTCAAGCTCGTTCTGAGGTAAAAAAAAAAAATAAATATAGTTATCAATTAGGTTATTAGAAATATGTTTAATAAATTTCATATTTACAGTGTTGCTGGGCTTTGAGCATGAATCAGTTTTTGTCGGGCAACGATGCTGTGGACACGCTTGAAATTGTGCAATTATTGTCTAGCATTTTTTCGGGTTCCTATTTGAAAGGAAATGGGGCTATACCAACTATTACTTCTGAAGTAGCAGCCCTACATTCGGCAGCGATTTCGTCATGGACTCTTCTTTTAACAGTGATGGCTCCAGCTGATGTATACAATTTTGTTTCGAGCAGTAGAGCCAATACTTATATGCCGTGGGTTTTTTATACACTGTATTGAAACATGTGTGAATGTAGACACGAAATGATAACGAAAGTCACGTTTACTTTAGATCCCTGAACAGATTGCGAGAATTATTGGATTCACCACACCTGGATGTTAGGTTATCAGCTGGAGAAGCTCTTGCTGTAATATTTGAACTTGGTAGGGACTTTTGCTGTGATTACGAACAAAGCTGGTCACTGGATTTAATTGAAATATTGAAAGAATTGGCCACAGACTCTAACAAGTACAGAGCAAAAAAAGATCGAAAACAACAAAGAGCTAATTTCAGGGATATACTGCATTACATAGAAGTAAGTTTTGTAATAATGATACAAAAATTATGTATAATCATTTGTTCTATCAACATAATACGATCACTTGTACTTTTTATTAGGAAGATACTGTACCAGAAATGCACGTCAAGTTCGGTCAAGAAATTCTATATTTAGAGGGGTGGTGTGCACGAACTCAATATAACGCATGTTGTAGATTATTAGGCCCAGGTATTAACATTCATCTCGCGGAAAATCAACTTCTACGGGAAATTTTCCACCTTGGTAACAAAGTTTTACCAATTCCATCGAGTCAGAAAACCACTAAATTGGAAAGAGTAAGTTCAATTGTATATAAAATTAATCATCGTTAATACTGAAGTTATTAACGAGTTACTACGCATATGATTTACTTTGTTTCCAGACGTTAATGAATGCAGCTGCGTTTAAAGCTCGCACTATCCAACGCAATAAGAACAGAGATAAACGATCGGCAGCCATGGCACCGTAATTCTTGAACTTTGTGCTTTTATATATTAGATAACTTGTTTTAGGATAGCAAAACGTCAGATATACTTTTAATTTATTAGAAGTATTGTTCCGGAAATGAGAAACGATTAATATTATGTTTTCCGTAACGGTTTAGGAAAAATTGTAAATAGGAAAAAAAGATTATGGACAGAAAGATATAGTTGAAATTCGTTTAACACAGCACGATTAAAAATTGTTTTAATCGGTTCTCGATTAGCTAAATACAATGTTACATGATGTTATCCGAAGCTAGTTACATTTTGTATATACAAAAATGAAATGTGTATATACGATGAATACTTAGTACGATAACAATTTAGTTTTCTTTTTATGTAATAAAATTATTAGTAATAATTAACGATTTTGTAAAGTTTAATCAGTTGAATGCATTTCACGAAGCAGGAAAAAACTAATTTCACGACAATTAACGATCGAGTTACTGAATAGAAATGTTTTTATCTTTCATGAACAATGTCTTGTTTGAAGTGTACGTGAAATCGTATGCTATATTTGATTACTGTTATGAATTTAATTATTTAAATGATATAGTACATTGAAAATATATAATGGCATTGTACATAATTATATAAGTTATAACAGCATAGGATTCTTCATTATATCACGTAATAAAATACAGCAAAGTATTTACACTTCATATAATTTTATTACATAACAATCCACACATGTTTTTAAATAATTCGCCTCCTATACATTTACATCACAGATGGGTTAAATAATTGAATAACTATGCACATAATACTGTTTATGTACATATAATTTATAAAGGCACATGGTCTTTTATATAAAAAATTTATTGTGTTCGTAAAGTTTACCTTCAGAAAGATGAAATTGGCACCTACATGTAACAGTTATATGTGTAACTTCAACGTTTGATTCTTAAATTCCTTTTCAGATAGCATGTGCCATCGGTACTTTAATATTTTCGAGACTTCTCTCTCTGTGTTCTCGTAGCTGCGACTGTTCGTTTTGATCCACTGATAATGCTCCGTGGACCAATTCATTGTTTTTAACCAATCCCTATCGCATCTCTTCAACACTACATTCCGTCGAACGTATAAGCAACGTAAGTCCTTAGCGGTGGAAACGATTTCTAAAATCGTAGCCGTCGATACCTTATCTCGGATCATCTGCACAAAAATATTTCTAGAATGTAAAGCTATCGAATTGGTCATCTTGCTTACTGAAATCTTGTTTCAAATAAATATACATGGGTTAATTACTTCTATCATGATCACAATTGCGTTAACTGTAATAGGTAGGAGGAACTACGAAACAGTAGGGAAGCCAATCGGTGTAGATAATCTGTTTTACTTATTTGGCTTCATTAGACTAATGTCAACCATTCAATCCTCAGGCAAGTTATCAAATGTGTCATGGTAAAATATTTGCCTGCCACTGACTGGCTTCCAAGTCATTGATACAATAATCGGTCTGTATATAAATCTGTTGCCTTGTACACTATTCACAGATCATTGATATTGCCACATATCGTATGTGTATAAATAGATCTCTAAGAGCTCCAAGATATGTTTCTTACGTTTTAAACATATTTTTCAGAAACTCTGTTATAAATATTGGGTTACAACTGAGTTAGGTAGAACTTACACAAACAGCACTAAAGCCTTTTATGCAACAAGAATTTGAACGCATGCCATCACACCGTAAGAGGGGTATTAGAGTCATAGCATTTTAAGAAAGCTTTCATAGATTATATTGGAAGTTTGTTCAAACACAAAATGCTACCAGTGTGTGAAGATTTGGACACATTCTGCAGAATTGCACTAATGCTTCGTCCAATCTCTCTGCAAAGTTTCTATGCAAGAAGTATCTCGTTAGCCCTTTGAAAGCATATACTTTTAGCGTCGATTCAAAGAATGTTCCGTGAGCAAGAATAGTGGTAGATGAAATCTGCAACATTTGTTTCAATGATAAATTATATAAATTGACTTTCGTATTACGTAGCATACACTGACCTGTGTATTCGGATTATCCAAAACAATACTGTGACATGGAATACCGCCGTGCTCCAGTAAATCGATAGGCAAAAGTATATCAGTTGGTTTATGACTTTCCACTTCAAAATGAACTTTGAGATATGGATTATTTTTCTTCATTTTTATCCAAGACGATCTTTTAGGCTGAATTAGAAAAATGTTAAGAATCAGGCAGACAGTTCAAATGAATAAAGTCTGAACCAAATAGTGATGTAGCAATTACCAATCTCATTGTGGTATCCTTTGGACTATATCGATTCTGGACAATGTGAAGATGCTCCAATTTAGTGTAGCCAATTAAGTCTATCACATCTTCATGAAGATTTTGAGGACTAATGACTAGTGTCTTTGCAAACAAAATGAAAGGAAGATGTTAAACTAAAGAACTTACACTTATTTTATCAAAGTTTTTCAATATGGATAACTTACATTTAAATTAAGAAACACTCCAATGTGAAGAAGGGGGCAATAATACCTTGTAGTATTAATTAGTACCAACTTTGATAATGTTTGTGTACAGATTACACAAATATCATCCATTAAATGTAATGCCTCTTTACTGTCCAACATAAGATCTATTAGTTCTAAGCATCTCAAGTTTTGCAAATTTCGCATGAGCCTTTTTAATGCTTCTAGCAATTTTCCACCGGTACCAAAGAGTCTGATACGATCAGGATCATCTCTGTTTGCCATGTTACAAGGAAATGTGAATCTCAGTCTTCTGATATAAGTACCAACCCCTGCCACAGATGTATTATCTGATCCTTGTCTTTCAGTGTACCAAGATACCATATTCATAAATTCATAGAGATTATAAAAGTTCAGCATGGGTTCGAAGATCAGAGTTCGAAAATTCCTTCCGACTTTATTCAAGCAAGTAGAAGTTCTCATATGATCCAAGACATATTGCCAGCCACTATAATAATTGAACTTGCCTCGGGTGAGAGTGGTATCCTCTAATGTAAACGTAGACCAAACATTTTGTAACTTAAAAGCACGGTACCATGATCTACACACCAGAGATGCGTAATAACGTTCACGAATTGTAAGGTAGGAAAATATTTCTTCTAGGAGTATGTCGGGTGTCTGATCCCAGTAACTGTACACTTTCTTCTGTTTATCCTCTTCAGTCTCTTCGTCTTCGAGGTCTATGTACAATGCTATGATAGTTTCCATTAGAGTATATACACTGTACAGGACACTTAATTAGAATACATACTATTCTGTAATGTTGAATCTTTAACCGATAAACGTATCAATGACGAGTGAAACATAATAACAAGAATAAATGCGTTGGAAATGTTATTCTCTCTGACATTTAACCTGCAGCGTTTCGATGCTTACCTCTATCCTCGTCGTCGAATTTCCAGCAGCCTTTGCTCATTTTCGTGGCGAACAGTCGTCGATATTCTGTCAAAATACGATAACTGCCCACCTGTGACAAAGTATTTCTATGTAATATTTCTAAAAATACACTAATATAGGAAGGGGACGTCGCGGCCGAACGAACAACTCCATGATGTAGCCTGATGTAGCCCGCGACGAGATATTTTTAGATTTTATTCACCGCCGCGAACTCTATATTTTCGTACCGGTGAAATTGTTGCTATTTGAATCAACCAATCATTGTGCTGTGAATACAATCATAGACTGTAGGGATCGTTGAGCGCAGACAACATTAGATAAACCTGACTGATCCTACCACATGATTCTTCAATGAATACACATTTATTTATTTTCCTTTTGCATTCAAATATTAATTAAATTACGACAATGGTTTTGAACAAAAACTTATTTGTTGTAAAGCAATTACTGCAGACTGTCAGGTGAGTAGCAGAAACAATGTATGTTTTTCATTTATTTTTTTTATTGAAAATGAACAAACGAAAAACGTACAAGTGTATTTAATTAATTAATGTGCATTTACGATATATCTGATAATACACTATTGCTACAATAAAGGATATCAAAATATTCTGATATAATAAGAGAAAAGAAATTAATGTTTAATTCCTGCTTTTCTGATTAATGATAATACTTATTATTAATTAGTAATTTTGATTGTTTGCAGACAGTTTCGTTGTTCCAGTGTGAGAAGATTAGCATATGAAGGACCTGGCAGGACAACGGCTACTATTATTAATCTTGATGTTGGTTCCAGAATCTTAATAAACCAATGCACACCGGTATGCAATGATTTTTTCTAGGATTTATATTAATTTTACATTAAATAATTCAGAAATCCGTATTGTGTGTCTTGTAGATAGGGTTCAAGTTCAACAATGGTACTGCACTCATGGGTCCTCTCATAATTTTTCCAAAGACCGTCTTCTGTTGGAACATTGCATCTGCATTGCATATAAATGAGAAAACATTGTCTTTGTTCATTACACTTGAACCAAAACCAGATATAGTAGTATTAGGTCTTGAAAGGCCATACGAGTATAATAGAATTCTAGAAATGAAGAAAGTATTGTTCGACAATGGCATTTCTGTTGAAGTACTTCCAGTAGAGCAGGCATGCGGTGCCTATAACTTTTTATGTGATGAAGGACGATATGTTGCAGCAGGTCTAATACCTCCGCTACTAGAAGAATCTCTTTCATACAAATTGTTGCAACAAAGTATGGATAGTATCAGAAAGGAGAGAGAAATTAAAAGAGGAGGTATCAAGAAGCAGAAACCTATAGATTCCAAATAGTTAATTGGAATGTATGGAAATATGTCAATATACCAGTAATATCAAACGCTTGTATAATACGACTATAGTGGTAAACTAAATATAGAATAAAATTGAATTCTGTAATAGGATACTATTTATTGTAACATTCATGTAAAAAAAAATATTGTTTTAAATATTCAAATGTGGTGTGCGTTCTGTGTGTGGTGAGTGAGTAAAGCATACATGGCGTTACTAATGCTAACATAACCTACGGGCATCGAGTGTGACGCACAGGCCATGTGCGAGTGCGACACGTTTTCTCCAGACCTGTAACGTTTTAAACATTACAAAGGTAAATTTGTATAAATAATAAAATAATTGTGGTTGAATTGTTAATATCAATGATATATATTCTATATCAAAATAAATATTGTTCCAGATGACATTGAAGAATTTTCCAAGAGGAGGAAAGAAGTTGCAAAGGAAGAAATCATCAGTTTCGGTAAGTTTATTAGAAATTAAAATTATATTTATTAATTATTTAAATTACGTAATATTCCAACAGATTCAACAAAAACATGAGAAAGTCAACAAAAAGATTCGTGATAGGGGAAATGCAAGGAAGAACACAGAAGAAGATGCAAATTTTGCTGCCAATACTGCAGAACGTTTATCATATGCAACAGTTTGCGAAGGATTAGTAGTACTGGGTTGTATTTTTGAAGTAACAGAGTATGATTTGATTATATCTTTACCTGGAGGTGCAATAGGTCGTGCACAAGTTACAGACATTAGTGAATCATACAATAATCTATTGCAAGGCTTGATTAGGTCTGAAGACGATCAGCCAAATGAGTTTAAATCATTACCCGAATTGTACTCCCGTGGGGATTATGTTGTATGCTATGTAAAGAGTATACATCCACAAGAAAAGTGGCAAATTATATTATCTCTTGAACCTCGATTGATAAATCAGAATTTGAATGTGGATTTCTTGAGTAATGGCGCAAAAATAGTATGTACTGTTAGCAGTATAGAGGATCATGGTTATGTTGTAGACACAGGGGTAACTACTGTGAGAGGATTCATACCTGCAAAGGAGCACAATATTGAGAAATGTTTGTCCCCAGGTAGACAAGTCTTGTGTCATGTGAAGGAGATTAAAACAAGTGAGAATACAGCGACAATTAAGCTATCTACGAAACAGGGATTGGTTCAAGCAGTTAACGACATTGAAATCAAATCATTAGATAGCTTGATGCCAGGAACAAATTTTAATCTTTATGTAAACAAGGTTCTCTCCAATGGATTGTATGTTTCGTTTGGTAACAATTCTGTGGGTTACATAAATCAACTTTACCTGGATGAACCTTTATCCAAATATTCAAAGGGAATGGAAGTTACTGGCAAATTACTCTATATTTTGCCAACTGTGAAATTTGGGTACTTTAATTTAACAAAAAATAAGTTAAAGGATAATTCCATAAATCCAGGAGATATTGTAGAAGAAGCAGTTACCCTATTTAGAGAATCTGGCGGAATTGTGTTACAATTAACCAAGAGTGGAGTAAGGGGATTTCTACCCTTGAAAAGAACAAACATAGATTTTGACAAAATTATTGAAAAATTTGTACCTGGTAGCAAACATAAATGTCGAATATTATCATACTGTTGGATGGATGGCACTTATGTATGTACAATGCAGCATTCGCTGATGCAACAGAGGTATTTTTCGCTTTCTGATTTTAAACCGGGCGATTTGGTAAATGTAAAGATTACAAGTATCAATGTGGAAAATGGTTTTGTGAATGTTCAAGTTGGTAAAATTAATGGACACGTTACGTCGGAACATGTATCCGACGAAGGAAGAAGCGGTATGAGAAAACTAAAAGTTAATAAAGAAGTCGAAGCAAAAGTGTTATCCATTAATGGTGAACGGAATAAAGTATATTTCACTTTGAAGAAATCTCTTTTAACGAGCGATTTACCCGTATTATGTGATATAGAAGAGGCAAAATGTGGAGTCAAACACCATGGTACCGTTGTTCAAGTAAATAAGAATGGTTTATTAGTTAAATTTTTCGGTGATGTTAAAGGTTGGGTCCCACGTTCTGCATTAGACAACGAAGCGTCTGCTGTAAATTGGAATTATTCTAGTGGACAAACAATTATGGTTAAGATTGAATCAGTAGATAAAAGTTTAAAGAAGATAATTTTAAGTATAGCTATGAAAAATATAAAAACAGAAGAAAACTTGTTTGTTATCGGAGAACATGTAGAAGGAACAATCACAGACTCTTCTGTTCAAGGTGTATACTTGAGAATAAGCAAAAACGATGGACAAATTGTTAGCACAGGATTTTTACCTGCTGGGCACATGACGCTCTGTATGGAGACAGCTGCTTTGCTAGCTTCAAAATGTATTCCTGGAGACACTCTCTCTGCCCTGGTGTTTGCTACAGCGCCTAGTTTGATTCTAACCAGAACTTTCTTGCCGGAAGAAAAGTATAGAAAATTCGAGAATCTAAAAGTAGGTAATTGTATACCATGTTCGATCAGAGACATAGAACCAGATGGTGTGAGAGTCTTATTACCCATCACAGGATGCTCGCCGTTCGGATATGTATCTTACAGTAATGTTAGTCACTTCAACAAATTGCAAACGCATCAGATTTTATTTGCAGCAATCACCTCTGTTAAAAGAAAACAGAAACAATTGGGTTTGACGTTATCGTTGAAGAGAATATACGATGGATTGACTGATACTCAAAGTAGGATGATGGCTGCGGTGGACACCTTAAGCTTGTACTTCAATAAATTAGCAGAACTAGCACGAAATCCGTTTTACGAAAATAGACCAATCTCGTCAGTCACTTTGGGAGAAAAAGTCACAGGGAAAATTGATAAAATTACAGATAACGGTCTCGTAGTCCAATTACCAAATAACTTGTTAGGAATAGTACATAAAGATCATTACCGTGGAGCACCAAAGGTAGGAGATACAGTTTCAGGAACTATCCTGTGGAAGAATTATATGCACGAACTTGTTGAAATGACAATGATACCCTCTTTGATGAAAAGTATAAGTGCGAAGCAGAACGAGGAACTAGACATTCCTGAAGGAAAAGTAATCAGAGGTCAAATTTTAATGGTGACAAACTGGTTTATCTTAATTATTTTAAAAGGGATTGGTAAAGGCTCCTTGGCAGCAATGCCTGCCAGACGGCATATGAATGATGTGCAACCAGACTTGTCACCATATTTTGTTCATTCGAAAATTAGGTGTTACATTATACTAAAATCTGGCGAATTAGATGTCATGCCTATCTGTATGGTAAAATCTGCATTCGAATCGAGGCGCATCACAGAAACAATACCACCGAGTAAACTTAGCTTGAAAAGGAAGAAGGAGAAACAGGAACGTGACGAGGTACCTGTTAAAAAGGTAAAGATAGACAAAGCGAAGCCAAAAATTGAAATTGCACATGGGAAGAAAGGTCATGATGTAAGCACAACAGAAGAAGCAAACGAAGAAACATTAAATAAGAAGCATGTTAAACAGAAAAAGGAAAAGAAATTGAAGAAAATTGAAGAAGAGAATGATGCGCCAGATAATTCTAATGATTCTTGTAACATTAAGGAGGAGCCAAGAATACCTGAATGTGGTTTCTTCTGGGATGGGACACCAGATATGAGTCTTCTTGACAGTAACGTAGCGTCTACCGATAGCGAGAATGAAGTAGAGCAACAACCGAAGCAGAAGAAGAAGAAACTAAATGCTGCGGAACGTAGAGAACAGGAGAGACAAAAAGAGCGTGAAATTCGCCAGAGGGAAGAAGCATTAGCCAGTAATCAATTGCCAAATTCTGTTGACCAGTTCGATAGACTGGTGATGGCGAGTCCAGATAGCTCGATAATCTGGTTGCAATATATGGCGTTTCATTTACAGACAACAGACATTGAAAAAGCGAGAGCGGTTGCGAGAAGAGCTGTCAAAACTATCAACTTCAGGGAAGAGAATGAAAGGTTAAATGTGTGGAATGCTTGGCTAAATTTAGAATCCAAATTTGGGACTCCTGAATCATTGCACGACGTTTTCCAAGAGGCGGTGAGGACTAACGATTCTTTGAAAGTGTACACGCATATGTTGACCGTACACCATGAGGCTGGCAGACAGGTAGAATTAGAGAAAACAATAAATACTATACTTGGGAAGTTCAAGCAGAATCCTCAAGTGTGGATCGATTGTGGTACAGCGTTGTTGAAGATGGGTTTGAAAGACAAATCAAGGCATATTATGCAAAGAGCACTGCAGTCTTTACCACTAGCAGAACGTAAGTATATATATTAAAAGCATATATATGTATAATTAGATGAAATTAAATATGTACATTATAAATGGTTCTGTGCAGATGTTAATGTGATGACGAAGTTTGCGCTTGTGGAGAACAAATTTGGGAATAAAGAAAGGGCACAAACCTTGTTCGAGCAGATTTTGGCTTCCTATCCAAAGCGTGTGGACATATGGTCATGCTATGTAGACACATTAATAAAATCTAACGATATTGATATTGCAAGGTAAATAAGAGTTTCTTTAATTATTTTCGTTTATGATACTCAATAGAGTACTTAGTAAACTTATTGTGTACAGGAAAGTACTGGAACGAGCAGTTGTTCAGACGTTGCCTCTGGCTGCCGAATACGTAGAGAAGCAATGTAGCAATACATCGAATCAGTAAACTTCGGATTTGCAGCGCACACAATTGTCTGAAATTCAGTACCATTAGACAGTTCAGTAAATCCTTCTTAATCGATCCACAAGAATCAATGTCGTCACGGGAACCAGCTGCCTAATCGTTCTAACTAATGTGAATTAAAAATAAATTGTTTTTGCGTACGTTACTTTACATGATGTACTGAGAGTAGCAGAATTTAATCAGAGGATCAGTACCGACTAGAATTTGGAATAACAAATCGGTCGAAGGGAGTGATTAACATGAAAAAATCAATTTTCAATTCCGTTCGATTTGAATTCACCGCGATTGCGTAACGGTGATCGTTAGTTCGAACGACGCGGTCAAACGGGCAGATGGCAGCACCTGCTGGCTGTGATTCCACCATAGGCAGCCGAGATGGTATTTTGGTCTGCGCTAGCGCAGAATGCGGTAGTCGCGGAAGCGATGACTGTCAACGCGGAAATCGGCAACCTTATATTCGCCATATTGTTTGCACGCACGTTGCGCTAGCGAAATCCGGTCGGAGTGGTGTTTCGCAAGTGTGATACGCGCGCGTGGTGGTGAACCACACGGAACGAAAGAGAGAACGAAACGAAGTGTCGAAAGCAAGGTAATTTAACCGGAGTTTAATTCGTCTTTCTGAGGATTAATGGGACCGTGTATCGACGCGCGCGCTGTGTGTCTAATGGTAGAGGAGGATCACAGCAGTTTTCGGTTTGTTATACGGCGGCCTCAACGAGATCGACGTAAACGTGTGTTGTAAATCGATCTGTGTCCCTCGAGGTTCTCGCGAGGCGTCGCGCGACTATCTCCTCACCTCAGGCACATCGAAAGTCCCCGAGTATTGGTCGTGTGTAGTGACGTCACATCGACGACGGGTTCCGGGGGATGGCCCGTGCCTCTCCTCCCTTTTTTCGTCCTCGTAACGATCATCAGAAATTTCTTGTGTATACGACAAAACATGATCTCGCGGATCAGCCCGTAAACGCTTCGTGAAATCGTCGTTCTGTGCTAGTAAAAGCTTCACCTGATGAGACGGTCTGTCCAGTGAAAACCAAGTTGCTTCCTCTTTCGGAGGCATCATCAGGCCGTGAGTACATTCCATTTTTTCCTTCAACGGTTCGTCCGTGAATGGTTCTCGAGCCCATACGCAAACGTGAATCGCGTATCTCCCTCGGATTCCTGCGGGAAACAACTTCTGAAACGTTAGAAGAGAAATGCCAAAGCCCCTGTCTCTTTTTCGTTCTTTTCCCCGTTAACATCTATCCGCTTTCTCTCTCTTCCTCGTTTCTCTCCCTCCATACTCACACACACTGTTTCCGTCTTTTTCTCTCACTCTTTCTCGTGGGGCCTCGTGAGCACACGGGGTTAGGTTACGAATCGGGACAGCCTGATAAAAATATTCAACGTATCGAGAAACGCGAGTCGCGAATTTAATTTAATGTCAGAACTGTTGCTCGTTCGTCGTTGATCGAACTTTCTAGCTGGATGTAAAATTCCGAAAGAAATAAACAATAATAAAACCAGGTGTGTCCAGTCATTCGTGTAAACTTCAGGTAGTTTTCGTAGTGTGTGTTTAACGATAAAAAATCATGTGGTTCGCGACACCGATAATCCTAGTGCTAGTGACATCTTTCAATCGACCCTGTAACCCCGTAGCTTTCTATTCTGGCGGTTCCCATAAAACGTTTTTTTTTTACCGTAAAGGGTAACATAGCATTTCATAATCGTATCTTCGCGTTCGAACGGTTTGGTTTGTGTAGTTCCCTTATCAACGAAATTAACGTACACGCGTGTTGTAGGACGAAAAAACAAGGTAGAAAGTACCGTGATAATGGGAAATACTTCAGTCACGTGACCACGATACGTTCGTGTCAGTGCAAAAGGTGTACATACTATTCGATTCGAATAAACGATCGGAAATTGCCGTTATCGAAACAGTTCCTGCAGGAAGTGGTACAATTCGTATACGTGAGTATTCGATGATCTACCAACGATAAAAATCAAGATATTCCGACAAATATTTTCTACGAATGACATTTTTGAATCATCAATCAAGGAATATTCGAACGACCTTCGTCGTTTTGTCGCAGGTAGCTTTTAAATAGGAAATTGATTCACGTAGTAATCGTCATTTAAATCTTTGTATTGATTTCCTTAACAGTCATTTGGAGCATCTGTTGCCTTTTTTTATGCAACCGTAAGATGTGTCCATGCGTTGTCACAGTAATAAACAAACGTTGTCCCGACGATCACACGCGACTCTACATGGCAGTTCGTTTCTTGCTCCTTGATTTTGAAAAAAAAAAAAAAAAAAAAAAAAAAAAAAAACGTAAATCCCGAATATTTCTTTGTCTCGCGCGCGGTCGGCCGTATCGAATTTCTATGTTCCATATGTTCTCCCCCGCTTGTTTCCCTCCAGTGAAGAAGTGTCGCCTTCAAAATTAGACAGCATCGAGCGTCTTTATATTACGTAATACGATACAGTACACACACGAGGTCGCGAAAGTGACTTGCAGCAACTCGCTATGTACAGCTGAATTCGAATCGATTTTATTAATCGCCTTACGTAGTATCGTATAGTCGCTTGCACGCGAGGGTGGGATCAGTTTTTGCCGCCAACAGGGGACCGTCGTGTGCACGTGTCTATGTATTAATGATGGCGATGCATTTGAATTGTATCGATATTTGATATCGATTGATACACACACACACACACACACACACACACACACACACACACACACATATATATATATCAATAATAAAATATCGATATCCGAAATATCGATATTTGAATGGAAAACTATCGACATCGGAAATATCAAAATTTTGAATTGAAAAGTATCGATACTCGAAATACCCATAGTGTATTGCCCATCACTAGTATGTATGCACCTGTTCACTTGTTTCTTTTCCAGACCTACTTTAAATATAAACAGCGCGTTTACTCTTCTTAATATGCCTCGAATGTGTCTCAAGCCACGTTTCTACTAGAACTGCTACGGAAAATTGTTTTCGTAAGACCGTGTAGCTTCTCAGCCAATTTAATTGATCGTTCCCGGTAACACTTTCGTTGTTTCTCTTTCGTTTTTTCCACGGAACGAGTTCCGTGTGGGTGTCAGTGACTCGGCAATAAACGGAGTCCCACTTTTTTCGAGCCCATGGAAATGAAAAATACAAAAGAGCGCGTGAGTCATTACCGTTCGGTTTCATTTGAATTGCTGAGAAAGGCTGGAAGCTGCAAAAGAGGCAATAACACGTTTCGGTCTCTGTCTCTCGTTCTCGTTGCGTAAACACATAATCAGGTCTCGTGGAATCCACGTGTTGTACTGATCCCCCGTGATGTAATCGACGCGATCCATCGATCACTCTCCAACGCTCCTTGTCGCGCTGAGACAGGCAAATTCTCCTTTTAAAGATACGAACTTCTATTTTTTAGCAATAATTTTCCAAGGAAGTTATTGCTCAGGTTCCATTCCAAATACTTGTTATATCTGTAGAAGATAATACAGGGTGAATCACGCGAACGTGATCGAGCTTAGATTATTCTACTGCCAGGTGTTCGATCGAAATATTTTTTGCGCTCTTAATCATCAGTACAGACATCACAAATAGAACTAAGCAGTCCTTTCTTAACGGTATATGCGAGTGTATTGTAGCCGATCGATGCTATTGTGAACATCGTTTTAATTAAGGTAAATAGTACTTTCGTAATGTTTCTTTGGTTTGCTAAGAGTAGAATAATTTAAGAATCTAAGCTGGTCACGTTTAGTGGTCCACCCTCTATACGTCCAGAGTAAATAGATCCGAGTTTTGCAGACTTTTCGATAATCCAAATGATCGAAATGATCGAACGACATCGAGTGATCTAGGTTTCCCGTCGTGGAATTGGTTGCATAATTTCAATTGTTCTCTTTACGTTATTACGTAACTCCACGTTATTGACTTGGGCCGCGAAACGTAAGAGATGACCCGCGCGCGCGCGTCCCCCGTCTTGCCGTGTAATTAGTTACAAAAGCCAGTCCCAACCGTTAACTCTTAACCGTGTTCGTTTTACCTTGAAGTAGAAATTACTTTCCCCCGTTTGTTCGAAAATAAAGAAAGAACGTTTAGCTAGAATTGGATCACCAGATGGAGTAAATCCTCGACGATTGTTCGACGGCTCCTGCGGCACTGAATATAAATATTTCTCTAATTGGCTTGAGAATTCCAAGCTCTATCACTGTGCTAAATCTCGTTAAAAAGTCAGCGTTATACCCGAGGACCTCTCCTTGTCAATGCTGAGAATCCTCCGAACACTCATCGAGGATTTACTGTCTATCTGGCCATCGGTTTCAATTGGACGAAATTATTTCCGGTATATGTACAGCAGGATAAGGGGGTTAAAAGTGCCCTTAGACCGATTTGGACTTAGATAAGATATATCATTCGATATCTTGTCGAGGAAAAATAGTTTGTGCCAAGTTTCAACCCTCTGTCTCCACCGAGGAGGGTTGTAACAGGGAAACTTCGGATTGTCGATTTTCCTGACGTGCAAAAATTGTGTAAAAAGTCTGATAGATAATATTCACCGGTGCATGCGTTAGAGATTTTTTTTAGATTTTTCGGTAGGGTGTGTCGTAGTTTTAAAAATCAAAAATCGATTTTTTCCGTGAAAAAGGAACCTATAACTTTTATATCTGTTCTTGGACAAAAAATAATCGAACGTGAAAGCGATCTTCAGGAATGGGAGCCATTTTTGACTTGTCACGGGATCTCAGCATCGAACATTTCTTGACGCCAGCTATTTGGCAAGCTTCGTCGATTTTCCTGTTAAATGTTGCGCCGGGCTGAATTGCGATTGCTTCGCGATGATAGTCCCTTTATAGAAAGAACACTCCGTTCTTCCGTGTTTGTCGACGACTCTACTCACCTGGCGCTAGATATCCACTTGTTTGGTCCTTTGGAACTCAAAGATTCTTCAGAACCACTTAGTATCATTTGTTCAGCTGGTGAAAATGTGGTTCGAGACGATTCCCGAAACTTCGGAATCGGTCATAGAAAATGAGGATTCACAATGGCGGTCAGGGTATCAGCAACCGTACTTATTCTCTCGCGGCTCCTCCCGACTGTACATTTTTCCCGGCCTCAAGGTTGGCCCGTTTCTTTTTTTAGCCCGACCCAGTAACCTTTGGCATTTCCTCGGTTTTATATATTCGCGTCTCGGGAAAGAGAGAAAGAGAGAATTAGACGCTTAATGTGGTTCGATAGGTGGCTGGAATATCGACGGTGTAGCTACTAGCGTTACAGGCCCAGAGGTCCTGATCACTTAAGAGTAACCATCGAAGTTCTTTTTAAAACAATTAATTATATCCAAAAGAATTGTTGTCATTCGAATAAGTCTATGTTTTATCTTTAATTTGTTACTAACCCTTGGAGTACGATGAATGAGTCCGTTTGGACTCGAGTGTTTAAAAGCCATATCTAACTCATGGATTTGTAAATATTTAAGCCAGAAGTTGTTCGCATTTGGTCGTGTAAAAATGCATGTGTTTTTTTAATGATCGCGTTCGAAAGTTTGTTTTAAAAAAAGGAGGCATAGGGTTTCAGAGGGATAGAGATAATATTGTCTCTACGAGCGTAAGAAATTTCTGGTCACCTGAAATCATATATCTGTATCGCAATCTGAGCCATCGAATTTTATGTATAAAGTTCGAAATAATTTATAACTATTTAGTAATTTGTTGGAAAAAAATTCCTAAAACTTATATGGTATCTATGTACTAAACCGATCAGGAATTGGGTTTTGATCAGGAACTGGGTCCGTGACGGTACACTGTCCCTTCTTCCGGCTGCGTATTGCTCCAGAACGCCAGAGAAAGAGAGAGAGTGACTGAATCGATATGTATCCGGTTGATCCTCTAACGCAATGCAGCACCAGCTGCTGGTCCAGAGCGACAAAGAGAGAGAGAGAGAGAAAGAGATGAACCCATTCCTTTTTGTCCACGAATTCGGGATTGAATCCTCCAGATTTTCATCGGGGGTAAAAATGGGGACAAGGTGAAGTAGCACGCTCGAGTAGCAAGGTCGTCCGAACCTAAAGCTGGAACAACCCGCGGTTGGTGCTTTACCCGCGTTGCTTTCTCCCTGTTTCACCCTCAACAGAGGGAAACAGAGTGAGACCGCCCAGAAAAACGAGAGAAGTTATCGATTTCAACCGGTTCGCTTGTCCGCCGTTCGTGTCCTCCGTACGAATAACGTAAACTGCTTGGAAATAATAAGGGCGCTTACGAAACCGGTGTATACGTGACTTGCGTTTATTATATCAGACAGATACGTATGTTTCTCGGCCGGTTGAATCCTCGTATGGTCTTACCTAACTGCGTTTAAGTGCCGTGGACGCTTTATTAGCCGCATTAACAACGAGGCACCACGAAGCAGTTGTCGCGTCTCAGGTCGAAACTCGTTTCGTTTGCGTCGATGGTTCGTTATGCAGTAAATCCTCGATTAATGCTCGAAACTCGGGACCCTCATTTGGAGCAGTTACCGTGGAGGGACAGGATTTCTACACGGGATGAATTGTAATTTTGGGTCGGGCCTCCAGTATAGAAACCTCTAGTAGTGGGGACGAAGCGGAAGCATTTAGCGTAGAGATCGAGCAGTTGTCGAGAATTTACTGTGTTCCACAAAGATGTATCGGTATTCGTGCATACTAACCCCACCCACCCTCAAGATACTCATAGTATATTATCTCCGTAATTGTGTTGGGATTCAGGAAAAGTCTCTCTCTCTCTGTAGGGAAGACAGAGAAAGTGGGAGAGAGAAAAATAGAGAGAGATATTGAGGGACTGGTGGTGGCCCAGGTGCAATGTCATATCACCGTGGGGGCCAGGCGGGCGCCGTAGCAGTCTCGTACAGCACCAGCCCAATGACACCGCATTCTCCTAGCAGGCGATGTTCCAGCGGTAGCAGTGGCACCAGCAGCACCGCGATCGGCGGCACCTCCACGTCCAAATTGAACAGCTACCGACCAACCGGTTCATTCTACACCACGTCGACCAGTTCAGGATATCGTTCGAGCTGCACGCCCGAGTACAGACGATCTTACTGTCCGTCAAGCAGGTGAGTCATTCAATCATCTGGACCGATTACCCGAGATTCTGATGGTTCGAGCAGATTCCAGGGATCGGCAGTCACCCGTTCATACACCTAGTTAGACCCCTCGGTTCGGTGCCACTTGATTCGATTCCAGCTGTTTTGCTTTCAAAATGGAACACCGACGGTGGATCTGTGCACTTTCTTGTTCGACGAAGCACGGTAACGTTGGTCACGGGGGAGTCGTATTACCATCATCGATAATCCACCGAGTGAACAATCCGTATGGTAATCTCATTTTTTCGGATATCCGATGATAATATGGCAAGAACTATGTGGAAACTTTGGGTTCCGGGTGCAAGTGACTCGGAGGAGTCGTTTGTCAGGCTGCCGATCCCAGGCGTCTCCGATAGTGTACCTATGCGATGATGCAATGTTTAAATAGCTCTCATACTCGATCGGCCCTACAGTTACTACTCGTTAACATCAACCAGTTCGAGCCTCCGCAGGAACTACGTGTCGGACTATGGACGGTCTCGCTGCTCACCCGCAAGGTGAGCGAGATGTAACCCCTTTGCTCGAGAGAGAAAGAAGGGGGTGTGATAAGACGCGCGTGGTGGTCGGCGGGACGCTACCAAATCACAACGCATCGATAAGTGTCGAAAACAGTTTGACGTCTCTCTCTTTTCAACTTCCCTCCGTCCGTTCGTGGTCACTTAACAACATAATCCCCTCAACGCTTCGCTAATTCTGTGGAAACGTCTGTGTGGCTGTCGCGTCTAGGAAGTTATCTTGTGTCGGTACAGTGGCCCCCCGAATAGCGTCGTTCGAGTATCGGTCGGTAAATCTTCAAGACGATACCGACCGTACAATTGGGCTGTGAGGATTCAACCCCCCTCCCCCAGCTTGTTACCAATTATTGTTGCTCCTCGAAAAGCGACTAGATACAAGTGGGCAGAAAGTCGACGGTGGCGTGTGTTATAAATAACTCGTCACGAGCAACAGGTAACTGGACCCGGCTGGGGCCAACACATGCAGAAACTTACACGCTGGTTATAACTCTTTAATCCAATTTTCGAGACCCTGTTTCTGTGTATACAGTTTCTTCAGACCCGACGGTTGTCAGAGCCCTGGTCTTAGGTCGAGGTCAACGGTGAGAACGGATTATGTGTACTAACCAGGTGTAAGGGACCTGGATCGACCACCTGAGAGAGCTAGTTACGCGGGATTCTTGTCCACGCGACCGACACGCGGAGGCCACACGTCTTTCTTCTCGTTGAAACGTGATCCCTCGAGACCTTGACCGCGGCGACGAGGAATTACTTTTTCCTGGAAATCCTCTACGCCCCTCCTGTTATAATGTCACTTAATCTACTCGTTATGTCGTTATATTCCCCTCGTCTCGTGGTAACCACACGAAAGTGTCTAGGGACGTTTCCAAATCCACACCCCACGCGAACGGTCTGATTTAGTAACCTCCGAACCTCGAAGTGGACGATCGTTTTGGCCGGCATGTAGAGGACAGCGACCGCGTATAAACAATTCTTAAGGTACGTTTTCAAAAGTCATGATTTTTGTTCTCGTGACACTGTGTACGATAATGTAAACGTGACATTTAATTTGACGATTATAAAAGTCGTAATATTTAGTGTCATGACCGTGGAAGTTACGATTTACCGTCACGTGAAAACGTACCTTTAAAGACGCTTCTTTTTGCTCGACAGTCGATAAGGCAGGTCCCAGCCTTAGGGTAATTCCTATTTGAGCACATCCTCTTGTGATGTCTTTTTCCGAACGGTGTCCCAGTCAACTGGGCACCAGAAGGTTCTTGGATTTTCTTTCAATCGAGTGTATTTAGCTCCTGTATCCTAAACGACGACTCAGGTCAGGGCCACACTCGAGAGACTTTTTTTAACGTGGCTAAATCGGAGGGAGTCGCACGGTGATATCTACTGGAATCGCGACGACTTCCTTTGGATATCACGTTCCCGTCGCGACATCTTGTCCCAGTCATTGATTCCTATATATAGTCACTTTGTTTCGATAGTAGGTGCCCTTGTTGATCCATAGGAAACATTCGTCCGTTTCGCATTAAAAAAAGGTCTTCTGGTTCAAAAGACTCCAGGGAGATATGCCTTACTTGCAAGTCTCGATAGCGATAATGTCGATATTGTATTCCCGATATATGTACATGTGTACCGATATTCTCTGGGCATCAATACGTATCGGTACCAAATATCGATACAATTCAAGCGTATCGCCATCGCTACCAGACATCGTTATTAACCATATAGTCAGACGAGAGGGGGGGGGGGTCTGCTTACTCATCCAGGTGCCATTATGAGTACATTTTGCGCGTGCGTGTGTTTACGAGCGGTTGCGTGTACGCTCGCAGCCATTGCATAACTTTGAAAAGAGAGGAGGGTAGCCCTTGGCCGGTGGCCCAGCCGAACGCGAACACGATGCTCGCAATATTCACATTGAACGAACGATTTGCAGGTCAGTTTCATCGTCATCGTACGGGAATACGGGCACAAGCGGCGGCGGCGGTGGCGGCGGTGGTTCGAATGTGACGACCAACGGAACAAGCAGCAGTAGATACGGTGGACTGTCGACGTCGTCGTCGTCGTCGAGCATCTCCATCACCGGTTCGTCGAGGGACAGGGGCCAGGACACGTCTTCCAGAAACAACGAATCGTCGCCCACGACAGCGGAGCTGATCAGCAGGTACTCGCCGTCCGGCTACGTGCCCAACATCCGGCAGACAAGCGGCACCAGCAACACGACAACAACAACAGCAGGATCCCATCATCATCATTGGAAACATCATTCGATCGGTTCGTCGTTGACCGAGCTGTACGGCGGTGACGAGCGCGAGGTAGCCGGGACCAGAGATCGTCCCGAGTCTTCTCTCTCCTCGTCCTCATCATCGTCGTCCGCCACCGCTGTTGGCGGTGCACTCTGGTCCAGATCAAAGAGGGGACCATTGTCCAGCAGCACGGTGCTCACCAGCGGGCATGCTCGCGCGGATACCGCCGCGGCGTCGCCTGGCGAGGTAACGATCGACGATCGCGGCACCGTCCGCGACCCAGACGAGAACGACGACGACGACGACGACGACGAGGACGATGACGATGACGGGAACGACGACGATAACAACACCGACGACGATCAGCAGAATAACAACATCGGAAACAACGAGGATGCCTGCGGATACGCCGTGAACAACAACGACGACGTGCACGACGATGACGACGATGACGACGATAGCAACAACCTGAACAACCGCCATCACCACCAACAACGTGGCGGTGCTCATCGTACCGACGAGGTCGTCGTCTCACCGAAGCGTAGTAGTAGTAGTAACCTCCTCACGCCCACTGTACCTGGTAATGCGTGTAACGCTGAACCGCTGATGATCAATAACAACGGTCAGGAGACGAGCCCAGGCCAGCTGGACGAGGACGTCGAGGTGAACAACGAGGTAATGCCCGGATTCGACGACACGATCGTGTTCCTTCAAGGTGGCCGTACCAGGGACGACCGTTCGGAGATTCTGGAGAACGGTGACGATCGGGAACGGAGCAACGCGTCGACCTCGTACGATAATATCGATCATACGAGATTCGGGGGCGGTGCCACGCCGCCTGTACTACAGAACGGCGTGGCTGGACGACCATCCGGTGGCGGTACATACGGGGACGACACACCGTCCGTACCGTCCACCTCGAGACGACCGGACGGCGGTCATTTCTCTGGGAGCAACGCGAGTGCCGCCAGTAATTTGAACTCGTCGACTGCTGCGCCGTCCGCCACAGCACACCAGAGTCTCTACCGCGGGGTAACCGATCAGTTTGTGAGTGTCTAGAACTACACATACATGATAGGAGCGAATCATTCTGTCGGAGAGCTCTTGCGACCTTCTATTCGCTGTAGGATACCCGTGTATGCACTAAATCACGGGACCAGATCTGTCGAACTTCAACGGGTGTGTCCCCCTTTCGACGATTCGTGTTATTGAGTATTTATCCCTTAACCTCTGTACTACCAATAGTGTTCGATAGTTTACGTATAGTCGATTGTTCTCGTAAAATTAAGCGTTTAATAAGGTCTCCTGTTCATGTAATCGCAAAGGCTGTACACACCACGGGGGTGCCAGTGTCGCTGTAAGGAGCCCTAACACACTTAAAAGCGGCCTGAATCTCAGGCTGCAAACGTATTTGGTCTCTGCCGCCTCCTATTCAATAGTAATTATTGTATTGGTAAAATTTAAACTGCGGGTCCATTCAGAATTGGTTTTACGAGGACACAGTATCGTACCTGTCGACTTCCATTATACTTGTACAGCTACGTAACTGTAATTTTCTGTTAGTCCAAGACCTTGGTCGTAGCGCAGGGGTTAAGCGATCGCGAAAATAACTGTGTTCCGAAACAGTTTTTTCTTCATCTCATCGTACGTATCTATCGTTTGCGTTAGCTCTTCGAGAGGCAGAGCCAAAAAAGTACTCTGCAACGGAACCGTTATGTACTCGACAGGTGTTATCGTTTCTGTAGGGAAGCCACAGGAGTAGGGAATGACACGACAGGTCTCTCTTCTTATGGCCTCTAGTGGTCGTCTGCCCGTTACGAAACTAGGCTCTTCTCCTCGAGCTGTCTTCTCGACTGTGGTCGCATCGACCACGGTCAGTAGGCTGGCTTTTATAAATAGACCGGAGCTCTCTATCCCTTACCGCGGAAGAGGAGGGAGAAGTGTGCACGGTGAACGGAATCTCTCATAACATAACGGTACCCCGTGACAACGCATGTGCGTTTTATCGTACACTCGTCCCGTGCACACGCAAATACCCCATAATCGCGCGCGCTTGGAACCGTGAACGTCGCCGTTCTGTGACTGTTTTCAGTCCAGTAGTGATCGCCAATAGTCACCTCTGTGTATATGTGTGACTCTCCTCCGATTGACCGTCAAGGAGATTGTGTGCCAGTTTTGCCTTACCTTGCCCCGTGGTAGTGGGGAGGGGATACAGCGAATGTTGCTGGGCTGGGGTCATCTTCGTCTCCGCGGCGACCAATCATGTCTGGTCTCTTCTGTTTATTCGAGTATCCCCGTGGGAGGAAGCTTCGGCGGATGTCCGCCTCGAAATTAGGCCGTTGACGCCATCTGAACCTGTCTCACGAAAGTTCTACATAGTGTGTGTATGCTGTGGGCATATATGTGTGTGTAAACTGGCTTACACCCAAATCGTAGGCTGGGGGTTGTGGTGTGTGTGGGTGTTGATCGCTGTGCTGTTCGTTTACGCATTTCTGCTTGGCGTCGCGACGCCTCTGACGCCGCGGGATCGTCCAGTACGTTCTACTGTCCGTTCGGTGAGGTTAATCGGTACGGTGGTAACCGCACGAGCTACTCTACAGCCTCCAGCCAGTTGCAGGAAGGTGAGTGCTCGAGGAGGGTATTTTTGCGAAACCGTGCGTTAAAAGGAATAGATATTCTGGTCCCGCGTGCAATGGCGCCCGAGTTGTATACCGCTTCTTTCTCGCGGTTGTTTGATGCGTTAGATATTTACACTGTCGTACCTTTTCTGAATATCTTGTGTTGGGCGTACTTTCTGTTCGGAACAATCCACACGCTGACGTTGAACGCAACACGAAATGTACGTACTGTGTGTGTATGTGTTTGCTGAAGTGTCTTTTGAACCCTGTCGTAACACAAGACTAACACTTTATAGCCAAACTGTAATCTAACTCGTATTCTGATGATAATCGTACCTGACGATGCCGTGGAATCTTTGACCAGCTCTAACGTTAATCCATTGTTTGCACTCTTTGTTATGAAGTCGGTTGGAATGTTGTTTGCTAGGAGTGACGCGTTTGTATCCCAGCTAGCTGGACCGCCTATTGCTAAAAACTCATAACTTGTCGTGCTTTTTTACGGAAGAAACGCGACAGTATGTGACGGTTTCCAGACCCCTTGTAGAAAGACGTAGATTACCAGTTGACACACCGACTGTGGTGGTTCTATTGATCGCCAGCTGACCAGTGAATTGCATTTTTCAGGACGGAAGCCCTACGAACAAAGCGACACGTAGCCGGCTGCAGACGCATCGCGGCGAACGATGCGGACTAAACGGGTTGCGGAATATTGGAAACACAGTGAGTACGCGCTCAGTGGTGGGCGATACATTATCGATGTATCGTGTATCGATACTCTGGGTCTCAATACGTATCGATACAAGTCATGATCATTACGTTCTCTGGTGCCCGGGAATGGGTCCGTAATATAGTCTTCCCGTTTTTGCAGTGTTTCATGAACAGTGTGATTCAATGCCTGAGCAACACGAGACCGTTACTCGAGTATCTGCTAAACGAGCAGTACCTGGCGGACATCAACGTCTCCACGTCCAGTATGAAGGGCGCACTGATCAAGGCGTTCAGCCAGGTGATACACGAATTGTGGGAGGCGGGCGGTGATCACGTGGTGAACACCACCGCTTTAAAGTCTCAGATACAAAGATTCGCGCCGCGATTCATGGGCTACAGTCAACAGGACGCGCAAGAGTTTCTCCGATACTTGCTCGAGGGACTGCACGAGGATGTGAACAGGGTGACGGTGAAGCCACAGCCGATACACACCGATATCCCTGATGTGTATACGTAAGGAACTTTTATTTAATGGCCGATTTACGGTTGTTTTGCTGTTCGGATAGCTAAAGTGGATCGATGCTGTCCAGCGCCCTTAGCGACCCTAACGTAATAATAGATCGCCACAAATAATCGGTTCGATAAATTCCCCATTTGTAAACACACAGAGACAGCCAGAAAGCTGTGGAGAGTTGGAAACGTTACCTCCGCAGCGAGGACAGTATGGTGGTGGATGTGTTCGTTGGTCAATTACGCTCGTCGTTGCACTGCACTGACTGCGACCATGTCTCGGTAACTCTGGACCCTTTCTGGGACTTGAGTCTGCCGATACCGGCCAGAAGCGGCACGGTCAAGCTCAGCCAATGCTTGGAACATTTCACCCGCGAAGAGGTTCTCGACGGTGACGAGAAACCGACCTGCTCCAAGTGTCAGATGAGGCGAAAGTGTACCAAAAGCTTCAGCATACAGAAGTTTCCGAAGATCCTAGTTATTCGTATCCTTTTTAAACCAACAAGATAACGCGAGGTATAATGGTATCGATGAAGTGTAGGAGTAGACCTGTCGCCTTACAGGACTTGGCGATCCACCTAAGCTGTAGTATCGACACCGAATCTGTAATATCAACACCTTAGAAAGCTTGTAATTATAATGATCTCTACGTTCCGAGAACGGTGAATCTACATTATACAAATGTCGCAAAAATATGTACATTGGATGTTGGGTCTACTCCTATACCTTGTCGGTAATATGGGAGAGTGTGGTAACACGAGATACGAAAGTACTTTTCCTTAATGAACCTCGTTTGTAGACTTAAAACGTTTCTCACCCATGGAACGATTCCGCGGCAAGCTAAACGTCACGGTGGACTTTCCATTGACAGGATTAGATCTCAGTGCCTTTGCCGCCCCAAGAGTTCCGGGCTGTACATACAATTTGTACGGTGTCGCCAACCATTCTGGCACCACGTACTCCGGTCATTATACCGCGTACTGCAAGCATCCGTACTCGGGCGAATGGCACGAGTACAACGACAGTCGAGTGTCCGTGGTCCCGGCGCGATCGGTGGTCACCAGCGAAGCCTACGTACTGTTTTACGAACAGCAGCCTCATAGCTCTCACTTGTAACCTCACGCCATGCCTAGAATTTAAAACGACCATCTTGCCTCTCGATACCTCAGTCCAGCATAGTGTAATAATGAAAATTATACTACTTTATCGTGTGGTATTGAAAAGCGACTAAACACTGAACGACGAACAGCCCCGGGGTTGTCGTCTTCAAGTCGAACAACACGGGGTAGAGTGTGTGTGTGTGTGTGTGTGTTTTGTGGTGTGTATGGTGAGACATTTGGCGATAATCATGTAATCATCCTCGAGCTGTTCCTTTGTTTTTCTTCGGATCTACACTCCCATGGTCGTACTTCTCGCTTTCTCTCTCTTCCTTCCTCTCTTCTCTCCTTTTTGGCTTTCGTTTAGAGACACACAACAGACGCTTTCGGGTACGTTCAGGAGAGATATATAGGGACGATACAGATAGACCTTCGATGGATAGAACGCATCGCGTAAGTCAAAAAACTTTTTTAACGTCGTACTCTTAAACCGAGATTCCTTGATCTTCGCATGTTCTTTCACTTCTTTTTTCTCTTATTTTATATATGTATATATATATATATATATATATATGTGTATACACATACATGGAATATACATTTGTCCAATCATGCGATTTAAAGAGAAGATTTGCCAGAATCGAGAAGTGTATGTATATGTATATATGTATATGTACTTTGGTATTTGAAGAAAAACGAAGAGTACTCATGACTTCGCCAAAGATCACGTATACGGAGTAATGCGCTTCGGATGTCTAGTTACTTTTGAATAGACGATAATAGTAATAACATGTATCCTCACTCTTCACCTGGCAATCTACAGCTATTTACTTTTGTAAAATATTTTGTTTAATAATATATCACAGTCAAGAGTTATTTATTTAATTTATGGAAAGAGAAAACTGATGAAATATTAATATATTCGACATCGACGAATATAATATATATACATAAAGAAATAAATAAATATA